CTGTAGTTATGGGAGAAGGTGGGCGGAGACAGGGGAGTTTGTACAAACTTTAGTTATGGGAGAAGGTGGGCGGAGACAGGGGAGTTTGTACAAACTTTAGTTATGGGAGAAGGTGGGCGGAGACAGGGGAGTTTGTACAAACTTTAGTTATGGGAGAAGGTGGGCGGAGACAGGGGAGTTTGTACAAACTTTAGTTATGGGAGAAGGTGGGCGGAGACAGGGGAGTTTGTACAAACTGTAGTTATGGGAGAAGGTGGGCGGAGACAGGGGAGTTTGTACAAACTTTAGTTATGGGAGAAGGTGGGCGGAGACAGGGGAGTTTGTACAAACTTTAGTTATGGGAGAAGGTGGGCGGAGACAGGGGAGTTTGTACAAACTTTAGTTATGGGAGAAGGTGGGCGGAGACAGGGGAGTTTGTACAAACTGTAGTTATGGGAGAAGGTGGGCGGAGACAGGGGAGTTTGTACAAACTTTAGTTATGGGAGAAGGTGGGCGGAGACAGGGGAGTTTGTACAAACTTTAGTTATGGGAGAAGGTGGGCGGAGACAGGGGAGTTTGTACAAACTTTAGTTATGGGAGAAGGTGGGCGGAGACAGGGGAGTTTGTACAAACTGTAGTTATGGGAGAAGGTGGGCGGAGACAGGGGAGTTTGTACAAACTTTAGTTATGGGAGAAGGTGGGCGGAGACAGGGGAGTTTGTACAAACTTTAGTTATGGGAGAAGGTGGGCGGAGACAGGGGAGTTTGTACAAACTTTAGTTATGGGAGAAGGTGGGCGGAGACAGGGGAGTTTGTACAAACTGTAGTTATGGGAGAAGGTGGGCGGAGACAGGGGAGTTTGTACAAACTTTAGTTATGGGAGAAGGTGGGCGGAGACAGGGGAGTTTGTACAAACTGTAGTTATGGGAGAAGGTGGGCGGAGACAGGGGAGTTTGTACAAACTGTAGTTATGGGAGAAGGTGGGCGGAGACAGGGGAGTTTGTACAAACTGTAGTTATGGGAGAAGTTGGGCGGAGACAGGGGAGTTTGTACAAACTTTAGTTATGGGAGAAGTTGGGCGGAGACAGGGGAGTTTGTACAAACTTTAGTTATGGGAGAAGGTGGGCGGAGACAGGGGAGTTTGTACAAACTGTAGTTATGGGAGAAGGTGGGCGGAGACAGGGGAGTTTGTACAAACTGTAGTTATGGGAGAAGTTGGGCGGAGACAGGGGAGTTTGTACAAACTGTAGTTATGGGAGAAGGTGGGCGGAGACAGGGGAGTTTGTACAAACTGTAGTTATGGGAGAAGTTGGGCGGAGACAGGGGAGTTTGTACAGTTGTAATGAGATTGCTCGTACTTGGAGAAATCGTTCACTTGCCATAGTCGCCATGTTCCATACAACTTTGCCATACAATCATATACAACACCAGTTTTTTCATTTTCGTAGAATGCGTTTGGTAGTATGTCATATTACTGAAGTTTTAATTGTGAGATGATACTTTTAAAAATTAAATATGAAAGTATTAATTTTCTGTAATATAACGCAAATAATGAAATATGTTGAAGGTTTTATTAAAAGCTAGCCATGCTCCTTTCTGTTAGTATATAGCGATTATCCTCATTGTCTTTTTCTTAGTTCGCAAAAAAAAAAAAAAAACTATTTTTGCAACTGAAACTGACCTTTTGAGTCGTGTTGTAGAGTTGAAGGGAATGTTTCAGTATGAAAAGAATAAACAGTACTAATTGTTTGAAGATGTTTGATCCACATCCTATATCTAGCTTTACAGTGAGGCCCGAACAGCCGACAGTATGCTGCGTGGGTGGGTCACGTGATTCATGTGTAATGCAACATGGCGACCCTGTATTCTGCATGTAGGAAGTTATTTTCATCTAATGTTGCGATAATACCGTCACACCGTGTTCTCTATGTGGATTCTAGACTTTTTTCATCTCTTTATTTTTTCCAGTCGATTTCGCTCCTCATTTATTTTAACTACAACAAAAAACTATCATTTTAAATCGCTTCATTTTTCTCCTCCATTTATTGCGGAACGTTTACTATTACTTTAAGAAAACTTGTCAAAGAGCAGCTGATTGTATCCTAGACTACCCTCCCGGAAACCATGGCAACTGTAAACAAACGCCATTGTAAGCGTTACATTTCACAAATAAAGCTCGCGTTCCCACGTATGACGAAGCATTGTCGATTTCTTCAGATAAAAGATGTTGGATATTTTCTTTGAGAGTGACATCGCATGATCTCTCGTGACGTAACGTTCTCTTTCGTGTTGTCTTGGTAACCGTCCTGGAAGTGTGTCATCCAACTGCCACCTAAGACATTCCTTGTACTGTCCCATCTACCCCTGTATGACTGCCACTCTGACCAACATTGAACGGATGAAATCATTGAGCTCTGTGTGTTTAAATTAGACATTTAGAAATGCCAAGTATTGATAATAATTGGAGTATTCACAGAAGAAACATAATTAATTTTTTTTGACACACTCTATCACAAAGCTGTTTCTCCGTTAGAGTTGGTGTACAAACGTGTAAGGTGGTAATATTATCACAGGGTAGGTAAGGCTGTATGTTGCTATGTGAAAAACACAGGCCGAACATCTGTATCCGGTTGTGTATAAAACGTGTTGTTGATATAGCTCTGTATCTGGTTGTGTATAAAACGTGTTGTTGATACAGCTCTGTATCTGGTAGTGTGGCCCTCATCTGTATAAAACGTGTTGTTGATATAGCTCTGTATCTGGTAGTGTATAAAACGTGTTGTTGATATAGCTCTGTATCTGGTAGTGTATAAAACGTGTTGTTGATATAGCTCTGTATCTGGTAGTGTGGCACTCAACTGTATAAAACGTGTTGTTGATATAGCTCTGTATCTGGTAGTGTATAAAACGTGTTGTTGATATAGCTCTGTATCTGGTAGTGTGGCCCTCATCTGTATAAAACGTGTTGTTGATACAGCTCTGTATCTGGTAGTGTGGCACTCAACTGTATAAAACGTGTTGTTGATACAGCTCTGTATCTGGCTGTGTGGCCCTCATCTGTATAAAACGTGTTGTTGATACAGCTCTGTATCTGGTTGTGTGGCCCTCAACTGTATAAAACGTGTTGTTGATACAGCTCTGTATCTGGTAGTGTTGCCCTCAACTGTGTATGCTCGAGGTGGCGATTAGTTCAGTCCAAATACAGGCTGTGTGTGAACTACAAAGTTGAGTTGGCCTAGACGTGTCTTATACAACACACCCAATATAAAACAATATATTCTAGGGCCTGACTTGATCTGTTCGTGTTTCATCACTACACACGGGATCTGCACCCTGAAGATCAAAGGTTACTGACCTAGTTTCCAACTACGATATAAAAACCAAGGTGACTGACCTAGTTTCTGTTAAAATCGGCGGATGAGAGCAAATTTGGCATGATTTACTAAACATTTGACGCCTTGTTTTTTATTCGCAGAAAGTGAACTTTAAAGAAATATTTCTTGCGTAAATGAGAAAGTTAAATACATCTACCCACCTCAACAAATACACATATAGATTACTTCTGTTTTATTGTATTTGTTAGGCGTGTGTTCAGTGTAAGACGAACTAGTGTCTAGCTAGAACTGTCCTACCGTCTTAACAGGCTGGACATTCTGCTAGAGACGGTTCCACATCGAATACAATACTAGTAGACGATAGTTTATTTAACCTTACGGATCGAGTATATTTAATTGAAATGACTGACGTCGGAATCAGAGTTTCTTCCAGGCATCTCTGGCGCCCCCCCCCCCCCACCCACCCACCCAACGAAATGAAATGAATTTATATAGACAATATATGCTTTTAGCAGTGTCCGCCCCGCCCCCCTCCGGATCCGGATATTTTAGAACGCCCCCCCCCTCCCAGAAAAAAGTCTTGAAGAAACACTGGAATCAACAAAGTCGGCAAATTCATAGGAAATAACCGGATTGGCTTATTTGTAATAATTGAAAGTAGTGGTTTAATGGATTCTCCAGTTTGGAGAAATGTCTTGTTTTGTTAGAAAACAGCGGAGTGAGAGAAGTCTGTTATGATAGAATTTAATCAGAGCTGTCATTTCGGCTCGACCTAACAGTCTATTTTTAGCTCAACCTGGCTCCAAGGCTTGCGATTTTTTGTAAAGTGGAGAAAATCATTTGTACATGAGTTCATCTAGATAGGGCCACAAAGCTGGGCCACTAGCTGTATGTGTCTTATAATGTCTCACTAGCTGTATGTGTTTTGTCATGTCTCACTAGCTGTCTCAGTGTTTTATGTCCCACTAGCTGTCTCAGTGTCTTGTGATGTCCCACTAGCTGTGTGTGTCTTGTGATGTCCCACTAGCTGTCTCAGTGTCTTGTGATGTCCCACTAGCTGTCTCAGTGTCTTGTAATGTCCCACTAGCTGTCTCAGTGTCTTGTGATGTCCCACTAGCTGTCTCAGTGTCTTGTGATGTCCCACTAGCTGTCTCAGTGTCTTGTAATGTCCCACTAGCTGTCTCAGTGTCTTGTAATGTCCCACTAGCTGTCTCAGTGTCTTGTAATGTCCCACTAGCTGTCTCAGTGTCTTGTAATGTCCCACTAGCTGTCTCAGTGTCTTGTAATGTCCCACTAGCTGTCTCAGTGTCTTGTAATGTCCCACTAGCTGTCTCAGTGTCTTGTATGGTTATAGCTACGGGCTAGCCATATCACTTGCAGACGTCATTTCTCCAATTTAATCGCGTGACGTGTAGGGGTGTTGACTCCAGTGTTGCTGTCTTTCTCTTCGTCTTTAAAGGTTGAAGCCTTAGGCCTATCCAATTTTATGTCGGGATAAATTGGACCAGCTAACACTATCGTCTCGTTAAATCACTACATTTTTTTTATATCCATACGTTTCCTTTTTTAATGTCTTTTTTCCCCCCATTGGAAACGTGTGGTTGACATGATCAAGCCTAATTGTATATAAAGTCTAGCTGTAATGATCTATACACGATGTACTCACCTCAAGACATTCTCTCGCCAGAAATTCTTCATCCGGGCATCAAAGTTGGACAAGCCCCGGTACGTCTGCCTGAGACAGAAAGATTGCGTCATCACCAAGGAGAGCCGGGTCCACTGCCAGTACTGTCGGTACCAGAAATGTCTGCAACTCAACATGTTCTACCCCAGTAAGTTGTCACTGTCTGTAGTGGTCGTACGGTGGTTGGTGGGGGTCGTACGGTGGTTGGTGGGGGTCGTACGGTGGTTGGTGGGGGTCGTACGGTGGTTGGTTGGTGGGGGTCGTACGGTGGTTGGTTGGTGGGGGTCGTACGGTGGTTGGTTGGTGGGGGTCGTACGGTGGTTGGTTGGTGGGGGTCGTACGGTGGTTGGTTGGTGGGGGTCGTACGGTGGTTGGTTGGTGGGGGTCGTACGGTGGTTGGTTGGTGGGGGTCGTACGGTGGTTGGTGGGGGTCGTACGGTGGTTGGTGGGGGTCGTACGGTGGTTGGTTGGTGGGGGTCGTACGGTGGTTGGTGGGGGTCGTACGGTGGTTGGTGGGGGTCGTACGGTGGTTGGTGGGGGTCGTACGGTGGTTGGTGGGGGTCGTACGGTGGTTGGTGGGGGTCGGTACCAGAAATGTCTGCAACTCAACATGTTCTACCCCAGTAAGTTGTCACTGTCTGTAGTGGTCGTACGGTGGTTGGTGGGGGTCGTACGGTGGTTGGTGGGGGTCGTACGGTGGTTGGTTGGTGGGGGTCGTACGGTGGTTGGTTGGTGGGGGTCGTACGGTGGTTGGTTGGTGGGGGTCGTACGGTGGTTGGTGGGGGTCGTACGGTGGTTGGTTGGTGGGGGTCGTACGGTGGTTGGTGGGGGTCGTACGGTGGTTGGTGGGGGTCGTACGGTGGTTGGTGGGGTCGTACGGTGGTTGGTGGGGTCGTACGGTGGTTGGTGGGGTCGTACGGTGGTTGGTGGGGGTCGTACGGTGGTTGGTTGGTGGGGTCGTATGGTGGTTGGTGGGGGTCGTACGGTGGTTGGTGGGGGTCGTACGGTGGTTGGTGGGGGTCGTACGGTGGTTGGTGGGGGTCATACGGTGGTTGGTGGGGGTCGTACGGTGGTTGGTGGGGGTCGTACGGTGGTTGTGGGGGTCATACGGTGGTTGGTGGGGGCTTATGTGGTGGTAAGTGTTTGAATGTTGTCATGATTAATTAAATAAAATGCCGTTAGTAAAGTAAAACTGTAACATTGCAAATGAAACACACACATGTACCTATACACATAGTGTATTTCTCCCCGTAATATTCTCATGTTCTAACATATATAGCCGTGTTTTGTTTGGATGTAGTCATCAATGTTCTGCCATTATACAACGTCATAGCCTAGCATTCATTCTCTTACCCGAACTGTCCAAGACACGATATTACACATTTTATTACCATATTGTACACATTGTACCTTTTTGCTCTTACCATTGTGAACACATTGTGCACTTTTTGCTCTTACTATCTTGTACACATTGTACCCTTTTGCTCTTACCATTGTGAACACATTGTGCACTTTTTGCTCTTACTATCTTGTACACATTGTACCCTTTTGCTCTTACCATTGTGTACACATTGTACCCTTTTGCTCTTACCATCTTGTACACATTGTACCCTTTTGCTCTTACCATCGTGAACACATGTCATTGTTCACTTTTTGCTCTTACCATCGTGAACACATGTCATTGTGCACTTTTTGCTCTTACCATCGTGAACACATGTCATTGTGCACTTTTTGCTCTTACCATCGTGAACACATGTCATTGTGCACTTTTTGCTCTTACCATCGTGAACACATGTCATTGTGCACTTTTTGCTCTTACCATCGTGAACACATTTTACCAACGTGTACACACGATGTTGTCATCACCCTGGGAAGACTGACATTCTTGCAGTCCATGTGTGGCCTGCCTGTGATGCTCTGGTGTATAATCAATGGTAAGATATTGGTAACAGCTTTGTAATCATCGGACATGAGTGAGTCCGTGCTCGCCTATCATCGATCATTAGCTTGTGTAACAGCTGACAGAATTAGCATCATTACAAGCTTGCACGAGCCAATCAACCACTTGAGAACAACAAACTGGTCGTCATGGTAAACGGATACTTTAATTTGAGCAGATAGATAACGCCAAACATTTACTTCCTCTCTACGTCCTGTCCTTAGCAAAGCACACCAGTAACAGGCACAAACCGACCTAATCCTAATCCTTCTGTGTTTAACCAAATCTTTGAATATGTCGAGAATATATTGCGTGATAAATATATATTTCAAAAGTTTTTAAGTTCGTGTCTGTGGGGTTTACGTGCAAAAAACTCTATTAGGACCAATTTCCTTTTAATGTATAAATTATTTATATAGATACTGACAGTGTTTTAAAGCAAAATATTTTCAGTAGCAGCATTGGTAGTGTCTAATTCACAAACTATGAATTACTGAAAAGTAGGAAAAAAAAACAACTAAATAGCGGCGTATGCTAGGCCGCGGGTCGGCTCGTGTTAAATAAAGAAATAAGAAAAAAAAACATGTTTTATAGCAGGCAGACAATAACGTCGACTACAATACAATCAAACCCCATGTAAAAGCCAACTAATGGATTTCTCTTAAAGGAAGTGACAGAACCAATTTCTTGTTGATGTCATGTGTATGCGTGTGTATGTGTTTTCAACTATAAAAGGCTTGGTTGGAAGAAAGTGTCTTGCAAGTGAACTTGCTGCCCCTGTGTTCTCTAGACACTGTCCATATTATGAACTTGCTGCCCCTGTGTTCTCTAGACACTGTCCATATTATGAACTTGCTGCCCCTGTGTTCTCTAGACACGGTCCATATTATGAACTTGCTGCCCCTGTGTTCTCTAGACACGGTCCATATTATGAACTTGCTGCCCCTGTGTTCTCTAGACACTGTCCATATTATGAACTTGCTGCCCCTGTGTTCTCTAGACACTGTCCATATTATGAACTTGCTGCCCCTGTGTTCTCTAGACACTGTCCATATTATGAACTTGCTGCCCCTGTGTTCTCTAGACACTGTCCATATTATGAACTTGCTGCCCCTGTGTTCTCTAGACACTGTCCATATTATGAACTTGCTGCCCCTGTGTTCTCTAGACACTGTCCATATTATGAACTTGCTGCCCCTGTGTTCTCTAGACACTGTCCATATTATGAACTTGCTGCCCCTGTGTTCTCTAGACACTGTCCATATTATGAACTTGCTGCCCCTGTGTTCTCTAGACACTGTCCATATTATGAACTTGCTGCCCCTGTGTTCTCTAGACACGGTCCATATTATGAACTTGCTGCCCCTGTGTTGTCTAGACACTTTCCATATTATGAACTTGCTGCCCCTGTGTTCTCTAGACACTGTCCATATTATGAACTTGCTGCCCCTGTGTTCTCTAGACACGGTCCATATTATGAACTTGCTGCCCCTGTGTTGTCTAGACACTTTCCATATTATGAACTTGCTGCCCCTGTGTTCTCTAGACACTGTCCATATTATGAACTTGCTGCCCCTGTGTTCTCTAGACACTGTCCATATTATGAACTTGCTGCCCCTGTGTTCTCTAGACACTGTCCATATTATGAACTTGCTGCCCCTGTGTTCTCTAGACACTGTCCATATTATGAACTTGCTGCCCCTGTGTTCTCTAGACACTGTCCATATTATGAACTTGCTGCCCCTGTGTTCTCTAGACACTGTCCATATTATGAACTTGCTGCCCCTGTGTTCTCTAGACACTGTCCATATTATGAACTTGCTGCCCCTGTGTTCTCTAGACACTGTCCATATTATGAACTTGCTGCCCCTGTGTTCTCTAGACACTGTCCATATTATGAACTTGCTGCCCCTGTGTTCTCTAGACACTGTCCATATTATGAACTTGCTGCCCCTGTGTTCTCTAGACACTGTCCATATTATGAACTTGCTGCCCCTGTGTTCTCTAGACACTGTCCATATTATGAACTTGCTGCCCCTGTGTTCTCTAGACACGGTCCATATTATGAACTTGCTGCCCCTGTGTTCTCTAGACACGGTCCATATTATGAACTTGCTGCCCCTGTGTTCTCTAGACACGGTCCATATTATGAACTTGCTGCCCCTGTGTTGTCTAGACACTTTCCATATTATGAACTTGCTGCCCCTGTGTTCTCTAGACACTGTCCATATTATGAACTTGCTGCCCCTGTGTTCTCTAGACACTGTCCATATTATGAACTTGCTGCCCCTGTGTTCTCTAGACACTGTCCATATTATGAACTTGCTGCCCCTGTTTTCTCTAGACACTGTCCATATTATGAACTTGCTGCCACTGTGTTCTCTAGACACTGTCCATATTATGAACTTGCTGCCCCTGTGTTCTCTAGACACGGTCCATTCTATGAACTTGCTACCTCTAAACTGCGTTTTTCCTTTGATGAAGAAACGTCTTGTATATTTTTACAGATGTTTCATTTTTTTTGCACGATCTCTGTCAATTTTTAGACGTAAGCCAGGATTTTCGAGCATCTCTAGTCCAACAGAAACATCTAGACGCCATAAGATGAAGTAGCACACTCAAGTTTTTAAAACCAGTCTATTGTGTATATATATATATACATAGTCGGGGCTCTACTTTATTCTCACATACCTCATTGATTTATTCATTGATTCAGTATTTTATTCTTTTGTTGTTTTTTTTTTTAAATATGTTAATCCGCACCAAACAATATTGGTGGGGGACGCCATAAAAGAAACCGACATCGAATGTTGAAGTTTGTATGGCTTCTCATAGAAGCGTGGCTGTAAACAAGCGTTCATTATTTGAAGATGTATAAGGCTTTGCCATTTTTGTTAGTGAAAAAAAAATTTTGGCCACAAATTTTCGTTAATTCAGAGGGTAGGGGGTGGGTAGAATAGATTAGGACATTTTACACCAGAGTTCCATGTAGTTGTTGTTGTTGTTATACCCAGTATAAAGTGGGTAGTTTCTAGCTACCCTGTATGAAAGTGGGTAGTTTCTAGCTACCCTGTATGAAAGTGGGTAGTTTCTAGCTACCCTGTATAAAAGTGGGTAGTTTCTAGCTACCCTGTATAAAAGTGGGTAGTTTCTAGCTACCCTGTATGAAAGTGGGTAGTTTCTAGCTACCCTGTATAAAAGTGGGTAGTTTCTAGCTACCCTGTATAAAAGTGGGTAGTTTCTAGCTACCCTGTATTAAAGTGTGTAGTTTCTAGCTACCCTGTATAAAATCTGTTTTTTGCCTTGAGCTAACCAAGCGATGTATCTCATTTGGTTGTGTCGGTAAATAAAGGTCATCGTGTTTCTTGTCAACCTTGACCTCCCTGCTGATGTTTTAGAGCACGTGCAGCAAGCAGTCACAGAATTTCGTCATCCCTGCTCACGCTATAGAGCTGTGTCTACAACAGTTTTTGGGCGGCCCCAACAAAATATCTGAGAGAAACCCTGTTTACCACCCCTACCCTGCCCTGCTAATGTTTTCTCTCTCTCTCTCTCTCCCCCCCCCCCCCCCCCCATCATTTCGCTATCTGCGCCATCTGTTGATTGCCAGCCTGTAACAAGTGGAACACATTTACACTGTGGCGTTCTTCGGCCTCATTCACGTGTTGATCTCACAGCATAGACTGGCATAGAGGTTCTTAAACCTTTTCAGGTTACCCACACCCAGCTGTGTGGCTGTAACAAACACACCCAACACCGTCAACCATATGCACACACACACAATGACAAATGTCTGAAAGAAACACGGATCATTCAGTGTACTTCTTACATAATACTACATGCTTATATAATTTATACATTTGATATACCATATAAAACATGTGTACATGATGTAATACATGTGTACCTTATATCAATTTTTATAACAAATGATACATTTGTACACCATGTGATATTTGAACATCTTCTGATACTTTTGTACAAATGTGATACTTGTGTACACGATGTGATACTATTGTACATGATGTGATACTTTTGTACACGATGTGATACTTTTGTAAACGATAAGATACTTTTGTACACGATGTGATACTTTTGTACATGATGTGATACTTTTGTACATGATGTGATACTGGTGTACATGATGTGATACTTTTGTACACAATGTGATATTGTACATGATGTGATACTTTTGTACACAATGTGATAATGTTGTACATGATGCGATACTTGTGTACATGATGTGATACTTGTGTACATGATGCGATACTGTTGTACATGATGTGATACTTGTGTACATGATGTGATACTTATGTACATGAAATGATATTTTTTGTTCATGATGTGATACTTGTGTACATGATGTGATACTTATGTACATGAAATGATATTTTTTGTACATGATGTGATACATGTGTACATGATTTGATACATGTGTACATGATGTGATACTTATTTGTTACAGAAGATGGGCAGAAGAGTGCCAACAAGGTGGGGGTGCAGGAAATTCCTTGTCGCGTCTGCTCAGCCCCGTCCTCAGGGTTTCACTTCGGTGCTCTCACCTGCGAAGGTTGTAAGGTAGGTGGCCAGGTGTTTTATAATGTATGCTGGTCAGGTGTTTTATGGTGTGTTGGTGGCCAGGTGTTTTATGGTGGCCAGGTGTTTTAAGGTGTGTGTTGGTGGCCAGGTGTTTTATGGTGTATGTTGGTGGCCAGGTGTTTGTGTGTTGGTGGCCAGGTGTTTGTGTGTTGGTGGCCAGGTGTTTTATGGTGTGTTGGTGGCCAGGTGTTTGTGTGTTGGTGGCCAGGTGTTTTATGGTGTATGTTGGTGGCCAGGTGTTTGTGTGTTGGTGGCCAGGTGTTTGTGTGTTGGTGGCCAGGTGTTTTATGGTGTGTTGGTGGCCAGGTGTTTGTGGCCAGGTGTTTGTGTGTTGGTGGCCAGGTGTTTTATGGTGTATATTGGTGGCCAGGTGTTTGTGTGTTGGTGGCCAGGTGTTTGTAGCCAGGTGTTTGTGTGTTGGTGGCCAGGTGTTTGTGTGTTGGTGGCCAGGTGTTTGTGGCCAGGTGTTTTATGGTGTATTGGTGGCCAGGTGTTTTATGGTGTATGTTGGTGGCCAAGTGTTTTATGGTGTATGTTGGTGGCCAGGTGTTTGTGTGTTGGTGGCCAGGTGTTTGTGTGTTGGTGGCCAGGTGTTTTATGGTGTGTTGGTGGCCAGGTGTTTGTGGCCAGTTTTTTGTGTGTTGGTGGCCAGGTGTTTTATGGTGTATGTTGGTGGCCAGGTGTTTGTGTGTTGGTGGCCAGGTGTTTGTGTGTTGGTGGCCAGGTGTTTTATGGTGTATGTTGGTGGCCAGGTGTTTGTATGTTGGTGGCCAGGTGTTTGTGTGTTGGTGGCCAGGTGTTTTATGGTGTGTTGGTGGCCAGGTGTTTGTGGCCAGGTGTTTGTGTGTTGGTGGCCAGGTGTTTTATGGTGTATGTTGGTGGCCAGGTGTTTGTGTGTTGGTGGCCAGGTGTTTGTGTGTTGGTGGCCAGGTGTTTTATGGTGTGTTGGTGGCCAGGTGTTTTATGGTGTGTTGGTGGCCAGGTGTTTGTGTGTTGGTGGCCAGGTGTTATATGGTGTGTAGGGATAGAAAATGTAATCAAAACAACAATAATTTATTCTTATTAGTTACTAGTTGTAAATGTGAAGGCAAGCTGATGAGATTGTTGGTTGCAATGTTTGACAGGGTTTCTTCAGGAGGATGGTGAAAGAAAGAGAAGCCTATACCTACAAGTGTAGCAAGAACAGTGGTTGTGAAGTCAATGCCATGACTAGAAACATGTGCAAGGCTTGTCGTTACAACAAATGTTTACAGATAGGAATGTCTGTAGAAGGTGGGTGTGTCCAACCGTATCATTGGGAGGTGGGTGTGTCCAACTATGTCTGTGGGAGGTGGGTGTGGCCAACTATGTCTGTGGGAGGTGGGTGTGTCCAACTATGTTTGTGGGAGGTGGGTGTGTCCAACTATGTTTGTGGGAGGTGGGTGTGTCCAACTATGTCTGTAGAAGGTGGGTGTGTCCTACCATGTCTGTAGAAGGTGGGTGTGTCCAACCTTGTCTGTAGAAGGTGGGTGTGTCCAACCTTGGTGGGTGTATCCATGTCTGTTGAAGGTGGGTGTGTCCAACCTTGTCTGTGGTAAGTGGGTGTGTCCAACCTTGTCTGTGGTAAGTGGGTGTGTCCAACCTTGTCTGTAGAAGGTGGGTGTGTCCAACCTTGTCTGTAGAAGGTGGGTGTGACCAACCATGTCTATGGGAGGTGGTTGCGCTTAATAAAGTATATGGAGGTGGGTGTGACTAGCTAATTTGGTTGTGTCCTTAAAATTTTATTAGAAAATTGAGCTTTTTTTTTAAATCATTGCCATAGCAAACTTTCACCAGGTTTCAATGCTTAAATTCAAGTCAATTCTTTCATACAGGTAGTCGCATTGGTCGCCAGCCAAATGCAGTGAAGCATGCCATTTCTCTTGAAGCCAAAAAGCAGGTAGCTCTAAAGACAGAGCCTGGCACTGGTCCCCATAAACACGAGATGGACACCAGCCCCTCCAATTTTAATTTTGATTCTGTGGTCCTTGACCCCTGCATGGCTGCTGATATGGAGGACAGCCTGCAGTCCGTGGACCACCAGACCACACACGGCACAGACAAGACCAGCCCCATGGCTGAATACTCACACAAGCGGACAGAAGCTAGGAGGGATGCTGATGACAGCTCAAACATCCACTCGCCCCCATCCATCATACATTCACATCAGGAAATGTTCCGCATGCCCTCACAAGCAGTGCAGGACCATTCAAGACACAGCAGGGAGCCTTACCCCCACAACTCCCCACCATTCCACCCCTGCACTCAGCTGGACATCTACAGTCAGCCGCAGGATGAGGGCATTGACCTGTCCATGTCTCGCTCACCTTTAACCAGCTCAAACTATTCTAGTGCTCACCTGCCTGCCACCACCCACCAGAACCCCTTGCCACTACCAACCTACCAGCCCCCACCATCCCCATGCTATAGTTCACCAGTCCATACACCTCAGGGGCTGCACACCTCCCACCAGCAGCTGCACACCTCCCACCAGCAGCTGCACACCTCCCAGCATAGACCATCCAACAGAAACAGCTCTGTAGACAGAGACGAGGCCCCCAGACATTACTACACCAGCAGGGAGGACTACAGCCAGCCCTACCCCACCTACCAGCACACATATCCAGGGCTAGCTGGTAAAGAAGGTTACCCAGAGAGGTCGTCCAGCCCGTCCCCCCAGCCAGCCAACAGCTACAACAGCGTGTGCTCATACAACAAGCCCCACGCTGGTGAGTACCACCAGCAGCACCACAGCTCACCCTACCTGAGACCAGAGTCTGAGCCACCCCACTACAGCCAACACTACCACAGCGACATGCCCTACCCCAACCCCCTGCTGGACTACACCAAGGACAGACAGCAACACTACAGACAGCACATGCTCAGCCCTGACAGATCGCCAGAGTCCTACCAGCCTCACAACCTAAGCATCAGGCAGCCCCAGCACTACCCTCAGTACAACAGAGAACTGATGGAAAGCAAATCTCAGCCTAAACCCACTGCAAGACGTGGGGCAGACAGTGCCCACATGAAACCCAACGCGCCAGTTCCACAGCTCAATTCCCCACTGAACTATCACAAACCTAAGCCAGCCACGCCCCAGCCAGTCCACAAGAAGTCAGCAGTACAGGAATACAACGGGAAGTTTCTAACTTTCCAGGCTCTCCATGATGAGCTCAAGTCAGCTGCCACCAACCTGTTTCATATATGTGTTACAGTAAGTGCTGCACACTCTTGATCTTACATAACCACAGGTTATAAAGTTATAATAAAGATAAAAGTTATAAAGATAAAAATAAACACTTGGTCATTGCTAATGTAAACAATGAGTAGAATTAAAAATCAAAGCTATGCTATGTGCCTTGTCTAAATTAGTATGCTCTAGTTGTTTGATCTAAGTTTATAAATGTGGGCTGTATGCTCTAGTTGTTATCTAAGTTTATAAATGTGGGCTGTTTTTCTGGTACCATGTCTTGTGTGGTTGACTATGTTTCTGACATGGGGTTGATGTCCACAGGATAGAGCCAAGTCTGATATCTATGATCCTAAAAAGTTTGAGAATGTTGATGCCTGCTGGGAGAGGATGATGGAGCATTTCAACTTCCATGCCAAGTGTATCGTCCGCTTTGCTAAAAGGGTTCCAGGTAAGTCAGTTGTTGGTGCTCATTAGCTTCATTTACAAGTATTTACAGGGGGGGGGGGGGGGGGGGGGGTTCATTTAAAGCCAATATGGAAACTGGGTGGTGGTTTCATTTACAAGTGTGGAAACTGAGGGGTGGTTTCATAATGTGTAATTAAAACAAAAAGTTAAACCTAATGTTGATATTTCAGGTTTCAAGGCCATAAAACTTGATGATCAAGTTCAGATGTTAAAGATGGCCACCTACTGCATTGTAATCCTGATCCACAGCAGAGAGTACGAGCCTGACACTGGCTTCTATAACTACTTCAATTTCTCCAGACTTGAAATACCCCCTGTCAAAGTAAGCTGCTCTTTTACTCCAGTTGGTGTGCTTGGGCAGAACTTGGTTGAAATATTATGATCCCACCTAAAATGTTAACCTTTTTTAAAGCTACATGGTTTCTCAACTTCTGTGCATTAGCACTAAAACAAACATTGGCAAAATATATATTGGATATTTTCAATGCAAACAATGGCTTAACATACAGAAATTTATGTAACACCAAATGTTTCACTTGTTTCTGATGGTAAATGTGTTTTATTTTGTAGGAGTTGTTTCCAGAATTTGAAATTCTCTTCAGTCACTTTAAGCACACTGGTGTGATGGCCAAGCGCTTGTGTCTGACAGACACAGAATATGCCTACCTGTCTTGTATGTTGCTGTTGGATGAAGGTGAGTGTCTCATCTGTCTGCTTGTTTCTGTTGCTAGAGTTGTAAGATTGCATGAGCTGTGGGCTCAGCAGTTTGTATTCATCAGTTAAAGATTGTTGTATTGTTTGTTCTTTTGTTTTTATTAACATCAAGGTGTTGTTTTTTATCAGAGTACCCAGGACTGGAAGATCCTAAAAAAATCAAGGAGTTAAAAGAAAAATACACAGATGCCTTCCATGAATATGAAATAGGTGAGAACCAACATATAACTTAGTCATAGTCACTTATTTTAAAATACTTGATGGGATGTTACGGTCCAGGACAACTGCTAACCCAAAAGCCTCTAGTTCAGATCTCGGGCTAAAATTTGTAGGGTATCCCTGAGTCCACCCAGCTCTGAAGGGTGCCTGTTTGACATTAGGGAACATAAAGGCAGCTAGGCAAAGTGCTGACAACACTATCCCTTCAGATGCCGAGTTCACAGAAATAAGTGAACTTTACTTTATTTGCTCTATAGATTTCAAGCATTGAAAAAAAAATACCTTTCAACCATAAAGCATGATTAATTGAGCAAATTAATTTGATTCAATTTAGCACTGGTATAAAGGCATACTCTAAAAATAGGGATTTCTTCCTTACCCAACCTTTGTAAAAAATCAGTGAATAATATTCTTAATATTTAGATTACCACAAGAAAATATTTGATTAGGTTGTCTAATGAATGAGTGCATGTTTTGACAGAAAACTTCCCCAACGGTAGTCTACGTTTTGGTGAAATGCTTCTGCGCCTGTCTGAGTTCTCCCAGTTCTCCATGCAGCACAACATTGCCGTGGGTCTTGTCATCACCAAAAACTCCCAGCTCCATATACCCCAACTGTATGCTGAGATGTACAACACTAATGACTCTGGCGCTAACTCTGACTGAGGAATGACCAGTAACAAGGATGGAATGGTTTATTTATCAGTTGGAATAAGGTTTCTCATAGGGCTGTGAATTCAAGAAAATTCCTACATTGGATTATTGTAGCCAACAATGGGCCTACTTATTTTGTGAATGATCAAGGTCAGTTACAATGTGAAGAAAATGTGAAAGATCCATCTCTGATTTCTTGCATTGATAACTGGAGCAATCATCCAGATGCTGCATGATTTTTCTTATTTCTGTCTGGATACTGGACATTAGGGACGTTACTTTGTTCCAATTGGATTCTATTTATAGCTCAGAATTTTGAGCAAGCAAGCTGACCAATCTTAGAATATTTTTTTAAAACTAATATTTTTTTATCTAGTATCCTTTTGGATGAGGATATTTGATGTGGGTTTAATGTAGTAAATTTTTGTTCTGACAGCGTTCTCTCTTCTTCTTCTTTCTCCCCCCCCCCCCTTCTTTGTGCATGAGGTAGCAGCAGTTAATCTTGGGTTATTGAAGCATCCAGTGCCTTCACCCATTGATATTTCTGTACGACCCCTATTTAGAGCAGCAAGACTAAGAAAGAAAAGCTATTTGTATAGACTCTAGCTACAGCTAACCTTGATGAGATTGTAGTCAGTAGAGTGACATTCCAAATGATGTAAACATAAACTGAACATTTCCTCTAAAATATATTGATGAGAATGTTTTTTTTCTTAATGTAATATATAACTTCATTCTATACCGGTAGCTAAGATGGTGTTTTTTTTGTTTGTTGTAATAAATATTAGCTATTAAAACCACACAATGTAAAAGATACATGATCAACATTTTATTGTTACTTTCTTAATCACCATGAATAGTTTTCTGTATCAAAATCTATTTCTATCTCAGGTATTGTTTAGATTTTTATACTAGGGTCTGTTACTTTTAGAAAGATAATTTTAGTGTTATATCACTAATCAGAATTTCCTGCTTCTTCAAACTTATTGCTTAAACTCTTAGCATGTCATAAGCTTCAGTCTGTTAGGAATAAAACTGTAAACAAGGACCATAAGAAATTGGTTGTTTTATTTATGTCAACTGGTTGTGGTCAGAAAATATGAGAAAGAATTCAGTAGGCTGCACTAGTTGAGCCACTCATCATTTAACTTCGGAAAGATTCATGAGCTAGTTACTATAGAGCAAAGGCATATCAGCTTTAGCTAGAGCACAAATTGCTCATGTTGATTGTTGTTTGTGATTTTCATGTGTTTGTCCAGCCATATAAGTTGTACACTTGATAAGGTGTACTGAGATGATAAATTAACCCAGAAATGTCTTACCAAATGCATGTTGTAACAGAATGCTATGTTGTATCAAGTGCCATACACTCATCTGGTGATGCTCACCTATTTAACTGACTTTTTATTTATGTATATGTTGTCATATTTTTAGCACTGAAATGATTTTTTTTGTCCATTAATGACTTATTTCACTCAATTTGCAATTTCAAATTCATTTACACTCTATTTAATATTTAATACAATTGTGATGTTAAAAATTTTAAAATTTTTGTTTCAACTTGATGTAATGGTGGAGTTCCATTTTGTATAAATTTCATGTGACATCAAGTTACAAGTACCCATATATGTGGTGTACAGTTTTGTATCATTAACTATTTAAAATCATGAATGAAACAAAGGTGTCAGAATGTTTTACCGCTGTAGATGAGAAAGAACTTGGATTAAAGCATAACAAAGCTTTTGAGTCATTCATTTTACCATATATCATGAATTATTTTTATCGCAGAAACATTTGAACACAGTAACAATAAAATGAATTGGAATTTACAGCAGTTATCAACAAAAACTGAAATAGCATTTGTCAATTTGAAACTCAATGGAAGGTTGCCATAATTTCTTGTACTCACACAGATAATTTTGTTATTTCAATTTTTTTGTAAAGGTTTGGTCAAAATTTTATTACACAGGAGTGCATTATGTAATCTACTGCCAAGCACTCAGTTAACTATTTAAGTGTGCTAAGTTATTAAAGTGTAAGTTGTTTAATGTACATCAAAATTTCTTTTGCTTGTTTATTTTAGAAGAGGAATGCTAAATTACAATTTGTTATGAAACAAAATATGTAAAATAATTCCCTAATTGTTTGACTTTTTAAACTGGTAGCTGATTGTGTAATTGCTCAACTCTTGGCTAGACACCTTACTGACATTAAATGCAGCTCTCCTAGTTGTTTCAGTACCAAACTTTCTCACTGGCCATAGTTTTTACACTGGTAATTCTATTTTTGAATATTGTGCCTTTCAGTGGATTGTAATGCCTTATGTGATGATAACTTACATTTTTAAGGCACTTAAGTTAGCTTTTGTTGGTAGGAAAAAATGTAAGGAAAGTGTGTGTTATACCAAAATTTGACACCTGGTGTTGGTGTTTTGGGCTATTGAGCTATTAGAAAAGTGCATCTACGTTGTGTGATAAGCTAGATGGGTGAGATTCTGGATGATTGAATAGATCCAGTGGTGGCACATAACATGCCCAGGCTGTTTACCCTCATTGATTTGTTTACATGACAAACTTTTGGATTCTACATTTCTTTTTACAAATAAAATACATCTAAATTCAAGGAGACAAAAATGTTACTGCACAGAAGACAAAGCTGCATTATGTCCACTGTTTAGTGAAATCAGTGTAGTGCACACATGTGCAATGTTGAAAATACTGCTTTGGTCTTCTATAGCGTCAATGTTTGAAAATATCTTCAACTTTCATTACAATGCATTGTGTTCTTTTGGTGGAAAGTTCAGTTTGTCAGAACAGTGTGGTAGGGACCATGTAATATATGGAATATTTGTCTGGGGTAATTAAGTAAATCTGTTGATTGTTTGAGACAAATGGGGCTTGTGACAACAAATATTATAAACAATCATTTGTGTAAATACACATCATGTTTCTGTCTTTAGAGTCAGTTGTTTTTCTCAGTAAAAAAATTGTAATTATGTCGGTGTATAAATTTGTTTTTAATAAAAATTGTACATTTTTGGGTTATATATTTTAAAATTGCCCTTGGTATATTTTGGATTTCTATTTTATTTCAAGTCTTTTTATAAAACCTACCTCATCATACAACATTCTTTCATCAAAACTTGAGAGATTTTAAAACATATATTCTATTTCTACTAGATTGGTTTTATTTCCTGGAAAGATTTTCTAGAAGCAGATAAAAAGATAGCTGATAATGTTAAATGGTATGCATTGAGAGATAAAAAGACAAGTTGTGCCTAATAGAGTGAGACCTAGTGTAATCTATATATTCACATCTACTTGGTTTTTTTTTTTTAATGTGGCTTTTGTTTTGGCTACTATATTTTACAATAAATGACATACCTTATTAAACAAGATTTTGGAAAAAAAAAATTAAAATTTCAACCAATTTTGACAGTTCAACTGAATAATACATACTGAATGAAATGTAAAGTAGCAGCTGTAAATTTTTGGCAGCTTATTTATTCCCTCATGTACTTTTAGGTCAAATCTTTCTAGAGGTCACATTGTTTTGTCGTTTGGGTGGTGTTATTTAGCCGATGGTCACTTGGTTGATTTATTATATAAAATCTGGAGTCTGTTATCTTTTTGCAATAAGTCAACAGATATTCTAACTTAACAATTAACTGTACATTGTGAAAATGCATAATGGCGGTTTCAAAAAAAAGTAGAATCTTTTTAACTATACAAGTTTTTTTATAGTTTCTAGGAAATAAATGTCTAACTGGCATGCTGCTGCGTGTGCTTGTTAAAGTTTGTCCACAATTTGTGGTTCGAACCAAATTTGTTAGAGCAATGGTAGTATGTACAACTTGGTTTTATGTTTGCTGTTTGAACTCAAATGGGCGGTAGCTTGCAGTTGCCCAGCTGTTATGTTTTGATATATGACATATTTTTAGATATCAGAATATTGAAATTAAAATTGACCTTTTTTAAGTATTTAAGACTGAAAGTTTTGTAAAAATGTGAACCAGTTTTCCTGTTTTGTTACTCTCCCGCCTCCCTAAGGACATAACCACAAGAAATAATCTTTATACAGCTTCAAGGGCAAGCCAGCCTTTTATTTCATCCCCATGTTGTTTTGACCGGTTTTATTGGTAAAAACTGTCATATGGTCCGTGATTTTTTTGTTTCAATAAAATATAAACCATATCAAAATGCATTGTTTGTGTTATTATCTTTGTTTCCTACAGATGTATTGGAAGTGGTATACAAGTGACAAGGGCTTCATACAAATAACATTCAATGTATTGAAGCCGTCAAATTTAAATTAGTTTTTAAAAAAGACAATTTTTTACTTAACTTGTAATGGTCATACAAATAAGTGAATTTCTACTTCAGAAAAATCAATGTATTGAGTTTAAAATGACTGTACATTGTCATCTGATGTATTGGGAGGCTGCAAAATCAATAGCTGGGGAATGGACAAACTGGAAGGTTATTGTTGAGACTCTATGCCCTCATGGAGTAAAGAGGATTAAGTCAAGTGCCTCCTTTATCCTGGATGATAATGAACTTATGTTGTATGCTATGGCGGATGATGGTTTAGAAAGTTGCATACATTGACAGTTTAAAAAAAAATTATAACTGATATTTTTAACTTTGTTATCCTCCAATTTACTTAGAAATCAAATATATATTAAAGAAGAATAAAAATTAAAATGATAGCACACACACAAGAGAAAACATTTTACTTTTACTGTCAAACTTTAATTGTGAAAGTAACATATTGGTAAAAACGTATCGCTGAACAAAGTACAAGATGAGAAGGTCAAGAATAAACTTGAAAATAATTTCTCATTGCTATTATAAGTCCACTATTGGCAGCAATATTTCCCCAATGTTGGGAGTAGATGGCTATAGGAAAATGTCCAGGAGTTGTGGAATATGGAGGAGGAATACTGCGCAGCAACTCACCACTGCCAACACTCCACAGTTTAGAGTAACTGTCAGATCCAGCTGCAGATATTTACATGTAGACTTGTTACTTAGAAAATACAACTATATATGTCATTTAGGTTTTTAATATTACAAACAAGACTTACTGCTACAAAGAAGTGTTTCACTTTCATCCAGGTAAAAAGGCAACTGATAATGAGAGTTGATCAAGCCCTTGTACCTCATAACAACTTTATGCATGCGCTGGTCCCAAGTACAAATCTATTTTGAACATAAAGCAGTTTGCATTTACTTTCTGCTTAAACACTTGACAAAATAAATAATCTAAGCATATTTAAACACCAAAACCAGTTAAGGTTTAGCTTACTGTTCCTGAAAAGTCACTGGCCATGATATAGTTTTCATCCTTCTGATGCCTCAGACAGCCAATGCCTTCGTTCTGTCTCATCTCAGCCTGAGGTCCACCACTTCCATGACATCTGACATCATGGCTGAGGATTAGACCTGCCCGTGTACCATTGTACAAGATGTTGGGGTTCTAGGAAGTAAAGTGTCTGTCAACTTTTTGTCAGATTCTCTTTTACAATAAAAGTAAACATTAAAAAAAATACTACTACTTTTGTTTAATATTAAATTGCATTAAAATGACTACCACATTTTTCCAAGTTTTTTTTGGTGAAAATATGTATCAATTATTGAATCAATTTATGGTCTCAGTTAAAAGACTGTACTGTTTAAGGAACATGTGCAAACATCATACTTCTGTTTACTGAGAAGATAAAACACAAGTGATCTTACATTAGGAGAGAAAAGCTGTGCTAGTGGATCACTGTTGTAGGTTTTGTATGTCCATCTTCTACGTGTTGACACATCAATTAGATGGCACTTGCGCTCTGAACCAACACTAAATCTTGACTGGTGGCTGTCCCATGCTGAAGACCAGACGATCTTGAAGCCCAGATTCAGTTCAAATACTGTCATCTATGGGGGCAAAAATAGATTTGGTGTACAACTAGTGTGGTCATCTATTCAGGAAAACACATACTGGGTATACAATAAATACTTGTCATTTGTTGAGGTATACAATAAATACTTGTCATTTGGTGGGGCAACAATAGATTTGCTTTACAACTATTACCGTCATCTATGACATCTTTAACCATCTCCCCCCCCCCCCCCCACCCAACTTAGTACCACTTTATGCAAGTGAGGCAAACCTTGGTCAAATGCCTGAACAATGAGAAAATAGAATTTCTTCAATAGCCAATACAATATCTCCAAAGTAGAAAACTCATGATGGTATTTGTTTTAAAAGAATAAAATATTGGATAGTTCCAATAGTAAATCTTGAAAAACTGCACAAAAAGAAATGAAACACTAACTTACTGAATCATTATTTTCAGCATCAAGATTCCCAAGGTAAACTAAACTTGGCATATATCCAATAGGGCAAACAGTAGTGTAGAGAATGGTATTTTTCCCTGGCAAATTAGGCAGTTTGGCCCAGCATAAGGAGCTAACTTTTTTGTAAATAGGGCCAAGAGGTAAATCAGGTGGCTTCATTTCAATGACAGTTTGTTTCCTGTCTTTTCTACTGAGCTGAGTTTTTTGAGTGACTGTCATCAACTGGATACACTGGGCTATGCTAGATTTGAGGGTTGAGACACAGACCATCTTGTCTCTTTCAGGACTCACCTCCACTTTTTGAATTTCTTCCAACCTTAGACTGAAACAAACAAAGCTTGTTCAAATCTACATGCACAATGGTGTTGGTGGGGGAATAAAAAGAATTTGCTGAGTTACGAGGTTACCAACTTTTTTTTTTGCCACATTACAGCAAACAATAGACCTGAGTGGAAGCTGGCACTGCATGGTGTAGCAGTAAAATGGATGCTAGAAGACCCTGAAGTCATGAGATTGAGAACATTGACCAAAATGCCCCTCATGTCCAAACAAAGTGGTGCAATGCAGTGGGGGAGGAAAGCAAAAGCCAGATGGAAACCAGGTAACAAGTCCTAGTGGGTCTGGCTAATGAGCAAATAGTTTGAGCCAGTAATGAGTGTATACAAGAGAGGGAATGATATTATCCTAGTGAGATACACACAGGCTGTTTGAGATTAAACCTAGAGCTGTTTGAGATTAAACCTAGAGCTGAATCTTACCTGGGCTGCTGAGGACAGTGGTTTTCCCATTCTGAGTTGGGCTCAATGTTGCAACATGCCCGTTGTATTATGTAAGTTGAAAGATTCCGACAAGTGAACTGACCACACTGGACATTCCTCAGAACATCAAGAAGATGCTTGGTCCTATTTGTCTTGGGCCTGGGCATGAGAGGTGCGACCTGTGTCTTTGGAAGTTTCCCTAGACTGTCAATGTCTGATAAACGCTGTTTCTCTGCCACCTGCTTTTTTATGGTTTCCTTAGTAACAAAGGAGCCAACAGAACTCATTGTGTTGGGTAAAATCTTGAAGTAACTTTTCTTTTCTCTGTCATAGTAGTAGCCAGGGAGATCTGACTCTGTTTCATCTGGGCACAAATGTAGGACACTCAATACATCATAGATAGATGAAATAAGCATTAGTACAGTACATACATACCAACACATGCTTATAAAATACAAACAAATGACAGTACAAAGTAACACATACATACAGTACACAGCTACATATGCACACAGTAACACAGACATATAGTACACAGTAACTCAAGCACACAGTAACACAAACATAGCACACAGCTACACATGCACACAGTAACACAACCACACAGTAACTCAAGCACACAGTAACTCAAGCACACAGTAACACAGACATATAGAACAGACCAAGAGATGCAGATGATGTGTGACCCAGCTGAGTTGAGGCCTGCAAGAAATGTCCAGCTGAGGATGGAACACTGGGCTTGTTTTGTCTGCTGCTGCCATGTCTGGCACTATGATGAGTTCTTGTAGAGCTACATGCCTGTGTTTGGTGACTTGATGCTTCATCCAGCTGCCTGGGAGCGTGGGAAGAAAAACTGCTTGTATCACCACAGCCACTTCTGTCATGACTTCTGTTTGAAACCCGTTCATTTTGAAATCTCTCTCTTGAATGGTGATTTACATTTTTCTTTTTTCCGTATTTATTACTTTTACTGTTCATGATAGCTGCAATTCAAAGACACATTTCTAATTACCTAATTGATAAATAAGCAATGAATTATGTAACCTGAATATTTGAAGTTCAGTTCTCTGACTTGAATCAGTAGTATATCCCTAAGTTCACCCAGCATTATTTAAATCAATGTGTACTAGACTAAAGAAAGCTAAGGGAAGTAGTAAAAACAGTGGAAGTTACAGAAACTCCACTTGATCAGCAATATTTAATGATCATCAATTCAGAAAGGCTAACTTGACTAGCCGTCGGTACCGGTTACACGTGAATTATTGATCTATATATTTTTAATGTTAAACTTGTTTGAAAATTGTTCTCTGACTTGAATCAGTAGTATATCCCTAAGTTCACCCAGCATTATTTAAATCAATGTGTACTAGACTCAAGAAAGCGAAGGGAAGTAGTAAAAACAGCGGAAGTTACAGAAACTCCACTTGATCAGCAATATTTAATGATCATCAATTCAGAAAGGCTAACTTGACTAGCCGTCGGTACCGGTTACACGTGAATTATTGATCTATATATTTTTAATGTTAAACTTGTTTGAAAATTGTATAAAATAGTTATTGGTCAAAACGCAATTATATTATTATTATTATATTATTATATTAGGATATTAATATTAATTATTAATGATGTGGGACAATTTGTTAATAGGCGTAGCTAGATTACAATTTATTTTGATCTACCCAAGTGCTATGTGATGTGTGTATGAATGAGTAATGAATGAACTGACTTATTAACTTATGAGACAATATAATGAATGGCACTATGTGACTAGCCTCTATACACTACAGTTCCACTATGCTGCTATTAACAAATTTTAGTAGTAGATCTAGTCTAGAAGTAGATCTAAAAGTTAATTGTCAACAACTTTCAACAAGTCAAATTCAATTTTGGGTAACGAGGTTTTCCAAATGGCAAATAGTGTACTCTAATAGTCAAATAATTTGTAACTATTTAGCCTAGTATATGAAGTGTATATTCTCAGTTGACTGGGAATATCTGTATTAGTATTGGGGCTAATGTTCCCCAGTCGGAATGGTTTTCAATAGATTTGATGTTAAAAATACCTTATGAGGTATGACGCTGCATGGTTCAAGTGGAACAACAATGAGTTAAGTAATCTCACAATATAGCATTGGTTATTATTCCAGAATGGTACAGCAGTAAAAAAAAAGTAAAACCATTGCGTAGTCTATCATTCCATTATGGAAACCATCGGAAATATTGTAAACCATATTTTATGTGGCGCCATATTATTTTTAATACATAATGTTTTAAAATGTGCATAGGTTGATTTCAGTTGCATTTTAAATACTGTTTTGCTAATTAATATGAATTATTTTGTATTTCTAAATATTTTAAGTTTTTAGGTGTGTGTGTTACTTAAATATTGCTGCTACTAACGATTAATCATTATTATTCTCGTCACACGCCCTTCTTGGGTGTTGGGAAACTGCGAGATGCGAAAAGGCAAGGCGGGAAAATGCGAGACATACCTGCGGAAACACGGGTAAACGGCGAGACACAGTTTGCGAAGAAAATTGTGTTTCATGTTTTTTTGGTTGTTTTGTTTTTTTAGTTATAAACTATAATGTTTATAAACTAAAGAAGCTGATATAAAATGAACGTTGTGTGTTGTTCTTTTTTTTAAATCTAGTTTTGATTTTTTATATGAACATCCTAAGAACGCCTTCTCTCGTTTTTTTGTCAGCGGGAGAAAAAAACAGCAACCATACTCATTTACTATAGCAGGCATCTTGTTTATTATTTTTTTTATTGTAGACTTATAGCGCAAGATTCAGGGGAATCACTCAAACTTACAGATGGCCGCTTTTTGAGCAAATCCTGCTCGCAAACACTGCTGTTTAAACTAGTTTAAAGTTAATTTCTTGCCTAGATCTATATATAATAGAAATCTATATTGATATATAATATATATAATATAATATATATTTAGCCGTTGATTTAGGTTTATTATAAATTATTATTCATTTACATTTATTTATTTATCTATAGTCCATAGGCCATAGGCGGATTCTTTGCCACTTGCTTTAGTACTTTAGTTAGTTTTTAGACTATACGTCACTATTATTATAATAATATACGTCATACGAGTTGTACTCTGTACCAGCAGCAGACACTTTCGGTCAAACATATTTAACATAAGTAACATACTGATATTAAATCTACATACACAATCAGTAGGCCTACCCACTACACACTACACAGCGTAGTACACACTGTCTACACAAGGTCGATTTTGAAGTATTTTAGTAGGCTGTTGCTCGTAATTTTTAAACTCCACTAATTTCAAGTAAAATTATACCACAAAAAAACAGGATTTTTTTCCCTACACATTGATACCAATTTTGTGTCTCTAGCTTAATTAGGAGCTAAGATATGGCCTTTTAAAAATTTGTGGGCGTGGCTAAAACAGCTTAGACCTTCGTCATTCAAGTCAATGTTACATAAGCAAAAAAGTTGGCACCGATGGTTTTTTCATTGCATCATCACGGATTCGCATTTTTCGAAAAATTAAAAAATTATAATTTTATTGCATCATTCGGGATTCGCATTTTTTTTAAAACTAAAAAATTATAATCAAGCTTAAAGTCTAAGTTATTATACTGGACTGGATGTGATTTGAATGAGTAATTTAATGCCATTCATATATTATTATTGACTTATTACTCCGTGTAAAAAAAATAATGTAGATCTAGGTTTAAGCTAAACTAGATCTAGTTATTGTAAATCGATTTATTATTATTTAATACTGTTACTACTATTATTGTATAATAGAAATGCATAAGCACATATTACTGCACACGTTCTTTATATCTAATTGTAATGAACGATATTACTTGGGTAGATGAAGTAGAGTAGAGTACATACATACACACACTTCATGATAAATGGAAGTAGCAATTGGTTGCCTTTACTTTCTCTCTCAGCCCCCCCCCCCCCCCCCACTTACTTGATATTCCGTGTCTATATTAGGAGGCCATAATAAAATTATAGAACAAAATAAAAAGAAAACAGCTTTCAAAGTGTGTACCAGTGTTTATTACTACTAAACTATGCAATGTAAATTATTAGAATGTGAGAAACACAGTATTAAAATACAGTAATCAGATTACCACATGAATTTTAATTTTGTCTAATAAGATAGAAACATTTAGGAGAATGGCAAAGTAAAAAAAAAGATTGTTTGCACTAATTTAAAAATATGTTTATCAGAGCAAAGAAATAAACTACATAGTGACAACCTCAATTTAGCCCTTGTATAATCTACGTACCACCAACACAGTACTGTAAAAAAGTTACATAATCATAATTAGTGTGAAGAAACAAATCTACAGTACAAGAAATCAGCCTCGTCTCATTAAGATCTCTTAAGAAGAAAAGTAGTATTAATTATCAAGGAATAAACATTAAAATATTGGTTTAAAGTATAATTACTAGTAGATCTAGATCTAACCCATTTATTGAATGTATGCTGGAAAAAAAAATAGGTGTCGAAAAACTTCTTGGACCACTTTAGTCTCTTAGTGTTAAAACAATTTTCTTAAGTATCAATTATAATTAATCTTTAGATACAATTAGCACATCTGAGGAAAAAAATATATTTTAAAAAGCGTTAGTACTTGTGTGATAAATTAGTTTGGACCAACATTTTTGAAGCACATTAACTACTGATTCTAGGATTATCTAGCTGATTTCAATTACCCTGAAAAATAAGTTAAGTAATTAATTAAAATGTAATTTTTTTTTACACTATGAAAACTAAACTTAATTATAAACATTGTTAGTATTAGTTTTCAAAATAAGTTTACAATGCACAGCAATCATTTTTTCAGTAAGAATTTACAAAAACACTAATGTTTAAAAAATAAAGTTCATTTTTATACTAAAAATGAAAGAAGTACTCTGAAATTCTGATTAGCTATTATTCAGAAAGAAAAACAAGATTCCTACAAAGTTAACAACCAGTGATTCTGCCAGATGACTTAAATCCTCAGCATTATCCTCATCCTCTGCCCAGTAGCTTATGGTGTAAAGAGCAGACTTTTATTTTGTTGCTGGCACCCTTTTAATAGTCCTTCCACTGTGTTGCGACACACCCTGATCACCTTGCTCCCACTTATGAGTCAGCTGAACACCAATCAGATTTCCCATCAGATACCTCTCCAGCTGTCGCACCAAGAAAGGTTCAGTAGAAGTCAACAACGCTTCTATGACTTTAAGAAACAGAGTACATTTGATCGCCACATTGCGTTCTTGTAACTGAGCTTTATCAAAGGACCAGAAATTAACTTCCCAATCAGCCTGAGTGCTTGCAGCGCTGCATGAGAATCCCAGGCTTCTTGAGATCTGCAAGCAGTTGAATGTAGACATTAGTTATGTCCCAGCAGCCACATCATTCTCCATGAAAACTACCTGAAAAGAGAAGGGCAAATGGAATTAGAATTTAGCAGACCATTTCACAAAATATATATCTAGCACAACATATTGCAAAGTAAATAAAATAAATATAAAAATTAAAAATAAATTCAGTCTCCATACTTACTAAATGTACTTCCACCTGAGACATTGGTTGAACATAGAAAGGGCTGTACACAAGTTCCACCAACCTATTCCAGTCACAAGCCTCTGTTCTCCTCAGCCGCTTTATCTCAGCCATCAAGTTTCTGATTGCATTAGCAATCCTCTTTACACATTGTTGGTCTTGCCTATAAGTAAATAAGATGTACAAAGAAAACAAATTAACCCAAGTTGTAGGCACACAAGTCTAGAAATAAATTAATATTAATAAAATTATCAAGTACTAAAATTGTCCTTAATAAAGAGGTCTAAGGGCATAGGGCTTTATAAAATTATATTATTATATAGGCCTAGTTATTAAGTTATAGATATATACATAGGCCTAGGCCCTATATTAATTTAAATATATAGGCCTACTTGATGGAGAATTATACCTGAACTAGTCTAAATCTATTCTTAACCATTTAACAATGTCTCACTATTTTTACAAGTTCTAGATCTAGACTAGATCTAGTACTTGTATGAAATAGAATCTAAGAATAGTTTCGGCAAAAATAAAAACATTGCTGTAACTGAAAACGTGTAAAAATATAACTAAAAAATTAATGTAGAGTCCTAATCAAACATAATGATTAAATGATTATGTTCATCTAAATGTACTGCATTAAAATAAATAGGCTAATTAGTAATTACTGAAATGGTATAGGCCTAGGCCTACTTAATACTACTTATATTAGGCCTACTTAACTTAGTACTTAATGCATAATTAGATGAACACTTAGGCCCTATAAATTAATTTAACTTATCTAGATTCTAGAATCTAGATCTAAATAAAAATTAGTGTTGGCCCTATTAGTCTATTAGATTAATTAAATTAGATCTAGATTCTAGATCTAGAATTAAACTAGATCTAGGCCTTACTAAAGCTAGATTATTTTTTACTTTTTACTAGACTCTAGATCTAAATCTAGTCTGATCTAGATCTAGAATCTAGATCTAGTTACTATAGATCTAGATCTAGTAATCTGGATTCGTTTTTCTAAATCCAGAATTTATTAATTAGGCTATCTAGAATTCTAGATCCAGGTCTACTTGTGTAAAAATCTTAAAATTAAATTAATGTAGAGTCTAGATCTAGACCTAATTGTCCTAATCAACCGTAATAATTTGGTAAATGTAGGCTACTTAACCTAAATTCTAAATTATTAATATTAGTAGGCTAATACTAATATCATAGATAAAATTAGATATCAAGTAATGCGATATTTTAATAACGTAAGAATCACAGGAAATTTGGCGCGAAATTAAGGCTCTCTCGCGGCCAGCCTTCCTAGGCTTGCGGACCATTGAAATCGTAATTTTAAAATATAGGTTAATTCTACAATACCCAATTATTACTATTTTCAACATTTAGGCATCTATTTCTAAATATTAAGTACTTTATTATTTATAGACTCTTACCTTATATTTCAGCACATTGCTCCTCTGTAAGATAATAAACGAGATCCAAAAATTAAAATAGGCTTTGAATCTAAATCCTCTTGAGGTTTAAACAAAGATGCGCACTGTGTCATGCGTAGATCAGGTGTGCTGTGGTAGAGCCTTAAGCGACACGGCCTTAATTAGCAATGGTCAACCGGAAACATGGAATTTAGGTTCAAGGTACAGCCATGATTACCATGGCAACAAAGGTCACGGCGCAAGCTGCGCAACTCGCTAATTTTAGCAACAACAAAAAACCAAATGAAAATAAGAGCTCTTTAGTATTTGGGATAACAAAAAATTAAAAGATATGTTTCGACTAATAGAGGGAGTGGTCTTTAAAAATAATTAGGCCTACTATTAAATGTATTAATTTTGTATTACATGTATCACTAGGTCTATAAAACATATCATTATATATGCTTAGGCCTATATAATATAATATATATAGTAGGCTATGTATATAGGCCGACATATGAGGCCTAGGCCGTTATATATATATATATATATATATATATATATATATATATATATATATATATATATATATATATATATATATATATATAATATATAGCCTATATGTAGCCTATGTATATATATATATAAATATATAAATATATATATATATATATATATATATATATATATATATATATATATATATATATATATATATATATAATCAGCCCAGGCCACATATGTAGGCCTATATATATAGACTACTATATATATAGTATACGGGCCTATATTTATATATCTAAGGTCTATTTGATATAATATATATTATTTGTGTGTGTTTATGTATATATATATATATATATATATATATATATATATATATATATATATATATATATATATATATATATATACATAAGCTTATATGCCAAAATATATTTATATATAACTTCTAGGCCTATATATTGGCATTGGATCTTGGGTGAACTGGAATTTCGCTAAAATGGCTTTTGTCTAAAATATCATAAAATATAATGGCTACCTAAATTGCAATCGTAGGCCTACATTTGTTTTTTAAAATATTTGACTTTTTTAGGTACTGAAGACTTGTTATTGTTACTTATGACATCTGTAGTGGGGGGAATATTAGTAGAAAATTGTATCTAAAATTTCTGTTTCACTTTAATATATCCTTCCTGGCTTCAGGGTTAATTATTACAAGAAGCCGCAGATGTAATGCAGTCTGTCTCTCTTCATCAAGGCTCATATTGTGGCCATAGTATCATCAAATATTGACAAAAGATGCCTAACTAATTTAAGCTTTTAAAGTAGTCTTATCAGTCTATATTTGATACATCTATGGTTAGGCCTATTTGATAAAGCTGCTTATTGTTTGGTATGCTAAGAAAGAACATACTGTAGAATAAATTCAATGTTTTGAATTATGAACAGTTGTTTTCTAAAAAAATCAATGGAAATGAAGGCAATATTTTTTGTATAAAGAATATGTATTTTTTTAATAAAAAGTGATAAATAAATGAAGATCCAAATTGAGAAAAAAATTTAGAAAGAGGAAAAATAGACTACATATGTACATATTAATTGTTTATTCAATTTCTCAAATATTTTATTCAGTGTTTCTTCCAGACTTTTTTCTCCGGGGGGGCACTTGAAATCTTCGGGGGGGGCGGTAAACTTTCTTCGGGGGGGCGGACACTGTTAAAAGTATATATTTTCTATATAAATTATATAAATTTCATTTCGTTCGGGGGGGGCGGTAAAAAATTTTCGGGGGGGCTTCGCCCCCCCGAAGAGATGCCTGGAAGAAACTCTGATTTTATTTGAGGTTTTTATTGTGTTATTTAAAAATTGCAAGGTCCAAAATGAAGAAAAAATGAAATTATCCTGAAATTAAAAAATATTTTCTTACAATTTACTTTTTCTTACAAGCCAATAATAAACGATGTATCACATCCAGTAATATTAAACATATATATAGTTATAAATCTACTATAAAATATTGAAACTGAGAAGTAATGCAAAAATAACAGAACATCAGTTTTGGAAGACAAAATTAAATAAGATATTAATATATTACAACATTTCAGTCATTCTTACAAAAATTGCAGTAAATTTTCTTACATTTAAAAATGTGGTGTTTTTATTTTTAAACAGTGTATTTATCAAAAAATTTTATTATACAAAAAGCAAATTATAAAATGTCAATCACAAAAAAATTAATCATCTTCTAAAACTGGATTGATTTGTCCCATTCCTCCTATTATGGTACCATTTTTTACTTGCTCCACATCTTCTACCACATACATTCTGTTTCTGTCTGGGTCAACATAAAATGCTGAGTGAAAATGACTTGCTACAATGAACTTTGGAGGCTTCTTGCAGCAAGCAATCAGCAGGAATACAAATGCGACAATACCCAGGCCACAAGCAATGACACACAAGATGAGACTCCAGCTGGCACGCCAGGCAGAATTTTCTCCAATCTTAGCACCAAAGATGATTACACCAATTAAATTTGTAATTGCTGAAAAATAATTTAGTCCCTTGTATTAGTAGGTGTATACGTTACATTGAAAACTCAAACTTTGAAATATTTTTAAAAAAAAAACCACTGTGTTAGAATGCCTAGTTTTAGCTAGGTGATACCATCATGTTCTGGAGAGAAACATAGTTTGAGCTAACCATCTAACTAAATTAAATCAACTTCCCCCTTTTATTTTTTGAACTTATATTATGAAAACATGCCAATGATTAGTATCATAAGATGCATGAAAATAATTATATCAAACTTTAATTCATGGGTTAACTTATTTTAATTTTTAACATTCAAGGTTTTTGCACTACTAATACTATCTTACCTCCAAGAATTGTGAGTACTGTCATAGTACCAATGGTACATCTGTAGTAAAGACCAAGTGCCACATAGATATAAACAGGCAAAACAATCAGTGGGATGGCCCAGAAAATGATGGTCAAAGCTTCCATTGCACGCACTGCATCAATCCATTCTGCACAAAATTGGATGCATTGATTTCAAATTACTACATACATATGGTAATTATTTTAGCTTGACATTCCATTTTAAGACAAAAAAATATGTTGTTGCATATGAGTAAAATGTTTTCAATTAATGGATCAAGTAGAAACCATCCTTGTAACAAAAAAATTAATGACTTAATACAATTTTGAACACATTTAAAGGCAGTTGTGCAATTCCCCCCCCCCTCATCCCCTCCCAAGACATATATGCCCTTACCTGTATAATAATACCACAGGTGGTCAGTCCTATAGCAGCCAGACACCCCATTTCTTTGAACACAATTGGTTCTCCTCCAGAGGCCAATATCTTCTGTATCAGAGTATGCCCAATAAGGTGCAGCAAATGAAAGGATCTGTAAGACCATAGCTGCCAGCAGACTGATGCATGCTATGAAAGGGATAGAGGCAGCACCCAGTAGGCTAGCCATTGTCTGTTATTGTGAGGGTTCTGACCATAAATGGGAAAATAGAAATGCATTAACCCAATTTGAAATTTTAAAAATAGTATTACCAATATAGTATATAGACTTACTGACCCTAAATACCTCCATTCAAAAATCTAAACTTATCCGCAAAATAAATGTAGGCCTATGACACCCCCCCCCCCCCCCACCTCTTGCATGCAAATGTAAAAAACAGGACACAAAATTATGTAGGCGATTGACTTATACGAGAAATTCAAAAACTTCGTTTAAAAAACGACAGCATTTTTTTTTTAAATAAGCAAACTGGACAATTAGCATGAGCACACTCGACAACTTTAAGAAAAATTGAGGGAATGAGCACTAACTGGCAATAAGACATTTCAACAGGCTTAGATATTCGTTATTGTATTAATTTATTTAGAGCAATATATACGCTAGATTTTAGTCAAAATTATGTCTGCACTCCTTTTCCTTACACGAAAAACATAGGACTGATTGTTAAATTATATCATTACCTTATTTTTCAGTGTTAAAATTAAACATTATAGACTATAGGCCCCTTAATAAAATAGAAATCTATAAACTTACTAATCGGCCCTTTTAGTCGCACATCTGATAAGTAAAACTGTTTTAAATCAATAGTAGAAAATTCTTGTTTAGTCCTTTTTTTTTAAAAATAAAATTTTCAACGTTTATTTTGATGTAAGGTGGACCTGCTGATAGTAGGTTGCAACTGCAGGTGGGAACTGAAAAAACTGGATATTCAGGTTTTGGTGGCACACAACTTTAATTGATACATTTCTATAAATAGATTATTTCAACTGAACAGTGTGGTTAGTTGAATCTAGATCTAGACTTAAACTACCATAGCATTAAAGGATAATTATATTTTCCTAAACGTTAACTTATTGCAAATCATTAGGGGGTCGTCCATAAATGACGCCACACTCGAAAAAAAAGGGGGGGGGGAGAGTGCGGTCCGTAATTTTGTGACGGTGTGTGATGAGGGGGAGGGGTTCAGATGTGTGACGTCACACTTTTGCATTTTAAAAAGCAATGTTAGAAAACGAGTTTTAGCCGTTATTTCGCGCTTTAGAAATCGGTTTTAATAAATTGTAATAGGAATTGATTAAAATACTCTATATTGACAGAGTTCAGACAATGTTTTGGAAAAAAATATCGATTTTTTAGCGCAATTTCCATTCTGGAGAATTGCGTTTATTATTATTAAGCCGTCATTTCTGGATGGATGAATGGATGGATGAACGTGTGTCCGCAGCTTTAAGTCGTATCTCCTCCTCGACGAAGCAATATCGAGGACTAGTTCCAAAAGCAATTATGTTAAGCAAGTTACGAGGATGAACATAGGCCATAAAAATTCCGGGATCCTTTCATCGATTTCCCGGAAAAGCCAAAAAACCTCGAAAAAATGCAGTTTTTGGCCCATATCTCGGCAACCAGACCACTTAGCGACTTGAAACATGTACCAATCGATTCCTGCCATAATTTAGAACAATATTGCCGAAGAAAGTTTTCAAAAATATCCTTTCATTCGGTCACAATTTTTTTTTTAATTAATTAAAATTTGGACCGAATTAGTAGGCATTTTTATCCAACCACACCACACGCGTCATCACGTTCAATAGCTGCGCCATCACGTTCAATGGCTGCGACATCACGTTCGGTAGCTAGCGCGCAATGGTTTTTAGTCATGTAACTCTATCTATATATATAATTCTCTTCTGGGAGACTTTAGAAAACAAGCTGCAAGCGCACCTTGCAATTTTGAGGGGGGGGGGTTGTAGGCTGAGGTGTGACGTCATTTTAGGGTCAGGCTTTTTGTGACGATGTGTGACGGAGGGGAGGGGGAGGTAAAAATCGTCCAAAAAAGCGTGACGTCATTTATGGATGACCCCTTACCGTTTAAGATAGCGGCATAGGGTCATCCATAAAAACTAATTCACTACTATGGGGAAGAGGGATTCTGATTTTTTTTTTGGGACGAGGGGGTGGAGTCTTCTTAAGAACATTAAAATACATTCTCCAAGTGTTCAAGTCGTTATTTTTTTTAAACTTTTAGCTTATACATTTAGGAGTCGTTTTTATTTAACTCTCGCATTTTATGTCATATTACCCCTTCCCTCCCCACCACGCATCGAAAAAAAAATAATCTAGACTCGTATAAAATTAGAACTTCCCCAAATTTGTTTTTGTGTTTTTAAACAATTCTTTTTTTTTTTCTAAAATATGAATAAAGCCTACGTGTCAATACATTTTTGTAGCAATTTAGAAAGAATAAATATGAAAAAAAAAATAGATTTTAAGAAATACAAAAGTCATAAGTCCCTTTCTGTCTCCTGTTATTAGGCCAATCGTCGATGGCAAAAGCCAGACATCTCTTTATAATTTATATGAGTACGCTATTGATGTTAAATATAGGCCTATAGTAGTAGTGTAAGAAATAAGTTTAAATAATTGTTAGTACAAATCGGAAATGATTACAAGAGGGTGACACCATGACGTAAATGTGCTATCTATAGAGAAAACAATGCAACATCTAACTGTATTTTAATAGATTATAGATAAACATCGTTATTATTAAGTCTGCAGTGATTAAAGCTTACACACACACACACACACACACATATATATATATATATATATATATATATATATATATATATATATATATATATATTTATATATATATATAGATATATATATATACTTTGTTTCTTGGGGAGTGATACCACGAAGTGCCGCAGCGGGTGACACCCGACCTAGCGACGCCACTGGTTAGGGTTGAAGGTACCAAAATACAGACCTTTTTTATAAATGACATGTCCCAATTTCGCCCTCTTCAATAAAATGTAAAAAGTAAAAAGTTTGTTATTTTTTTTTGTAGTGAAGGGGGGGGGGGTTGTCAACTTTTTTTGCTGGGCTTATCTGGACAAGATCTGTGTTATGAAATGGTGGACTGTTATTGGGTTCATCAAATTAAATTCTCTATTTTGAAAATGGTAGCTGAATATGCCAGTTTGAGAAGAAAATACGATACCCTATCAAAGAAAAGTGGTAAGTGGTTACAATTTAAACTGAATGCCAATTATGCCTCCAATATTCCAGTGAGTCTATACACTCCCTCGATTACTGTTTTGAAATGAAAATCTTTGAGTAAAACATTTTTTCTCGACACATCTGAGTTCTATACACATAGTCCTTATAAAAAAGAATTAACTCAAGTCAACAATAATTTTTTTACATTACAATTTATTCAATTTTTCCAATCAGCACACAATACAGTTATGAAAATAAATTGTCAACAACAGTGTTCAAATGGCACATCTTAATTTTTTAAACGGGACCAGAAAAACAAATACTGATGTTAATTTGCTAATGTTTTCAATTTTAAAAAATAGCTGGAAAAACAGGTTGTTCTCTGTAAATATTGCAGTAGTTGGTTCCTTTACAGACAGAAATGCTTATAAAATATTTGAGATTATAACATTAACAACATGAATTCATATCATCTAACAGTAGCAGAAGTTAACATCACAATCAACACAACTCAAGAAAATGCGCTCAGTTATGCGATTTGTTTCCTATTTTTGTTTGACTAGAGCAAAGGCAAGCACTGTGTTAGCGTGTGTGAACAGTCAAAGAGAACCATTTTATATTTTGGGTTCTCTATAACTACTATAAGGGTGATGATGAGTATTCAAAGGTACCGGGTATAAATTGATTACTTTTAGAGATGGTTTTTATAAGAGTTAATATCAACAAAATGGGGTAAAACAAAAAAAAACATTTTACCATATTCAATGAAAAAAATTACAAACAAAAATGTAATTGAATATTCCTAAAAGTAAATTACTTTAACTTTAACAACTTGTGATGTAGATCTAAAAAGTGTTTAATATTGTTTGATGTCTTGTATATTTATAAGAGCAATTTAAAAATGTTTTACCTAGTTGTTTTTTTTGGTTTAGTTTATAAAAATATTGATCTACATGAAAAAACAATTGAATTTCAAAGAAAAAAACTGAGATAATAAACCAATAACATTAATATTCTAAATAATTCACCAAAATATATAGCAGTTTTATCAATATTAATCTTGATCAAAGTCAATTGCTTAATTGATTCAAGACTAATAAAGCCCATTGTTTTTTGGTTACTTTAGTTAGTTTAATACATCAAAAAGTTTAAAATAGACTCTCCAAAAAGGGAAGAATATTTAGTAGGAAAATAGAACAAAAACCAACAGACTTGATTGAGAGCACTGAAAATTTGAGTTGGTTGACAATGGCCAAACTTTTTCTATGGCATTCAAAAAATCAACAATGTGAGTTGATGCTACCCCACCTCTGGTCAAATACTGACTATTGCTTCAATACAAATAAACATTTGAGCTGAAAACAACATAGTGTTACCAAATGATATGCAAGGTACAAAAATGTAAAGTAACAAAATGTTCAACATCCTTGTTTTAATGCCAACAGCTATTAACACAGCTTAGCATAAATGGCAATCACAATGGAATGAATAATAAAATAAAACATCACTTTGATAATGTGTCAGCTTTTTATACAACAAAATACTATAAGTTAAATTCACTCAATATTTTCATTGAGAGCAGGAATATTTTAAGTATGTTGTCAACTTTTTCTCGTTGTACAATTTCGGAATTGTATTGAGAAAAAACTTCTGTGAAATGAACAGGATAACAATTATAACTATAATGTTCAACACAAAATTCACTTATCATTTTAAACTGATTAAAAATTTATTTTCTGTTTATTTTGCATCAGCCCTTTAATAAAATCAACATTCCTATAGCATTAAACAATATAAAAAATCCTTCTTGCAAACTGTTAAATATAAAAATGCAAATCAAGCAAAAAGTAAAAGTCACTAAAATATTTATCAGTAGCAAAATAAATAAATCAACATTCTGAGATTACACTAAATTGTCACACAATGTTTAAAAACCAACAAAAACAGCTGATCAAAGCAAAATCTTTGGTACATGAATTTGAAATGCATTTAAAATCTTACATGGAATGGAGAAAAGAGCAGCATCAAGTTTTTTCTCACATAAAAACCTATTCAGAAATAAAAATGGTTTTTGTTTTGCATTGGTTCCTGATGCAGCAGGCTATTTGACCAGACAGCATGTTCAAATGAAGTTCACTCAATAACAAAAAATTCTACCAGGATTTTTCAAGCAATTTTTTTTTCACCAGATGATATTAGCAGATTACAAGAAATGCCCCAAATGAGAATAACACTTTACTTGTTTGATACAATAGAAGAGTTTTAATTTGTTAGTATTATGTCAAATGTTTTCCTACCCTTTTCTTACTGCTGTATGTATTGCTGTTTGCCCACCACTCAGATAATGAACTCCACATGTTCAGTATTCAAATCTGGACGGATAAACTCATGATTCCTTCAGTTAATAACACTGAACCTGGCAAAAAGTCTTTAAAAATATTGCCTGAATTAGGTGTATAGCTTTGATAAACAATTGTTTAGAAGGAAAAAAATGCCACTTTGTTTTTACAATAATAAAACGATACAATGGAATTTAAAAAACTACTTTGAATACAGAAGAAGCAGAAGTATTACACAAAACAATATATTCAATTAACTGCTTTTCTGCAGCCATTACCCTGGACCTCAATGTAAAAACTAGTGTATATTTTTGTATTTATGAAACAATTTCATGTGTAAAACTATTTCTGTTTCACATGAAAAAAACTGGGAGTTAGCTTAACAATGGAGTGTATAATTGGAAAAATAAATGCAGGTGAGTCAAACAGTTACAATAATAGCATTCATCTTAAAGCTACAAGTACAAGACAAACTTATCAGCCATCTCTAATGTTGCTTTTTCTCATCTCAAATTTTGAGGATAAAAAACCAGATAAGTTGATACCCAGCCACAAATGCACAAAAAAGTTTATCAAAATGTAATGTGTCAACAGATAACTAAGAGTTTTATTACAGTGGACTAATGAAAAACACACTTATTAAGGTTTGAAGATGTAGCATTTAGTCAAACTACCCAGGTTAAAACTTTAAATATGTATTGAAAAATTAGCTTATGAATAAGTATGTAAAGTGTATCTTGCAGATTATTAACAATTTTTGTTCATCAGATTTTCAAATGTACACTAACAAATTTTACATAAAAAAAAAACAACTAACCATTTTTTATAAAAAGCACAATGTATAGTTGATTAGGCCTAAATGTAATCATGCTGACATTATGCCATGAGACGGATGATGACATTGTCATAGCCTGAGTTGCCATGAGATGGATGATGCCTGACATTATTCCATGAGACTGATGATGCCTGACATTATTCCATGAGACTGATGATGCCTGACATTATGCCATGAGACCGATGATGCCTGACATTATGCCATGAGACGGATGATGCCTGACATTACGCCATGAGACGGATGATTCCATTGTCTGATCCTAGCAGTAAAGCTTTATTGAGTGGCAGCACGGACATGTGTGTAAGGACACCTTTAAAGCTGGCTGGTCTCAACTTGGATGTAGAGAATGGAATCTGAAGAAAATAATTGTTTCATTCAAATATTGGGAAAATTAGAATGGAATCTGAAGAAAATAATTGTTTCATTCAAATATTGGGAAAATTAGAATGGAATCTGAAGAAAATAATTGTTTCATTCAAATATTGGGAAAATTAGAATGGAATCTGAAGAAAATAATTGTTACATTCAAATATTGGGAAAATTAGAATGGAATCTGAAGAAAATAATTGTTACATTCAAATATTGGGAAAATTAGAATGGAATCTGAAGAAAATAATTGTTTCATTCAAATATTGGGAAAATTAGAATGGAATCTTAAGAAAATAATTGTTTCATTCAAATATTGGGAAAATTAGAATGGAATCTGAAGAAAATAATTGTTTCATTCAAATATTGGGAAAATTAGAATGGAATCTGAAGAAAATAATTGTTTCATTCAAATATTGGGAAAATTAGAATGGAATCTTAAGAAAATAATTGTTTCATTCAAATATTGGGAAAATTAGAATGGAATCTGAAGAAAATAATTGTTTCATTCAAATATTGGGAAAATTAGAATGGAATCTTAAGAAAATAATTGTTTCATTCAAATATTGGAAAAATTAGAATGGAATCTGAAGAAAATAATTGTTACATTCAAATATTGGGAAAATTAGAATGGAATCTGAAGAAAATAATTGTTTCATTCAAATATTGGGAAAATTAGAATGGAATCTGAAGAAAATAATTGTTTCATTCAAATATTGGGAAAATTAGAATGGAATCTTAAGAAAATAATTGTTTCATTCAAATATTGGAAAAATTAGAATGGAATCTGAAGAAAATAATTGTTACATTCAAATATTGGGAAAATTAGAATGGAATCTGAAGAAAATAATTGTTTCATTCAAATATTGGGAAAATTAGAATGGAATCTTAAGAAAATAATTGTTTCATTCAAATATTGGGAAAATTAGAATGGAATCTGAAGAAAATAATTGTTTCATTCAAATATTGGGACAAAATTAGAATGGAATCTGAAGAAAATAATTGTTTCATTCAAATATTGGGAAAATTAGAATGGAATCTGAAGAAAATAATTGTTTCATTCAAATATTGGGAGAATTAGAATGGAATCTTAAGAAAATAATTGTTTCATTCAAATATTGGGAGAATTAGAATGGAATCTTAAGAAAATAATTGTTTCATTCAAATATTGGGAAAATTAGAATGGAATCTTAAGAAAATAATTGTTTCATTCAAATATTGGGAAAATTAGAATGGAATCTGAAGAAAATAATTGTTTCATTCAAATATTGGGAGAATTAGAATGGAATCTTAAGAAAATAATTGTTTCATTCAAATATTGGGAAAATTAGAATGGAATCTTAAGAAAATAATTGTTTCATTCAAATATTGGGAAAATTAGAATGGAATCTGAAGAAAATAATTCTTTCATTCAAATATTGGGAAAATTAGAATGGAATCTGAAGAAAATAATTGTTTCATTCAAATATTGGGAGAATTAGAATGGAATCTTAAGAAAATAATTGTTTCATTCAAATATTGGGAAAATTAGAATGGAATCTTAAGAAAATAATTGTTTCATTCAAATATTGGGAAAATTAGAATGGAGTCTGAAGAAAATAATTGTTTCATTCAAATATGGGGAAAATTAGAATGGAATCTGAAGAAAATAATTGTTTCATTCAAATATTGGGAAAATTAGAATGGAATCTTAAGAAAATAATTGTTTCATTCAAATATTGGAAAAATTAGAATGGAATCTGAAGAAAATAATTGTTACATTCAAATATTGGGAAAATTAGAATGGAATCTGAAGAAAATAATTGTTTCATTCAAATATTGGGAAAATTAGAATGGAATCTGAAGAAAATAATTGTTTCATTCAAATATTGGGAAAATTAGAATGGAATCTGAAGAAAATAATTGTTTCATTCAAATATTGGAAAAATTAGAATGGAATCTGAAGAAAATAATTGTTTCATTCAAATATTGGGAGAATTAGAATGGAATCTTAAGAAAATAATTGTTTCATTCAAATATTGGGAAAATTAGAATGGAATCTTAAGAAAATAATTGTTTCATTCAAATATTGGGAAAATTAGAATGGAATCTGAAGAAAATAATTGTTTCATTCAAATATTGGGAAAATTAGAATGGAATCTTAAGAAAATAATTGTTTCATTCAAATATTGGGAAAATTAGAATGGAATCTGAAGAAAATAATTGTTTCATTCAAATATTGGGAAAATTAGAATGGAATCTTAAGAAAATAATTGTTTCATTCAAATATTGGAAAAATTAGAATGGAATCTGAAGAAAATAATTGTTACATTCAAATATTGGGAAAATTAGAATGGAATCTGAAGAAAATAATTGTTTCATTCAAATATTGGGAAAATTAGAATGGAATCTGAAGAAAATAATTGTTTCATTCAAATATTGGGAAAATTAGAATGGAATCTTAAGAAAATAATTGTTTCATTCAAATATTGGAAAAATTAGAATGGAATCTGAAGAAAATAATTGTTACATTCAAATATTGGGAAAATTAGAATGGAATCTGAAGAAAATAATTGTTTCATTCAAATATTGGGAAAATTAGAATGGAATCTGAAGAAAATAATTGTTTCATTCAAATATTGGGAAAATTAGAATGGAATCTGAAGAAAATAATTGTTTCATTCAAATATTGGGACAGAATTAGAATGGAATCTGAAGAAAATAATTGTTTCATTCAAATATTGGGAAAATTAGAATGGAATCTGAAGAAAATAATTGTTTCATTCAAATATTGGGAAAATTAGAATGGAATCTGAAGAAAATAATTGTTTCATTCAAATATTGGGAAAATTAGAATGGAATCTGAAGAAAATAATTGTTTCATTCAAATATGGGGAAAATTAAAATGGAATCTGAAGAAAATAATTGTTTCATTCAAATATTGGGAAAATTAGAATGGAATCTGAAGAAAATAATTGTTTCATTCAAATATTGGGAAAATTAGAATGGAATCTGAAGAAAATAATTGTTTCATTCAAATATTGGGAAAATTAGAATGGAATCTGAAGAAAATAATTGTTTCATTCAAATATGGGGAAAATTAAAATGGAATCTGAAGAAAATAATTGTTTCATTCAAATATTGGGAAAATTAGAATGGAATCTGAAGAAAATAATTGTTTCATTCAAATATTGGGAAAATTAGAATGGAATCTGAAGAAAATAATTGTTTCATTCAAATATGGGGAAAATTAAAATGGAATCTGAAGAAAATAATTGTTTCATTCAAATATTGGGAGAATTTTGTGATCTCAAGAAGTGTTTACACAGCAGATAAGGGGAGAAAAAAGGGACAGTCTAACTAAACCTAAAACTATCTGCAATAAAACCCTAAGACGCAGACATTCCACACCTCTCCCACTCACCCCCCCCCCCCCACACCACTCCCTGCCCCTGCTACAAACCATCCCCACACCATAACCTATCCCCAAAGCCTCTCTCCTCCCCCTCCTCCAAAAAACCAAACCAGCCCTTTTAACACCCACTCACCCAAATCACTTTTTATTGTTAAAATCAGTTTAGTTTGTAAATGTTAATAGCTAATTCAGAATGACATCATAAATTATACTTCAGAATAGCTGGTATATTTTAAGAAGAGTTTTGCACCACTACTGAATATGAGAAGTGATGATGCACTCAATCAATGTCTAAAAGGTCCTTTTTTTTTATTGAAAAGAATCAAATATTAAAATTTGTTACTGTCTTGGATTAAAATTTAATAAATAGATTCATTTTACTATTCACAAATTTCCTGGCAAATAAATTTTATTTTTTAATAAATATTGAAGAAATAAAAACCGCTGGTGAGTAACAGTGAAATAAGCCTATAGCAAGTTGGAGAACTGACTTCCCATATAGGCTTAGAGCATGTTGAAAAACGGACTTACATTATCAGTAATTGAAGCATAGACTGAGACCTTGTTGGCAGTGGTAGCACAGAGCAGCTGGTCCCTGTACAGGGACAGGCAATGGACTGGCTCAGACTGGGCCTTGGTGCCAGACACCTCCTGGCCAGTGTCCACATTCCAGAGCTTGATGGTCTGGTCAAAGGCCGAGGAGAGAAGTCTGGACTTGTTGTACGCCATCAGCTACACAAGGAAAAAATAACCACAGCTAATTGAACTCTCTGTAGCACAACGTTTACATTAACAATAAAATAGCCACAACTAATTGAACTCTATGTAGCACAGCGTTCACATTAAAAATAAAATAGCCACAACTAATTGAACTCTCTGTAGCACAACATTCACATTAACAAAAAAAAAAGCCACAACTAATTGAACTCTCTGTAGCACAACGTTCACATTAACAATACTATTTCATTTTTTAGGTTAGCCTAATTAACAAAAGATTAGCTTAAGTCTAAAATTTAAATACTATATTATTTAACTTTTAGCACAGAATCAGACCACACAATCTCTTTATAAGAATAGGTGAGAATAGCTTGAAATCTATTTCACCTGCCATATTGCCTGTTTACTTGCAGATACAAATATGCCAGATTAAATAGAATGTGTCTTTGAAAAAAACACAGACAATAGCCTCTTCCCTTAAACACAAGCCAACTATCTGAGGTTTAGAAGGAAAACTCAAAGAGTGAGAAGAAGAAAACAAGAAATGTGTTACAGACCTGAAGGATCTCCCCATCGTGAGCCTTCCAGTAGTGCAGCAAAATGCCGCTGTTGACGTCCAGGATGTAGATGAGACCAGAGGAGAAACCAACAGCAATCCATTTACTCTCTGGGCTCACAACCAGACAACGAATCAAACCTGACAAATAAAATCATCTCACTAGGCTGGCAATATTGTTAGAGGCCAGTCAGATGGCAGATGTATAAAAAAAATGTTTATTAACAGAGTGGGGGGGGGGGGGTGGAAATTAATTTTAAATTTGTCAAACTTCACAATATTACATCTCTATCCAAATGGTACTTCAAACTCATATAAAGTTTAAATATTTTAACATTTCTATTAGTTCTTATTTGAAATTTTTTTTTTTTTTACTATTTTTGACCTTTAATTGTATTGTTGGTTAAAATCAAACAACCAAATTTAATGTTATAGAATTTTTTTGCTTTTTTTTTTATACCAGGAATATAAATCTCTAAACTGGTTTCTTTACAATAATTTTATTTAAGTTTGAAATGTAATTTGCATTGAAAATACACAACCTTATAAAGTATAAATGCTTCTAATAAATGACCTCTGACCTGTATTCCCCACAGAACAGTTGAACTCATGAGTGTACTTTGATGTACGCATGTCTAAAAACCTGAAATGTATTTTTCAAAAGTATAAAATTTAAAAAAATAGCTTGACATCCAAATGACTTATCTTGTCTACTGAATGGTCACATGTAAATGTTAAAAATAGAAGTACTGACTTGAGAGTAGCTTCTGTTGTTGCCATGGCAACTAAAGTAGATGGAGCAGGTAGGGCTGTAAGTGCTACAACTGGGGCATATTTGGGGGACTCGAGTTGATTGAGTGCTAGGCCAGTGTAAGGGTCCCAAACCTGGAGATTTCAATCCACTTTTAGACAAGGTGTTTGAACATTTTAAATCAGACTGAATAACTTTTAGACAAGGTATTTGAACATATTCAATCAGACTGAATAACTTTTAGACAAGGTATTTGAACATTTTCAATCAGACTGAATAACTTTTAGACAAGGTATTTGAACATATTCAATCAGACTGAATAACTTTTAGACAAGGTATTTGAACATATTCAATCATACTGCACAACGTTTAGCTTCTAAGATATTAAATGTAATAAGTATAAAAAAACCTCACATGTACTGTGCTGTCACAGGAAGCTACCAGACGCATGCTCTCCACATAGGCCACAGAGAAGACAGATTTCTTGTGGTGATTGTAGCAAAACTGGCAAGTTTGTCTGGCAGTAAGAAGATTGGCCATCTTAACTTAAATCTTGCATTGCTTCAGATAATATAGCTTTTAATTTAATTAATTACTTCACCATGTAGAAATTGGCTTTTATGAACACATTTTTCTGCTCTTGTTAAACCTACTTTTTCACCCCCCCCCCCCCCCACTAGTTATAAACCTATTTTTTCATGCCGTCCACTCCACTAATTATAAACCTACTTTTTGTGCCCCCCCCCCCCCCACTAGTTATAAACCTACTTTTTCATGCCGTCCCCTCCACTGATAATAAACCTACTTTTTGTGCCCCCCCCCCCCCCCCCACTAGTTATAAACCTACTTTTTCATGCCACCCCTCCACTAATTATAAACCTACTTTTTGTGCCCCCCCCACTAGTTATAAACCTACTCTTTCATGCCCCCCCCCCACTAATTTCAAACCTACTTTTTCATGCCGTCCCCTCAACTAATTACCAACCTACTTTTTCATGCTCCCCCCCCCCCCCCTAATTACCAACCTACTTTTTCATGCCGTCCCCCCCCCCCCCCCCCACTAATTTTAAACCTACTTTTACATGCCCCCCACTAATTACAAACCTACTTTTACATGCCCCCCCCCCACTAATTACCAACCTACTTTTTCATGCACACCCCCCCCCACTAATTACCAACCTACTTTTTCATGCCATCCCCTCCACTTGTGATGGACCAGAGCCTGACAGTTTTGTCCTTGCTGGCTGATATAAAACAGTTCTCTGTGTCCATTGTGTACAGGGACCTGATGCTGCTGGTGTGGCCTGAACAAAACAATAACTTACAGCTAACTAATGGCCCCAGTGTTAAAGTATGCTGCTGGTGTGGCCTGAACAAGTTACATAAAAAACAATAACTTACAGCTAACTAATGGCCCCAGTGTTACAGTATGTAGGACTCTTGCTATAATTAAAGCCCAGGACAGGATTGTGTCAATCACCATTGGCCAAAAAAATATCCACTCAGTCTGTTGTATGACCATGAGCTTGTGGTACCTCCATGGTCCATCACCTCAGCCATCACTGTGGGCTAGTACTTGAGTGGACAGGACTCATTAGAGTCACATCTCCCAATTTATGGTGGCTTTAATTAGTCACATCTCCTTATTTATGGTGGCTCTAATTAGAGTCGCATCTCACAATTTATGGTTGCTCTAATTAGAGTCACATCTTCCAATTTATGGTGGCTCTAATTAGAGTCACATCTCCCAATTTATGGTGGCTCTAATTAGAGTCACATCTCCCAATGTATGGTGGCTCTAATTAGAGTCGCATCTCACAATTTATGGTGGCTCTAATGAGAGTCACATCTCACAACTTATGGTGGCTCTAATGAGAGTCACATCTCACAACTTATGGTGGCTCTAATGAGAGTCACATCTCACAACTTATGGTGGCTCTAATGAGAGTCACATCTCCCAATTTATGGTGGCTCTAATTAGAGTCACATCTCCCAATTTATGGTGGCTTTAATTAGTCACATCTCCCAATTTATGGTGGCTCTAATTAGAGTCACATCTCCCAATTTATGGTGGCTTTAATTAGTCACATCTCCCAATTTATGGTGGCTCTAATGAGAGTCACATCTCACAATTTATGGTGGCTCTAATTAGAGTCACATCTTCCAATTTATGGTGGCTCTAATTAGAGTCACATCTCCCAATGTATGGCGCATAGCCTGTGAGTGAATATCTAGGCTGCTAAGGTCGGAGCAGCATCTTCACAAAAAGCTGGTGACTATTTAAAAGATAAAATCTAAACATGCTATTGTGGAGGATGTTCTACTGACCTGTGTAGGTTTGCAACTCTATTTGCATAAAATTGAACATTGTGTCACGCTCATGCAGACCTAGAAAAGAATTCAACGGTGGAGAAAATTAAAGTTTTTTTTTTAGTTAAGTCATGTTTAAATGTGAAAATCAAATATAATGAGAGAACCCACCCATTTCACATATAAATGTGAAAATCAAATATAATGAGAGCACCCACCCATGTCACATATAAATGTGAAAATCAAATATAATGAGAGCACCCACCCAACTCTCTCTCCCAGTAGGCCAGCCAGTTCCCTCTTAGATGTCTTGTTTTGTTTTGATCCATTTCAGGCCTGGGAGCAAGAATCAAAGTCACAACATTAGAACATGTACCAACTCACAACATTAGAACATGTACCAAGTCACAACATGAGAACATGAACCAAGTCACAACATTAGAACATGTACCAAGTCACAACATTAGAACATGTGCCAAGTTACAACATTAGAACATGTACCAAGTCACAACATTAGAACATGTACCAAGTCACAACATTAGAACATGTACCAAGTCACAACATGAGAACATGAACCAAGTCACAACATTAGAACATGTACCAAGTCACAACATTAGAACATGTACCAAGTCACAACATTAGAACATGTACCAAGTCACAACATTAGAACATGTACCAAGTCACAACATGAGAACATGTACCAAGTCACAACATTAGAACATGTACCAAGTCACAACATTAGAACATGTACCAAGTCACAACATTAGAACATGTACCAAGTCACAACATCAAAACATGTACCAAGTCACAACATAAGAACATGTACCAAATCACAACATTAGAACATGTACCAAGTCACAACATTAAAACATGTACCAAGTCACAACATAAGAACATGTACCAAGTCAGAACATTAGAACATGCACCAAATCACAACATTAGAACATGTACCAAGTCACAACATTAAAACATGTACCAAGTCACAACATTAGAACATGTACCAAGTCACAACATTAGAACATGTACCAAGTCACAACATTAGAACATGTACCAAGTCACAACATTAGAACATGTACCAAGTCACAACATTAGAACATGTACCAAGTTACAACATTAGAACATGTACCAAGTCACAACATTAAAACATGTACCAAGTCACAACATTAGAACATGTACCAAGTCACAACATTAGAACATGTACCAAGTCACAACATTAGAACATGTACCAAGTCACAACATTAGAACATGTACCAAGTTACAACATTAGAACATGTACCAAGTCACAACATTAGAACATGTACCAAGTCACAACATTAGAACATGTACCAAGTCACAACATTAGAACATGTACCAAGTCACAACATTAGAACATGTACCAAGTCACAACATTAGAACATGTACCAAGTCACAACATTAGAACATGTACCAAGTCACAACATTAAAACATGTACCAAGTCACAACATTAGAACATGTACCAAGTCACAACATTAGAACATGTACCAAGTCACAACATTAGAACATGTACCAAGTCACAACATTAAAACATGTACCAAGTCACAACATTAGAACATGTACCAAGTCACAACATTAGAACATGTACCAAGTCACAACATTAGAACATGTACCAAGTCACAACATTAGAACATGTACCAAGTCACAACATTAGAACATGTACCAAGTCACAACATTAGAACATGTACCAAGTCACAACATTAAAACATGAAGTATCAAGTTACCATAACACAATGGCACATGGACATAATTGCTCGCACAACATCACATACAGAACAAAAACTGAACTAAATTCATCTTTCAACAATATACATACATGATCATACATTTTGATACCTTTTAAGCTATATTTTTACACCTATGTATCAGCAAGCAATATTGAGAGTAAAGCCACTTACAATCTCAAGTCATCCAAACGGATAGCCAGGATACCAGAGTGTTTGTATCCACGGCCAAACTGGCCAACTTCTGGGTGAGGAGTTGTTGCCACATTGGACTCATTCAGTTGGATTCTATTGCCCACCACAGCCACATTGCTGCCTATGTTGCCATATGCCAGGTTTTCGTCAGTGGGGGTCAACAGGTCATCTGTTGATCAGCAGTATAGAATCAGGAGGTCATTTACTTAGAATTAAAAATAACAAAAACTTCTAAAACCAGGAATGACAAAATTTAGTTTCAGTTTAATGATAACAACATAAATAACAGTAGAGAAAACTTTACAACTGTTACCCTAATGCTAGCTAGCAGTTCAAACAACAACTGTTACCCTTATGCTAGCAAGCAGTTCAAACAACAGCTGTTACCCTAATGCTAGCTAGCAGTTCAAACAACAGCTGTTACCCTAATGCTAGCTAGCAGTTCAAACAACAGCTGTTACCCTAATGCTAGCAAGCAGTTCAAACAACAGCTGTTACCCTAATGCTAGCTAGCAGTTCAAACAACAGCTGTTACCCTAATGCTAGCTAGCAGTTCAAACAACAGCTGTTACCCTAATGCTAGCTAGCAGTTCAAACAACAGATGTTACCCTAATGCTAGCAAGCAGTTCAAACAACAGCTGTTACCCTAATGCTAGCTAGCAGTTCAAACAACAGCTGTTACCCTAATGCTAGCTAGCAGTTCAAACAACAGCTGTTACCCTAATGCTAGCTAGCAGTTCAAACAACAGATGTTACCCTAATGCTAGCAAGCAGTTCAAACAACAGCTGTTACCCTAATGCTAGCTAGCAGTTCAAACAACAGCTGTTACCCTAATGCTAGCTAGCAGTTCAAGCAACAGATGTTACCATCAAAATGAGGCTCTGGGGGTTTGGTTCCATTTTCATAAGGTGACCTAGGGGTGGATAAATCTGCTTGACTGTCATGTTGAGCACACAACTGACGGATTAAGTCCTCATTGTGAAGATTTTCTTCCATGTGAATACTGAAACATAATTCATTCGCTGATTCATACTTGGAATTTAGCTCAAATCTGTGAGTTCAATTCAATCTTTGAGTGCCTAGCAAATTGTGTCTTAATTTATTATGGCATTTTTAAGTGAATAATTTTGAATAAGCAAATGATTCCCTGGCTAAAATAAGGGCTACACAAATATATTTTATATTTGGAGTTGAAAGAACAGATCTAACATTATATTTAAGAGTATTAGCATTGAAAAAGACATTTTTTTAACCAAAGAAATAGTTCAGTAACAAGGTAGAATCTACTCAAAAGAAAATAAAAATCACTTCAAACATCTGAAAACTTTTTCTTTACAAAGATTAGCTGTTAAATTTAGCTGTAATCATCAGATGAACTGCGTTAAGTTTCCTATCAATGGACCAAGCCAGTACCTGCCAAATATCCGACAAAATGGAATATAACAAGCCTGAGCAAGTTCTGGAGAAAATACACATTTTAATTCTTGTGCACATTTCTCAATTGTTGTTGATGGAGATTTGGCATCTACAAAATCATCTGGTGAAATAAAAAGTATATTCTCATAAAGAGCTGCATTCAAAATGGGTGAAACAAATGGTAAGAAATGAACTGAAACAGCATATGTTGTTTGATTAGTTCGACAAGAGTTAAAGTTAACAGGGAGACCAACCTTTGTCATCCATGATTCCCAGAGAGCTGAGACTGTGCATCTTGCTTAGAACACGTTTGGGTGGAGACCGGATGTTTTTGAGACTGACTGGAGAGCCAATTTTATACTGCTGGGTTAACAGATCCAGTTTGATTGTAAGGTAGGATTCATCTGAACCAAAGCTGTTTTCATCTGTAACAAACTTTTGGTTTTAAATGAGCGGAATCAAAAGTTTGCAGGATACAACCTAGACAAATAAGTCGGGGGAATTCTATAAGACAGAAGTGGCTGAAATTTTGGTATATGGATGAAATTTGATTGTACATCTCTAGATCTTGCTACAGCCACTGCTTGTAAGAAGATGAGACCCAATTGTTTGTTTTTCTTTTGTTTTTAAGTTTGTAATGTGGCTATCTGTCATAAGTCACCTCGGTCAGGGCATGACCTCCTGCCAGTGGGTGACCTACTTCCAGTTGGAGACCTACTGCCCATTAGTGAGACCACCCAACAAGCAATATGTGAATATGTTTCAAGATGTTGAATCATTTCTTCCAAACATAACTTGTCAAATCCCTTACCTGGCACTGATTCTGTAGACAGACCATCTGGGGGGACATAAGACTCCCCATGGACTCTGCTAAATGTGTCAAACAAACACACCATGCTGGCGGTCAGATACTTTCTGGTCAACTCAAATCCCAGACGAAGCCCCAAAATATACATGAGATCCACCAATTTATGACACAGAATAAACCTTGACAGAGCCCCACTTGGAAAGCATGTGTTAGGAGAGGTAATCATTGAAATAACTGGTCCAATGCAGTTATTCAAAATATTGTCCTGTGAATTTTTAAAAATAATATGGTACACTTGCAGAATACAAGATTTTAAAATAATTGTACATGTAATAATTTTAGTAGTAGAAACACTAAAGTATGAAGTAAAACTCAAACATATTTTTTTATTTATGCATTTTAAAAAATCCCACCACTTCTAAGGCTTAAATAACTTTCTAATTTGAATAAATGTTGTCTATTGAAAGTTGCGAGAGTTGAAATGTTGCAACTAAAAATGTGTTACCTCCAGGAGATTCATGAGGTTACAGTCAGAGAGATATGGAATCAAGAAAGCCAGCAGCACCACTGCTGCTATCAAACCACCCTCAGCTCTGGGGGACAACCTTTTGCTGGCTATTGTTATCTGAAGTTAAAAAGTTGACTGGCAATCTTACAAAATAAAACAATACAAAAGATTCAAATAAAATTAATATATTTTTAAATTGGTTTTCCCTGTATTTGGGTGAACATTGAATAGGAAAATATTTTTAATAAACTAAAGATAATTTGTCTTTTTAAAAATCACAAGCATAATAAAGAAAAAACATAGAAATGTATCAGTGAAAAATAAAATATGCAATAGTTAAAAAAAACTAGGACAGAATGACCCACCATGTCCATGATGTTAGGCAGACACTGTATGAGAATGACCTGCTCACCATAGAGCACCACTGAAAACCCAATACACTCTAGCACCTTATGGGCATTTGAATCACCTGCCACCAGACGTGAAGTCTTGGTCACACTGGCACCTAAGGTCAAGGCAAAACCAAGTTCAAGGAGATACAATTAAAAGTATAGCTATGGTTAGGATAAACCATTAAAAGGTGTTTTTTACCCCAAGTTAAGGTGATAAAATTTAAAACTTACCAGAACTTTCCACAAACTGCAGCTGATCCTGGCCGAGGTAACACAGGGCCAACATGCGCACCAAATTCCTGGATAAAAACTTGGTGGCCAGCACTGGCCCTAGCTTGTGACACAGCCACTTGACAGAATCCGCTGCGATGTCACGGATGTTGATGACACTCCCAGAGCTGTCAGATGACAGGTGCAGCATTAGGTCTTCTGTCTCACTGCGCACCATGTCAGAGGTCGACCTTTCCCTGGCTGCCTGTGGGTTCTTCACATTTTTCTTGGAATCAACAAGATCTTCAGATGAGTTGTTCTCATCTATTTTCTCTGAAAGGCGCCATCTATTGGCGTCAGTTCTTGATGAGTCCCCATTTTTCTGAGCAACAAATTCACTCACATTTTTAGCATCTGATGAATCCAAGGCCACATTTTTAGTTCCAGGCTCTGAGGGAATATCAGATTCCAAACTTCTGCCACTGGATGTCCTGATCCTCTGGTCAATAGTTTTGGAGGAAACTTTGGACAGAGGAGAGTCTTGGTCAAAAACTGCAGTGTCACACTCGTCATAATCCCCAAATGGTTCAAGGTCATCCAGAATGTTAGGGGAGTCTTCCCTGTGCCGCGGCATGATGAGTGAAATGCTGTGAATGGAATGCTGGTCAGGGCTGGCGTAAGGCTCGCCCCCAGCACATTCCTGGGCTCTGATCATGTGAGCAAGTATCAGCCTGTCCTCACTGGTCTCACTGCTGAGAGAGTCCCTGTCCCCAGCATCAGCTGACTTCAGCAGGCCAGCGTCCAGTGTCAGGCTGTCCAGGGTGGAGAAAAACATGGGCTCCCTGCTGGCCTGACTCACCTCCTCGTCTCTGGCACACTCTGCCTCCGGGTCCTCCTCAATGACACCTTCCACCAGATCCCTGATGTGACCTGGCCTGTACTCCTCCTCCGTCATCTGTTGAGTGCTGTCCCTTGTTGAAGTCAGGATGTCATTTTGGTTGAGTTCCTCCAGAAGTTCCTCTGGGTAGAAGCGGCTGGTCATCAAAAAATCTTTGTACCCAGCAACTGCCTCAACCAGGAGAGTGGAGAAGTACATGAGGAAAGTTTTTAAGCCCAGTCGTATAATAAGTTGGATCAAGAATGACCTGAAACAAAACTTATTATTATTAACAAAACAAAATGTGCTATTTTAACAAGTCACTTTATACCATGAAATTTCAGTTCACTATGGGAGTTGATTCTAATTTTAAACTAATAATATGATAGAAAAATGTCATCAAATTTAACTTTATTTTAATATATATATATATATATATATATAAATATATATATATATATAAATATATATATATATATATATATATATATATATATATATATATATATATATATATATATATATATATATATATAATTCTCTTCTTCGAGCCGTTAGAAAACAAGCTGCAAACGCTCTCCCTACCTCCCCACCCCTACATGGTTTTAGTGAGCTGTGTTCACTCTAAATGTTTACAAGCAGAGCCAACGATTTTAAACGTAGGGGGGGGGGGGGGAGGAGGAGGGGGGAGGGAAGGAAGGGGGGGGGGTTATGGTCCTTAACGAGCTACTTATAGTGTTTTAAAGAAATATTTTCAGTGTCAGCGTTGGTACTGTCGAATTCACAAATTATGAATTATTGAAAATTAGAAACAACTAAATAGCGGCGTATGTTATGCCGCGGGCCGGCTCGTATATATTTAAAATTCGTAATAAGCAAGTCTAAAGATCATTTTTGTTTTGTATTAACAGATGTTAAAAGTCATTGACCAAACCATAAGCCAATTTTCTGCAGCTGTCATTGCATAAACAAAAAAGATGAAGTAGAGTTGACCGGGCTAAGCCAACAGTAGCATCCAACAGAGAGTTACCTGTGGTAGAGCTTGATGTGTTTTGCTGATGAAATGTCGCCAGCATACAGGGCTGTCAATGAGGTGAGAAACTGTTTGGTGGAGTCACCAGGTCCCAGCTCACGTGTGGCAATATCAAACAGAGACCAGGCCGTCTGGACTGTCGTGTACTCATTCTGCAGCAGGTCCTGGATGTACGGCAGGACTAGGCCCATGCCCTCTGACCCTAGGTAACCCTGATGTCTCCACAGAAAAGCCTCTAAAATTGGCACCTACACGATACAGATAAATGTAGGCACTTTCATTTGTTACACAAAGAGATACAAATTGTATTATACTTAATATTTATAAAGCATGCATGGGCCTCCAACTAAAATCTAACTAAAGAGAATAGAAACAAATCTATAAACTTCAGCTATTGAACAATAATGTAAAAATTTGAGGCAAAAATATATGGATGCATATACAAAATAGTAGATCCCCCATATAAGTTTTCTAGTCAATATTTAAGTGAAATTTCATTTTCTTTGAAGTTGAAAAATTTGACAGGAAAAATGCTTTTTACAACTTTTGATAGAAAATATTTGATAATTTTAAAGCAACACCAAACTTTTAAACTTTACTTTTATAAATCACATAATTATATAAATCACATGTCCACTAACTCTACCCAGAATGAAATGGAGCAGTGTAAAAACAAACTGTTTATTGTACTGATTTTCCTAGCACACAGCAAAGTTAATTTTGATCCCCACATTCAAATAAAAAACCCTCTCACTTTCTCTCTCTCCAGCTGTTTGATGAGGTGAGCCCTCTCCACCAGTGGCTTCCTGCTCTTCCTGAGATCTTCAATCTCTTTCATTTTCTCTTCCAGTTTACTCAGGCAAGTGTACAGCTCACTGAAGTAGGGGGGGAATGGGATGAGATCAGAGTAAGGCTGGATGAGGAAACCTGGGGTGGGGGGAGGGCTGCCGTCAGGGAATATGGCGTGGAAAACAAATTTCTTCTCCGGGGTGATGTCCAGGCTGTTGAACATGTCCCAGACAAACTTCTGCAGGGGCCTGGGGATAAGTCATGTTGTAAGTAGACATTTAGCAGTTACACTGTAACATGTTGTAAGTAGACATTTAGCAGTTACACTGTAACATGTTGTAAGTAGACATTTAGCAGTTACACTGTAACATGTTGTAAGTAGACATTTAGCAGTTACACTGTAACATGTTGTAAGTAGACATTTAGCAGTTACACTGTAACATGTTGTAAGTAGACATTTAGCAGTTACACTGTAACATGTTGTAAGTAGACATTTAGCAGTTACACTGTAACATGTTGTAAGTAGACATTTAGCAGTTACACTGTAACATGTTGTAAGTAGACATTTAGCAGTTACACTGTAACATGTAAGTAGACATTTAGCAGCTACACTGTAACATATAGTTACATTAAAAATGTCTGAATCATGTTTTTAGGTCCAATGTAAACAATATTATTTTTCCAGTTTGTGACTTTAATGGTGAGAGATGCAACAGAACTTATTGGCTTTAGATCAAATCATCAAATTTGACTACTCTTTAATTTTGACCTATTTTAATAGTAACTATTATTTAACCTTTGGACTTCTGAAAAATCTGGCGAACAAATTCTTTTAATTGTCTTCACTCGTTTCCATAAAGGTTGACAGGTGTTCTGCATGCGCAGCTTTGAGTCTAGAAATAATTCACAGGTGAGACACAGCAAGGTCACCATGTCCTCAGTGACCCCTTCATCCTGGTATTTGGGGGCTGGAGAAAGCTAAAAATAGAATAAACTAATGTAATTAACACAACATTGGATTAGTAAATACCTAGGTTTTTGTTTTACAGTTCGGCAGAGATATAAGATAAGTAATGAAAACTTAATTGGCTAAAATGCAAAGAACATTGCTATTGTTCAAAATTAAATCTATTTTATAAATGTCTTAATTTCTTTTTATCACTTCCATTGTCAGCCATCTTTTCTTCTGTGTTTTCTCTTGAGGAGAAATTCTTTCAAGACATCCAATGTGTGAGGAAAATTGTCCTCATTAACCACTGAGTTAGTTATAATTCAATTACTTTATTTCCATAGGATTTAGCTCCTCTTGTATGTAAAGATTTGGTCTTAAATTCCTGGAGAACTTCACATTTCTCTATTTCTGCCACTGGGTTATAGTTCCTGGGTAGGTGAATGGTTGCCTGATTTATCCTCCCTGCCTCTGAGACTCCATCACTGATGAGAAAATAAAATATACTCAAGCACACCAATTATTTGATTTTGTAGCAGTACAAATTTTTTTATCTGAAATCCATGTAGTACAAGCTGTTTTACTGTTATTTTTAAAAAACTTGTTGAATAAATTTCTCAAACAGATCTAAATAAAACTCACTGGCTTTCATTGACATCTTTTTCTACTTCAGGTATCCCATAGGTTAGAAGCTTGACAGAAATTACACAAAGCTCATGTTAAACAAAGATAGTAGGGCGATAAAACAAAAACAATTTATTCCTGATTCAGCCATTTTCATAAAAAAATTAATTCCCACTAGTTTATCTTGAATGACTTTTTAATCTGAGGTTACAAAACAGCATATTATTAGAATTTATAGAATTAGTATTATGTTATAATATTTCATAGTCAAGTTCTTACAGAAAATAAAAGGTTGTTGTAAGATGGCTGATAATAAATAACATTAAATTTTAATTAACTATCCTGTGTGTTTCTAAAAAACTACCCTGTGAATTTCTATTATTAACTAACATGTAAGCTTATATGAATTTACCTGTGAGTTCAACAAACCCCGTGTTATTTGAGGCAATAGGTTGGAAGTGCTGGTTGGTTTGAGTTCCCTCTGTGGGTGTGGCTGTTGGAACAGCTGTGTGGCCCCATAGCGCTTGAGGTTAGTGTGCTGGTCTACCATGTGAAGATGGACATTTTTGGCTTTAACAGCAGCTGGGCCACTCAGCTGAAGAATGTTGTACATGTTCAGGTTGAGTTAACAAATGATACACTTTTACTGCCATTTGAACAATGTCAATTGTATTGGTTATATAAAAAGGAAAAGAAAGTCAAGAACACAACAGATAAAATATAAAAGATTCTGAATAAACTCCTGAACAAATATAACAAAATAAATACATTTAAAAGATCTCCTTTACAGAATAACTAAAACTAATGACTAAAAAAAAAAACCTTAACTAATATGATTATTAAAAATTAAAAAATAAATTTTAATGAAAAATAAATGCAATCTACGCAAAATTACCCTTAAAAATATAATAAGTGTAGTCAAACAAGTAAAAATGTTGATAAAAATCTAAAAAGAAAGAAACCTTGTAACCAAACGTCAGGTCAATCCAGTGGTGAAGATTGCTTGAGACGTGGTCGCTCTCTAGGGCAGCCAGGTGGCGCACAACAAAGTCTAATGCATTTTTGCTCCAAGGTGGGATCTCAAGGTCAGGGAGATCTTCATGAATAGAGTTAAATATGATGGGGTCGATGAAAAATTCTGGAATGCATTCATCTGGTGTCCAGTCCATTAAACGCTGCATGCTGATTGGATACTCATGGGGGACCCAGTTAGATCTTACGTGTGCACATAATATGGCTTTAGGTGTGCGTCTCGCTTTGTATACGTAGTACGTGATGTCTGATAAAACATCTGAGACATGATGGGGTACGTGATCACCTGTTTCTGAGATCTCCAGCATGCCAGAGTAGGTGAAATCAAGCTGACCATCACCTTTATTTAACCTGAATTTGGACTTGGTCAGATCTCTGTAGCCAGAGTCTGGTGCTGTGAAGTCTAGAACCCAGGGCAGAACGGGGTGGTTGTTGGGGTCATTCATTCTCCTGCCGGCCAAATGGTTGAGTATCATCAAGTACTGGAAGTTGTTTATCTGCCGATGTACCCAGGAATCAACGATAGCATCCAGCATGGTGATTTCATAATGTTGAAGCTCATAAGATTCCATGAAGTCGCAGGCAGATTCAAACAATTTTTCATGGGAGCCGCCAGGTTGCTGTGACAAAATTAAATTATTTTAAACTTTGTGTCCCAAATTTGTAAATGTGCATATAACATACAATAATCAGTGTCAAAGTAGAATTACATAAGCTTTAAAATAAATGAATTTTTTAATAATAATATTATCAATGACTAGCAAAACAAAAAGTTACATTAAAAATTGCAGTACTTGTATATGTTAATAAGGTATTATATTTTAAAACAAAGTATTAGCTGACTTAAAAATATGAGATATTTTGAGAAACATTTACTTACCTGAGGAGTTGCAGATGCTGTCAGGTCTTTCAACAGAGGAAAAAAGTTTTTTTTCTGCTCCACATCTGGAGAATTAGCAGTTAAATAAAGGGAACCAGATTCAGAGCAGTTGCTGGACATGTTTTCACCACTGGGTTTAAGAATGCTCAGTCTGGGACTGGTAACACGGAGCCACATATTTTTGTCCATAACAACATCACACACACGTATATCTCCCATACGGAGCCCATGGTTGTGTAGGGCATGCATAGCTTGCAGGAGTTGATAAACAATAAAGAGTGGTTTTGCATGACTGCCCTCTAAAATGGCAGGACTGAAGGTCACTGAATCACGCAGCGTGTACAGGTAGTATGGCTGGACTAGGAAGAAATGACTGTCAGTTTCCACCACGGCGTCAATGGCAACAATGCCATGACACACCTGGGTGTCAGATGTGTTGTAGAAGCTGCCGGAGCCGCTGCCACCTGTCCTGAAACTGCCGTGGTCTGTTGTGCTACTGCTGCTGTGTGAGCTGCGTCTAGGCTGGTGTGGTAGGATATTCTCATCTGGCTCAAGGCCCAGGTACACTGTTGGGTTCAGTCTCCTAACCAGCTGCCGTACTAAGGCTGTGTACTGAAATACAAGTTGCGCTTTCTTTACATTTCAGGATAATTTGTAAAAATTTAAATCAAGGAATCAGTTTCTTGCCTAACAATTGATGAAATAACCAAAATCTTAAAAAAAAACTATAAATTCTAGTATTTTTTAACAAATATTAAAATTCATATTAAAAATATGCTAATAGCTTTTGTAACAATCATGTTTACTTACAGTTAAGCTTTCAGACTTAAGAGATGAGATGCCGCTTCCCTCTTTTAATGTGCTCTGCGCTTGCAGCCATAAATTAGTTGTATTTTCTTTAGATATGTGTGACATGAACTCATACAGACTCCCACAGGACCACTGTTTATGGAGGTAGGCACCAGGAAGGCTGCTCAAGATTGTATCAGAAAAATATAAAATAATCAGGCTTGACATAATTGTAAAGGTTAAAGATCATCCATCTTGGTACAGTCATTTGTAAATTTACACATAAGCAACAATTTTCCTTCCTTACATACTCTTTAGTCAGTTTTGACCAACAATGCAGACTTTCAATTGACAATTTTTAAAGTGATTGGAATATTCAGCAAGAATAATTGTTCTGGAATCCCTTACCTCTCATACAATTCATCTGACTTGACAATTGCTTTGACAGTTATGCGAACCCATGGTGGAGGGATCTTGTCACATGAGCGTGACAGATAGCGTTCTGCCTCACATGAATCAAGATCTGTGCTAGATGAAGGGGAAAGCTGACCCCTGTACAAGTTTTTCACCCAGTCATCATTCACCTGTTCAACAAGGATTTATTTAATGCTGATTTATTCAAAAGTAACTAACTATTTCTTAACTAATCACATAGTGTAAGCTAGATAAATGTACTTACAACTGAAGTTTTAAACAGCAATAAAAAATAATAAAAAAAGATATAAGCTTACTGCATATTTCAAAACTTTAACTCAAATACAACTGATAAACAAAAATCAATAAACATTTTTTATTTTTTAAACTGAAGCAAAAATAAGTAGCCTTAAAGTAACACAATCATAGATTAAAGATTGGCATTCTAACTTTTACAAGGAGAAGGCCAAACAAATTTCAATTTACAAATACATTAACAGTATACATCATGTAGTAAAATCCCACCCATGTTTCATAGGATCAGCCACCAACCGATCAAATGTGAGTTCTCTCTGTGCTATACTTTACTGCTGATGTCACAAGGTACACAAACATAGTAATTTTAGAGGCAAAAAGGACAAAAAAATTGTTTTAAAAAATGACCATTTTAGTTTATTAAAAAAAGTGCATGGCAGCAGGTGTCAAACCTCTTGAATAAACACAGTTGATGTTCACAGTCACGCATGAGTGATTTTTGTACATTCTTAAGAACTAAATGCCAGTTTCTTAAGTTAATAAGGCTGATGAGTGCACTGTGTTTGTGGTGTATTCTAGAGCAGTCTAGAATATTTTATGACATTTTTTTAACATTGGTCATATCATGAAGTCCCTTTGGCATTTATTCAATGACACTGAAGTTATAAAGTAATATTTGTAATAAAGTATGCTGCACCCTGCTAAATTATGCAAATAAAGTTAGTCATGTTTGTATTTTTCATTTGAAGGACTAGATGTTCTGAGTATTTTTTAATTCTGTAGAATGCATTCTAAAATTAGGTACCGTGAAAACTCTACTCTAATATGCTAACATAGTTCTAGTAATAGATAATCTACTGTTTTTTAATTAGTAGGCTATATTATGTTTGGAATTATGATATATTTTGACCTGCTGTAAGGAAATGAAGCAGTGTTTATTTCCTTATGGCTTATAGACTTAGATCTAGTACCAAGCATTCCAGGGCAGTAAAGTAAAAATATGTATTTTACTAAAGAACAGTTTGATCTAACAAGATCTGACCTAACACTCTACTGTCTTTTTACACTGAATAGATCTAGAATCTAGATTTTTTTTTTTTTTTACCTGAGCCTACCTTTGGTGTTGAGAAATAAAACATTTAAACTTTATGTCAACATTGAATTGCTAAGATGAAAAAATCGGGCAGTCCTGATATGTATTTTTAGATCGCGTTCGAAGTATATTGTATTTCTAAACATAATATAATCTATTAACTATTAACTAATAAGTAGTAGATTATCTATTACTGGAAATGAATTTTTTTAATAGAGTTCATTAGTTATAGGGTATTGATGAATAATTTGGGGGAATTTTTAAACCAGTTGCAGATAATAGAATCTTCTTAAAAAGGAGAGTATGGTTACTGGTTGTTAACTAAAATACAAATATGGCTTGCTAAAGTCAATGTTAATCCTATCCCTAACCTCAACCCTAGTCCTACCATACACCTAACCCTAATTTTTAACCATACAAAATACAATTAGTCGAGATTACAATTCAATACTATACTACTAACAACCTAGCACACCTATTTTATGGAAGAGTTAATTAGGGGGTATCAAATAATTTTCTTGATACCTATTTTAGAAGTACGGAATAAAATAAAAAAACTCGGATCGCTCATGTCACTCATGGACTCATGGTGATGGAGCGATCCAGGTAGTAAGTGACTACCAGCAGTACCAGGTAGTCACTTTGAGTTGAATTAATAATTTAAATAAAGCCATTGATCTAGACTTTTCTAGAGGCTACTTTGAAGTACTTTGCATTGACACAGATCTAGATTTTAGGTCAATTCAAAAAATAGATTTACTTTAAAATAAAGAGTGACATGGACTTTAGAAATCAAATGAAACAAAACAACTTTGAACACTTTGAACAGCACTTCAAATAATTCAATGATTTGTCGATTATTAATTTTCAACTTACGATGCAGACAGCTCGGTCAGCAGATAAGAGTTGACAAAATTTGAAAGGAATGTGTAAGCCGTCACAGATATGTTTAACAACATTGGGTGCTGTCGATTTTTCATACATTGCATTGGCCTAAATTTTGATTATATTTCTAAATTACTGTAAAGATAACAATACATGACTGTTGGTTGCTAGTCAAAAGAGAAAGTCGATTTTTACTTTCAGATTGTTGTTGTCGGAAGTGGACTAAGTATAATAATGTGGGCGGGACCAGATACTATAGAAAAACTTTTTTTCGAGAAGAATATCATGTATGGGAAGTTACTCTTAAGACAGACGGTTTTATTTATGTCTAGTTCACGTGTGAATGTAAACAAAACAAACATCTACAATCTTGTATCTAGCCAAACTAGACCTAATACTAACTATTACGGTACTTATTAATATAATTATAACCAAAAGACCGATCTTTGAAATTACCCACCCGAATCTCCAAATAAACACCTAAAAATGCTTTTGAAAAGCACATCACTTTGACTTTACTAATAAAAAAAAATAAAAAAATAAAACTAAAATATTAAAATAAATTTTGGTTTTAGTTTTATTTTGAAGTCTCTTCACTCTTCACCTCTTGTCTTACACGTTTTTACTTTTACACTCTTACAGTACTTACACTCAATACTCTTAGTTACTAATGGACACCAGTGAGTTGACGAAAATCCTTCCGTAATGTTGTTGACAAGGAATAAAAATGTGCTTTTTAAGATTTAGGACCATAAAAATAAAAAAAAGATAAAATTTTTATTAAAAACTTAAGCCTAAAATTAATTCCGAAATTTAATATTTTTAGAATCAATGCTATACAAGTTGCAGATCCAGACCAGAGAACTTGAAAATAATTTGTTGAGTTTAAGGCTACATTTCTATTTATTTTCATCAAGCCTAAGTTATAACCCGACGTTTCACTTTCGTAAGACAAACATTGATTGGCTGTAAGGGAACTCCGTGATCGATTTCTGACAGCCCCACTTTATAGTTATTTTGGTTACAAAACTTTGCAGATCAAGTTTTTAAATAACAATGCAAATTTAAACACCATGACCTAGTTTTTCTATTTTTAGCTTACAATGTGTACAATAAAATTTAAGGCGGCCTATCGAATAGCAGGATGCCATTGTTTATGTCGCCATTACACATGAAAACCAAATTGTTTTTGCCTTTTTTTTAAATTTTATTTAGTTACCGAAAATATTAAAAACATCAAATACATCCAATCTTTAGTAAAGTCCGAAAAAAACCAGACAGACAGGATTTTATAACCATATTAATTGTAACTACGCCGTGCAAGATTTTAAAATTAATTTATGGACCTCTCAAATACCTTTGAGACTTTTCTCGCTGGTGTCCATTACTAACTTAGTAAGTTAGTACTTAAGAAGAAGTTAAGGATACTCAACTTTATTGTACTAACTTTATCTCATTAAAAATTAAAACAATACAGTCACTGTATTACAGTGATTATGCATTATTAGTTAAAAAACAATTCATTAGGCCAGGCGCCTACAAATAGGCTTAATAACTACACTCACTACACTTCAACGTGACTACACTACTACAGCTACTACATCTACTGACTCTACTAGTCTACTACTAGCATCCAGTGTGACTAGTGACTAAGTTAGTCAGTCATGACTAGTGTGAGTGTAGTTAAATAGTCATACACAGTAAATTACTTAACTACAGCCTACTTGTGGTATATAGGCCTAATAAAAATAAAGAGAGATTGCTGATGATATTTTGACTCGTTCTGCTAGGGGAACAAAGGGTTGACTGGATCTGAAATATCTACCCCGTTGAAGGGGCTGATAATTTTATTTTAGCTGTTATGTTAATTGAGAAAAATAGGACTTATTCAAACAGGTAGTCCTATTGGACTTTTTTTTTCAGTGTAGCCAACTTTCATTTAAATGGATCCTTTTCAAATGATTAAAGACTTGGGCCCACCTAATGACTCCAAGAAGTTCTTAGCAAGTCTTAAAAAGGTAACGATTATCATCTCAATATTTGTGTTGGTTGTCCTTTAATAACATCACATACCTAAGTGGTGAGGGGAGAAAGGGACGAAAGGGACCCAGACTTATGGTGAATTGTGTGTGTGTGTGGGGGGGGGGGGGGGGGGGCTGTAACTAATGTGATGTAATATTTATAATATATTTGAAAAGAAAATAGTGAATAAAAGCATGTACGTTTTCATTTGAATTACAGTTATTAAGGGTGGGACAGTACATTTTAACATATTTAAAAGGGGAGAATGGTGTATTGTAATGTAATTAACACTTTTAAAATGCCCCACTTGTTACAGATGTGCTGATCTTGTAGTAATGATAAAAATAGTAGTACATAAATATTATACCTGGGTAAGTTTGTATTGAAGTAGGTAGACTCCTCATCCCCTGACTTAATCAATAATTTTCTCCAACACTTCAGGTTTTAGAAGCAGTCACATCCAGTCATGTTACTGTCAAGGTGGCTGACATACTTCCTTCGCTGGTATCTGTTTATCTGGACTGTCCTGCCAAAATCCCAGCCAAACGCATCTTGGCAAGGTTAGTCAATGATTGTTTCTTCAATCATCGTTGCTATAATGTTTTACATTAAGAATCATTCATGTTGTAAATCATTTAAATTGAAGCATACATTTGCTCAATTCAGCACTTTTCAATAATTGGTGATCTTTTTTAAAGTTGTTATTTTCCTTCAATTTTTTAGTTTCTTTCAAAGTCTTGGTGGGAGTTGTAGAGAAGCCATAGAGAAAATGATGGCCCAATCAGTTTTAGCCAGGCTGTGTGTGGCTGGAGATGTGGAGGTCAGACAGGTCAGGCACTGTGTTGACACTATCACTGCTCTCTTGGAGAATTTTACTATTGGTAGGTTTCTTATCAACTTTATTGGTAGGTTTCTTATCAACTCTATTGGTAGGTTTCTTATCAACTCTATTGGTAGGTTTCTTAATATTATCAGTAGGTTTCTTATCAACTTTATTGGTAGGTCTCTTATCAACTTTATTGGTAAGTTTCTTATAAAGTGTTTTTAAATATTAATTTTAAATGAGACAAAGGTTTTTGATTTATCTTTTCCCGAAATAACACATCATGTCTTTTGCCTTTATTGCATATGTTGCTTTGTTTCTTACTCATCTTCTACCTAAAAAGGTTCAAGAATTAAGATTTGTTTTAACAAAGGGAAAATTTTTGGTTAAAATCTTATTTAATATCTGCAGGTGAAAAATGCCTCAACTGTATTGCTACTGAAGGTAAATTTTAAAAGATATTTTTGTTGAATTTCAAGTTTCCCTCAAGTGGAGGCTTTGATAATACCATTCATTGTTTTCCAAACTTTGATTTCATTGTGTTATGACACTTATGTAAAACACATTTTTGTTAAATATAACACATATTTTTGTTGTACCACTTAAATAGTGATTTGTACTCAGCATGGGACCATCAGAATATTTGATACTAAATTTGATTTTCTATTGTGATCCTTTCAGTGATACATTTTTTGGTAGAGGCTGAAGATTTGTTTTTATCACAAGTTCAGTAAGTTGTTTTTAACTTCTTGGTTTCAAAATTAAAAATTTAAAAATTATTAGCATTAAAAATTAAACTTCTGAAGTGCCTTCATTTTTGCCTGGAAAAATATAGTGCCAAAGGACAGTCAGCAACATTTACTATAAGAAAACCAAGTATTAAAAGCCCATATTATCTGTCTAGGATATTGTGAAATGATGTGTAAATGTTTTCCAGTGAAGATGTTCCTCCTGTACATCTGAATGAGGTCATGCATCATTGTCATGTGACTGTGCAAACTTTGAACCTTGTGATACAGAAAACAGCTGCAGAAGCAACCAATCAGATTATTTCAAGTGGTAAACTCATGGGAACCATGTTGGATTTTGACATGAAAATATTGCACAATGGTAAGTTAAGCTCAATGTTTGTTTCCTGTTTTGTGATCATAACGAAAAGGCTGATGCTAGCTGGAAAAAGATACGCATGCGCAATGGAGAGAAACTACGACTTTTCATCATGACGATGCGTGTGTTTACAACCGCAGAACCCTAACACCAACCCTAATCCTATCCCTAACCCTATTCCTATCCCTAATCCTATCCCTAACCCTAATCCTATCCCTAGCCCTAGCCCTAGCCCTAATCCTATCCCTAACCCTAATTCTAGTGGAGACGTTGGGGAAAAAAAATCTTCTTCTGAGTAGTCACTTCGTAACAAAAAATAATTAATGTAGTATTGAATATATTACAAATACATTATATTTAAGATGTTATAAACGTAATTATAATACTTTAGCTTGAACATATCCAGGCCAACATTTTCCTCTTCTGGTGCAAGCTTTGAGAATGTAAACATTGTGATGTAAATCCTTTAGCTCGAGCATATCCATAATAACATTTAAAATTTTCCCTCTTCTTGTGCCAGCCTCGTAAACAATGTGATGTAAATATTTGCAGAAATTTTCCTGCTAGACTGCAGGTGCTGCTGTGCCATGAATGCCATCATCTTGCTACAGATGGCATTTCCTGGTCCTGCTTCATTTCACCAGGTTTGTTTATTTCTTGTCACAATATTCCTTGTTGCTGACACACAGCATGCTAACCATTGGTAAACCATGGAGAACTCCTTATTTCCTTAAAGATGTTATTTATCAGCATGATTCAGATATGACAAATTGAAACTTGTCCTTCACAGATCCCATACCTGTTGATGCCAGGGAGTGTCTCAGATCCTACTGAGCAGGAAGTTGGGTGGCTGACACAGGCTCACATAGACTCTCTAGCTATGGAGAGATCCTCGACATTGTCTTTTCTAGCTCTGGCCTATGGCTACATAGCCATGGTCACCCCACAGGCTGTTGTGTATGAAGCCAAAGATGGCCAGCAGTTTTACATTGAAACATTTCTACCTCATCTTCTGGACCACTGTAAAAAGTCAGTTGCCACATTTTTTAATGTAATAGTTTTTGTCCCCATGTTGTAGCACCTGTCCTCATGTTGTAACACCTGTCCTCATGTTGTAGCACCTGTCCTCATGTTGTAGCACCTGTCCTCATATTGTAGCACCTGTCCCCATGTTGTAGCACCTGTCCTCATGTTGTAGCACCTGTCCTCATGTTGTAGCACCTGTCCTCATGTTGTAGCACCTATCCCCATGTTGTAGCACCTGTCCTCATGTTGTAGCACCTGTCCCCATGTTGTAGCACCTGTGCCCATGTTGTAGCACCTGTGCCCATGTTGTAGCACCTGTCCCCATGTTGTAGCACCTGTCCCATGTTGTAGCACCTGTCCCATGTTGTAGCACCTGTCCCCATGTTGTAGCAACTGTCCCATGTTGTAGCACCTGTCCTCATGTTGTAGCACCTATCCCCATGTTGTAGCAACTGTCCCATGTTGTAGCACCTGTCCTCATGTTGTAGCACCTGTCCTCATGTTGTAGCACCTGTCCTCATGTTGTAGCACCTGTCCCCATGTTGTAGCACCTATCCCCATGTTGTAGCAACTGTCCCATGTTGTAGCACCTGTCCTCATGTTGTAGCACCTGTCCTCATGTTGTAGCACCTGTCCTCATGTTGTAGCACCTGTCCTATGTTATAGCACCTGTCCTCATGTTGTAGCACCTGTCCCCATGTTGTAGCACCTGTCCTCATGTTGTAGCACCTGCCCCCATGTTATAGCACCTGTCCCCATGTTGTAGCACCTGTCCTCATGTTGTAGCACCTGTCCCATGTTGTAGCACCTGTCCCCATGTTATTAGTGTAGCACCTGTCCTCATGTTGTAGCACCTGTCCTCATGTTGTAGCACCTGTCCCCATGTTATAGCACCTGTCCCCATGTTGTAGCACCTGTCCCCATGTTGTAGCACCTGTCCCCATGTTATTAGTGTAGCACCTGTCCTCATGTTGTAGCACCTGTCCTCATGTTGTAGCACCTGTCCCCATGTTATAGCACCTGTCCTCATGTTGTAGCACCTGTCCCCATGTTATAGCACCTGTCCCCATGTTGTAGCACCTGTCCTCATGTTGTAGCACCTGTCCCATGTTGTAGCACCTGTCCCCATGTTATTAGTGTAGCACCTGTCCTCATGTTGTAGCACCTGTCCTCATGTTGTAGCACCTGTCCCCATGTTATAGCACCTGTCCCCATGTTGTAGCACCTGTCCCCATGTTGTAGCACCTGTCCCCATGTTATTAGTGTAGCACCTGTCCTCATGTTGTAGCACCTGTCTTCATGTTGTAGCACCTGTCCCCATGTTATAGCACCTGTCCTCATGTTGTAGCACCTGTCCCCATGTTATAGCACCTGTCCCCATGTTGTAGCACCTGTCCTCATGTTGTAGCACCTGTCCCATGTTGTAGCACCTGTCCCCATGTTATTAGTGTAGCACCTGTCCTCATGTTGTAGCACCTGTCCCCATGTTGTAGCACCTGTCCCCATGTTATAGCACCTGTCCGAATGTTATTAGTGTAGCACCTGTCCCCATGTTGTAGCACCTGTCCTCATGTTGTAGCACCTGTCCCCATGTTGTAGCACCTGTCCCATGTTGTAGCACCTGTCCTCATGTTGTAGCACCTGTCCCCATGTTGTAGCACCTGTTCCCATGTTGTAGCACCTGTCCCCATGTTATTAGTGTAGCACCTGTCCTCATGTTGTAGCACCTGTCCTATGTTATAGCACCTGTCCTCATGTTGTAGCACCTGTCCCCATGTTATTAGTGTAGCACCTGTCCCCATGTTGTAGCACCTGTCCTCATGTTGTAGCACCTGTCCCCATGTTGTAGCACCTGTTCCCATGTTGTAGCACCTGTCCCCATGTTATTAGTGTAGCACCTGTCCTCATGTTGTAGCACCTGTCCTATGTTATAGCACCTGTCCTCATGTTGTAGCACCTGTCCCCATGTTATTAGTGTAGCACTTGTCCCCATGTTATAGCACCTGTCCTCATGTTGTAGCACCTGTCCCCATGTTGTAGCACCTGTCCCATGTTGTAGCACCTGTCCTCATGTTGTAGCACCTGTCCCCATGTTGTAGCACCTGTCCCTATCTGACAGTAATGTTACTTACCTGTGTTAAAACTGCCATTGTTTGTCCTCTAGATGTACTGATACAGTGAGCAGAGCCCTTTATGCAAGATGTGTCAGTCTCTGGTCTTCAAAACTATTGTACGTTGTTTTTTATTTGCTTTGTCTAAATTATTTTTTATTTAAAAAGTCTACTCTTGTTTAATGCACTTTTTTACTTACTTTAAGTAACCCATTAAGTCTATACAAATGAATTGTTAATTTTAGTTTAACTATTTGATAAAGTTTATTATAATAAATACTTATATTGCTATTGAACATTGTATTTATGAACTTTTTTTTCATAACTCATTAATATATATATTGATGACTTTTGTGTTTTTGTAACTCAATAGTGCAAGTATTGAAGAACAAAAGCCAAGTTCTAGTCTGTCATTAAAACTGAATGGAGAATCCAAGGGTCTTAAAAGTCTGTTGGATTATGTGTGGACACACTGGGAGGATCAGTTAGATGTCAGTTCTCACATGGGTTAAATATTTTAGGCTTTTGTTGCAGTTATTCTGTTTGGTTGGTACCAAGGTGGAGGGGGGGGGGGGGTCTTTCAGAGGTAATAAAATAGCTACGTAGTTTAACAAGTTTTACTGAACTTGTTTTAAATCCATAGTTTTTGGAAGTTTAAAATCAATCCAGAAGAATGTCTTGATGAATGTCACTTATTGTCATCCAGTATGTTTTATTTCACAGATCATACGACAGAGTGCAAAAACTGTGTTTGAAAATGTTTTAAAAGTTCATTTGTTTGTTACATCATGTAAGTTGATCAGTAGCCAAACTTCACCTCTTTCTTTCAAAAGTGGAAATTTAAGAATTTTAATCATGATGTTACATTGCTGCTTTTTTTTGGGTGAAAATATGCTTTTTTTACTTTCTCGTATATACGAAGTATAGAGAAAGTCTTGTAATCGTGCACAAAAATCACATTAAATTTGGACAGTTTTCACCGTTTTACTCCTCAGTCCTTCATCACATCCGGGATATAGAAGACTTATTTTAATCGGGTAAAAATAATAAACTCAGATATATAAAAATTTTGGCGTTTTATGCGTAATGGAGTTGGAAAAACTGGATTATCCAATTCTGTCCGTGTGTGTGTCCGTGTGTAAACACGATAACTTGAGTACCGTTACAGCTAGGTTGATGAAATTTAATATTTAAGTTTTTTATCAAAATCGTAGATCGGTATCAACTTTTGAGCGATTTCCGATAGCCGGAAGTGGTACTTTTTCTACTTTGAATTTTTCAAAAGCCTATAGCTTGAGTTCTATTTCAGATAGATAAATGAAATTTAATATGTAAGTAGAAGATCTAATTCTCTACCTTCTGTCAAATTTTGAGTAATTTCCGTTTATCGGAAGTACTTATTTACGCTACTTCCGATTTCTCAAAAACGCATGTAAATTTATAAAGTACTAATAATATTGCGCACTATTATGACACATCTTTATTTAGCGTTCACTTGGTGTGCATTTCTTTTTTCTACGAGATTATATTCTATTTTTAAAAATTTGAGTATTTAAAATGGATTAAAAATCATGTCTAGAAGTCTATATCCCGAGTTGCCATCCCCCGTAGTGTTATATTAGAATATTCGAGAAAGTTTAGGGGAGATCACTCCCGGTTTATTATATTAAAATATACTGTGGCATTTTTTTACAGGGGGTTATTGAATTAAGATTAATTTAAAGTAAGAGTAACACATTATAAGAAAAAAATGTGACAATTTTCTCTCAATTCCCCTCTCCTTATTTCTTGTACTTGATGTTGGTTGAAGTTCCCCCATTTGGTTCCAGCAAGTGTCAGGTGTGACGGCTTCATCCACTCCATCTTGTCCCACCTGTTGGCTGTCAGCTGGACATCAAAGGGGAAGTTTAGTGCACTCACCTGCTGTGTGCGTCTGATTGGTGCGGGGGAAATTTTGGCCATCCAATCAGGACTGTCTGGTGAGATTTTAAAACAGTTGGAGGAGCAAGCTTTATCTTGTTATGTAAGTTGAGTTTTTGTTTGTAGATAGACTTGAAATGTCTGTACCGTGGCAAATTTAAATGGTTCCATGCTCAATGAAATAAAAAATCAAGGATGTAAATAATTTTGAAAAAAAAAAAAACAATTTTTAAAAAATGTTATAACAAACATGCATGCCTTGTTTGAAACAAATATTTCCTAACTGTTTTCTCATTAAATTTACACTTAGGTGTTTGACTTTTCAGGCCAGTGAACTTTACTCCACTTTATTTTCCACCCACCAAAAAGAGTTGGAAGCTGTAGATGCTTCAGACAGCTACAAACACAAGTTGTTTCAGACTTGGATTGATCCTGTTGTTGAGGCTTTGTGTTCTTCTAGACAGAAACAAAAACAAAACATTATAGAAGTAAGTAAAGATGGTCAGCTTGTTGAGGCTATGTGTTCTTCTAGACAGAAACAAAAACAAAACATTATAGAAGTAAGTAAAGATGGTCAGCTTGTTGAGGCTATGTGTTCTTCTAGACAGAAACAAAAACAAAACATTATAGAAGTAAGTAAAGATGGTCAGCTTGTTGAGGCTCTGTGTTCTTCTAGACAGAAACAAAAACAAAACATTATAGAAGTAAGTAAAGATGGTCAGCTTGTTGAGGCTCTGTGTTCTTCTAGACAGAAACAAAAACAAAACATTATAGAAGTAAGTAAAGATGGTCAGCTTGTTGAGGCTATGTGTTCTTCTAGACAGAAACAAAAACAAAACATTATAGAAGTAAGTAAAGATGGCCAGCTTGTTGAGGCTATGTGTTCTTCTAGACAGAAACAAAAACAAAACATTATAGAAGTAAGTAAAGATGGCCAGCTTGTTGAGGCTATGTGCTCTTCTAGACAGAAACAAAAACAAAACATTATAGAAGTAAGTAAAGATGGCCAGCTTGTTGAGGCTATGTGTTCTTCTAGACAGAAACAAAAACAAAACATTATAGAAGTAAGTAAAGATGGTCAGCTTGTTGGCACCTGTAGATTTAGACAGTTCTGTGAGCTTACACAAATGTAATTGTATGTTGTTTTTTTCTCTGTGATCTCCCTTACCCATAAAACATTTCTATGTAATATACACTAAACTATAAAATATATTTCCCAGTATTTGCTGCCTAAACTTTTAAAACATGGCGACCACATACTGAACTACATGATCTCAAGGCTCTCTGTACACAACACAGGTAAAAAAAACTCGCATGTTTTGATAGAAGCAAGGAAAACTAGTTTTATTTACTCTTTTAGCTTGCAATTATAAATGGGATTTGTTATGGTATAAATTTGACTTATAGATTAAGACGAGTCTTGTTCTGGTATAAATTTGACTGTTATAGATCACGTTGGCTATGGTAAAAATGTGACTGTTATAGATCAAGATGAGTCTTGTTATGGTAAAAACTGACTGTTTTAGATGAAGATGAGAGCTGCTATGGTAAAAATGTGGCGTTTTTAGATCAAGATGAGACTTGCTATGGTGCCATCATCATGTGCCTGAGGAGGGCCAGAGCTCTTGGATTGTTGAAGACCCAGGTGGACAAGGGCAGTCTCTGGTGTGGTCAGCTGCACCCTGATGTTCTGAAGGCCGCACTCTGTAGCCTCGATCAACAGGTTGGTGGCTTGATGTTGTTTAATTCCCCATTTAGCCATTTTGTCCCCATCTAGCCACTTTGTCCCCATTGCTAGCCACTATTGTCCCCATTGCTAGCCACTATTGTCCCCATTGCTAGCCACTATTGTCCCCATTGCTAGCCACTATTGTCCCCATTGCTAGCCACTATTGTCCCCATTGCTAGCCACTATTGTCCCCATTGCTAGCCACTATTGTCCCCATTGCTAGCCACTATTGTCCCCATTGCTAGCCACTATTGTCCCCATTGCTAGCCACTATTGTCCCCATTGCTAGCCACTATTGTCCCCATTGCTAGCCACTATTGTCCCCATTGCTAGCCACTATTGTCCCCATTGCTAGCCACTATTGTCCCCATTGCTAGCCACTATTGTCCCCATTGCTAGCCACTATTGTCCCCATTGCTAGCCACTATTATCCCCATTGCTAGCCACTATTGTCCCCATTGCTAGCCACTATTGTCCCCATTGCTAGCCACTATTGTCCCCATTGCTAGCCACTATTGTCCCCATTGCTAGCCACTATTGTCCCCATTGCTAGCCACTATTGTCCCCATTGCTAGCCACTATTGTCCCCATTGCTAGCCACTATTGTCCCCATTGCTAGCCACTATTGTCCCCATTGCTAGCCACTATTGTCCCCATTGCTAGCCACTATTATCCCCATTGCTAGCCACTATTGTCCCCATTGCTAGCCACTATTGTCCCCATTGCTAGCCACTATTGTCCCCATTGCTAGCCACTATTGTCCCCATTGCTAGCCACTATTGTCCCCATTGCTAGCCACTATTATCCCCATTGCTAGCCACTATTGTCCCCATTGCTAGCCACTATTGTCCCCATTGCTAGCCACTATTGTCCCCATTGCTAGCCACTATTGTCCCCATTGCTAGTCACTATTGTCCCCATTGCTAGTCACTATTGTCCCCATTGCTAGCCACTATTGTCCCCATTGCTAGCCACTATTGTCCCCATTGCTAGCCACTTTGTCCCCATCTAGCCACTATTGTCCCCATTGCTAGCCACTATTGTCCCCATTGCTAGCCACTATTGTCCCCATTGCTAGCCACTATTGTCCCCATTGCTAGCCACTATTGTCCCCATTGCTAGCCACTATTGTCCCCATTGCTAGCCACTATTGTCCCCATTGCTAGCCACTATTGTCCCCATTGCTAGCCACTATTGTCCCCATTGCTAGCCACTATTGTCCCCATTGCTAGCCACTATTGTCCCCATTGCTAGCCACTATTGTCCCCATTGCTAGCCACTATTGTCCCCATTGCTAGCCACTATTGTCCCCATTGCTAGCCACTATTGTCCCCATTGCTAGCCACTATTGTCCCCATTGCTAGCCACTATTGTCCCCATTGCTAGCCACTATTGTCCCCATTGCTAGCCACTATTGTCCCCATTGCTAGCCACTATTGTCCCCATTGCTAGCCACTATTGTCCCCATTGCTAGCCACTATTGTCCCCATTGCTAGCCACTATTGTCCCCATTGCTAGCCACTATTGTCCCCATTGCTAGCCACTATTGTCCCCATTGCTAGCCACTATTGTCCCCATTGCTAGCCACTATTGTCCCCATTGCTAGCCACTATTGTCCCCATTGCTAGCCACTATTGTCCCCATTGCTAGCCACTATTGTCCCCATTGCTAGCCACTATTGTCCCCATTGCTAGTCACTATTGTCCCCATTGCTAGTCACTATTGTCCCCATTGCTAGTCACTATTGTCCCCATTGCTAGCCACTATTGTCCCCATTGCTAGCCACTATTGTCCCCATTGCTAGCCACTATTGTCCCCATTGCTAGCCACTATTGTCCCCATTGCTAGCCACTATTGTCCCCATTGCTAGCCACTATTGTCCCCATTGCTAGCCACTATTGTCCCCATTGCTAGCCACTATTGTCCCCATTGCTAGCCACTATTGTCCCCATTGCTAGCCACTATTGTCCCCATTGCTAGCCACTATTGTCCCCATTGCTAGCCACTATTGTCCCCATTGCTAGCCACTATTGTCCCCATTGCTAGCCACTATTGTCCCCATTGCTAGCCACTATTTTCCCCATTGCTAGCCACTTTTGTCCCCATTGCTAGCCACTTTTGTCCCCATTGCTAGCCACTATTGTCCCCATTGCTAGCCACTTTTGTCCCCATTGCTAGCCACTATTGTCCCCATTGCTAGCCACTATTGTCCCCATTGCTAGCCACTATTGTCCCCATTGCTAGCCACTTTTGTCCCCATTGCTAGCCACTATTGTCCCCATTGCTAGCCACTATTGTCCCCATTGCTAGCCACTATTTTCCCCATTGCTAGCCACTTTTGTCCCCATTGCTAGCCACTATTGTCCCCATTGCTAGCCACTTTTGTCCCCATTGCTAGCCACTATTGTCCCCATTTCTAGCCACTATTGTCCCCATGATCTTTGCCCAGGTCCGCCTGGATGCCTTTGCCCTCCTGTGTGAGAACAACAGGACCACAGAGAGCATCACTTCCTTTGAGTTCAACATGCTCAAGTTTTTCATCCCTAGCAACTTGAACAACCAGTCTCCTGCATTTAGACAAGCTTTTCTGGCTTTACTCAAGAAGGTACAACTAAACAGATGTATTGTTTTGAATGTTTCACTCAAGTAAAATTATGTCAACACAATACTTTACTCAAGAAGGTACAACTAAACAGATGTATTGTTTTAAATGTTTCACTCGGGTAAAATTGTGTCAACACAATACTTTACTCATGATATTGTTGTACAGTTTTTCTCTAGAATGAAAGAATCTCTCACAACTTTAAGAAGACTGGATAAGAAAGACAAAAATGCCACATCTGTTAAGGAATCTATTTTGGAATATGAGGTACATAATACATTTTTAAAAATATCGCCATTTAGTTTTTTAAAATATTGCCATTTAGTTGTTAAAAGTAATTGTAAAGAGTTTAATTAGATTAATAAAAATGTAATTTTACTTTTCATTGATGGTCAAAATGTTTAATCATTAACATTTGATATTGTTGATAGAAATTCCTAACATGGCTGACCAATCATCTAGTTGGCTGCTTGTACCCTGGGTCAGCCTTTGCCAGAAGAACCACAACTCTTGCAGTTCTCTCCCTTATGGTTGCTCTCTTCAAGCAAGGTTAGCTCCAGTTTTAGTTTGCTTCAGTTTTAGTTTGCTCCAGTTCTCAGTCTTTAACTTGTGGTATTTTGTCAATAAATAATTGTCAGCTCCAGTTAAATAACATGTTTTAATGAAAATATTTCTCCAGAAGAAGATGGCTTATCTGTCCCTAAAGTCTTAAACAGACAACATGTCCAAGCTCTAGTGGAATGTCTGGTTGATACATTTGAAGAGAACAAGAAGGAAGCCTTGAACATCTTGTCAGCTTATATAAAACAATGTGCTCCTGTCTGGGTCTGTATTTAGCCTGTAATTTAATGATCTTTTTGTTAGATATTTACATCTCATTTGAAGCATTTGGACCACAGTCTATTGTGTAACAGTCATCATTTTTTAGTTAATGTAATATTGGATGATCATTGGATGTTTTACATTCAGTATAGATTCTCTATACATTAGACTGCTCTCTTAGATACTAATTTAAAATAGCTGAATGTATGATCTAACACATTTCTATTTTAAAGCTATCCTTTTACCTTAAAAAAAAAAACTTATTCCCATAGCCTAGCCTAACACTGTTTAGCTACTTTATATTTTGATTTGTAAAAATTAAATTATTGATCATTTTTTAAAAAGAATTTATTTTTCAAAACATCCTCAGTAAATAATTTTTGCTTTATTATGTTTTAGGATACTAGTGAATTAAAGAAGATAATAAAGATTTCCATGTCTTTGGCATGCAGTACTAAACCTCAAGACTGTGACACTGCTGTTTATAATTTTTTGTTGATTCTTAAACATGAAGAGTTCAAACCAGAAAGTTTGGATTTTTCAGGTATATTGGTACTTCATAATCATATCCTCCCGTAATTCCATTTTCATGTCCTTTTATTTTTTTTTAAATTATCTAGTATACAATCTTGTGCATCTTTCATCAGAATTTGTATTTTATTATTTCTGTTTGTTTGCTTTTCAGAGTTGTTACCTTTAAAAGTTCTGCGAATGTCTGACGTGACCACTGTAAGCTGTGTGAATAAGCCCCTTTTTTTACTTGAAATTCTCCTCAAGCTGTTGGATGATGAGATCCTGGTGGCCAAACAAAGTCTGATCACAGCAGCAGCCACCAGACCAATGTATCCCACGTTACACTGCATCAGATACATCCTGCAGGAAGTTGATTTCAGGTTTGATTTGGTTTAAAGATAATGCTTCATTATTAAGGAATAGTTAACCACAGTGTGTGGTATGTGAACTGTGTGTATGTAAACCGACATCCCATCTATAGTGTACTGTAAATAGTGTGTAGTTAGGTGTGTGATGGCATAAATTTGTTTAACTTGGAAGATAGTTCATAAACACCTAGTATTACATAAAGTTTATATTATAGAACCAACTGTAACAATGTGTATTTTTGAAGTTGTGTTGATTGAACAAGTTCAGACAGGGTTTTAAATGAGTTGAGTTACGGTTCTTGTTGTGATATGGGCTGTATATAAGGGGGACAACTGTTAGTAAACAGAAGGGGAGTAACAAATGTAGTGCTATGTTGGATAATTTATGAAACTGTTGCTGTTGATTGCTGGCTTGTGTCCTGTTGTGATTACCTGAATAAACTCACTCACAATTATGGCCTGAATAAACTCACTCACAATTATGGCCTGAATAAACTCACTCACAATTATGGCCTGAATAAACTCACTCACAATTATGGCCTGAATACACTCACTCACAATTATGGCCTGAATACACTCACTCACAATTATGGCCTGAATAAACTCACTCACAATTATGGCCTGAATACACTCACTCACAATTATGGCCTGAATACACTCACTCACAATTATGGCCTGAATACACTCACTCACAATTATGGCCTGAATACACTCACTCACAATTATGGCCTGAATACACTCACTCACAATTATGGCCTGAATACACTCACTCACAATTATGGCCTGAATACACTCACTCACAATTATGGCCTGAATAAACTCACTCACAATTATGGCCTGAATACACTCACTCACAATTATGGCCTGAATACACTCACTCACAATTATGGCCTGAATACACTCACTCACAATTATGGCCTGAATACACTCACTCACAATTATGGCCTGAATACACTCACTCACAATTATGGCCTGAATACACTCACTCACAATTATGGCCTGAATACACTCACTCACAATTATGGCCTGAATAAACTCACTCACAATTATGGCCTGAATACACTCACTCACAATTATGGCCTGAATACACTCACTCACAATTATGGCCTGAATACACTCACTCACAATTATGGCCTGAATACACTCACTCACAATTATGGCCTGAATACACTCACTCACAATTATGGCCTGAATAAACTCACTCACAATTATGGCCTGAATACACTCACTCACAATTATGGCCTGAATACACTCACTCACAATTATGGCCTGAATACACTCACTCACAATTATGGCCTGAATACACTCACTCACAATTATGGCCTGAATACACTCACTCACAATTATGGCCTGAATACACTCACTCACAATTATGGCCTGAATACACTCACTCACAATTATGGCCTGAATACACTCACTCACAATTATGGCCTGAATACACTCACTCACAATTATGGCCTGAATACACTCACTCACAATTATGGCCTGAATACACTCACTCACAATTATGGCCTGAATACACTCACTCACAATTATGGCCTGAATACACTCACTCACAATTATGGCCTTACAGTCAGCTTTACACATCTTATTATCATGTCAAGTTCACTGGCAGATTTAGGTGAAAACTTAACCTTTAACGGTCATCATTTAAATTTTTAAAAATAATGTTTGCCATGCTTTTTCTTAATTCTAGCACTTGTCAAATTGCTATTTTATTCATTATATTTAACAAAGCTACACATACGTCTGCACTGATTCTATTTTCAGTACATTGGGACCAAATGTAACTCCAGTTGCAAAGAGCTTCCTCTCCCAGCTGATCAACTCTTGCTTAAATGTATCTAAAGTTGTGTCCCCTGTTGTCCAGAACTCCTCTCCAGAGGGCAATGTACCAGAGGATGCTTTGCTTTCATTTGATTTACCTGAGGAAAATATAAGGATGAGCAGCACTGGAGGTTAATTGTGGTTTTAATTATATTTTTTTCTTTTTAAAATTATGTTCTTGAATTAAGTTTTTAAAGCATGTTCCTAGATATTATTTTCTTGAAATGATGTTTATTAGAGCATGTGTTTAAATCCTCTAGAAGCATGTGGTCAAGTGCCGGGTGAAACCCTGGTGTCCAGTAGGGAACTAGTGGAGTCAATGCCAGAGTACCTGGTCGTCTGCTGCTGGAGGAGCATCAAAGAGGTGTCCTTGACCCTAGGGAAGATGTGCCTGCAGATGCCCGCAGCTATGATTGCTGCAGATGGACAGGGTTTATTGAGCCTTGACCAGGTCAGTCTTGTACAGTGTCCCCTGTAGTTGTCATGTTGAATACAAGGGCTTAAACTGTGAATTCAGGTCGAAACAGAACTGATTTTCAATTTGACATACTGTTTAAAAATGTACAACACTATTTTGAATGAACAAGCACATATAACTCACATTTTGAATCCTTAAATTTTGTCTAAACATTAAACAATAGAACATAATTTTTTATTCTTCAAATATCTAAGTTAGATAAAATTGCTATTTTGTCTAAACATAAAACAATTGAACACAATTTTTTATACTTCAAGTTAGATAAAATTGCTATTTTAAAGGTGAAGGTCGTGGGTGAGTACTTTACCCAGCAGCTCCTGGAGTCTATCCACAGAGGGGCTTTTGAGTTGGCGTATGCGGGGTTCCAGTTGATGTGTCAGATGTTGTGGAGGTTAGTTGGCCCTCACTAGGTCGGGTGTCTCTCACTCTGTTATTCCCTTTTATTTTCTCTTCTATGTTCCATGTTTATCTGATTTTGTTTAAAACAGCTTGACAACATAAAGCTTGTTCTCTCTTACTTGTAGTTCATAGCCATCCACCCTTGTGGTTAAGTCACATGTCATGTCTAAATCTATTTAACCTTTAGCCACCCAGCCAGCGCCTTCCACAAGCTGCCAGCCCAGTGGTTAAGTCATGTGATGGAAGACATCAAGTCAGGTGACCCAGATTCACGCTTTTGTGCCACCCGTAGAAGTGCAGGCGTCCCATTTTTTGTCCAGGTCAGTTTGTGTTCAGCTGGGGAAGTCTGAGTTGTGAGATGGTCTAACACTTGGCTGTGGTATTAAAGACAATCCTAACAACTTAAAACAAAATGTTGCAGGCCATTGTCTAACACTTGGCTGTGGTATTAAAGACAATCCTAACAACTTAAAACAAAATGTTAGGGGCCATTGTCTAACACTTGGCTGTGGTATTAAAGACAATCCTAACAACTTAAAACAAAAAGTTGCAGGCCTTTGTCTAACACTTGGCTGTGGTATTAAAGACAATCCTAACAACTTAAAACGAAATGTTGCAGGCCATTGTCTAACACTTGGCTGTGGTATTAAAGACAATCCTAACAACTTCAAACAAAATGTTGCAGGCCATTGTCTAACACTTGGCTGTGGTATTAAAGACAATCCTAACAACTTAAAACAAAATGTTGCAGGCCATTGTTTAACACTTGGCTGTGGTATTAAAGACAATCCTAACAACTTCAAACAAAATGTTGCAGGCCATTGTTTAACACTTGGCTGTGGTATTAAAGACAATCCTAACAACTTCAAACAAAATGTTGCAGGCCATTGTCTAACACTTGGCTGTGGTATTAAAGACAATCCTAACAACTTATAACAAAATGTTGCAGGCCATTGTCTAACACTTGGCTGTGGTATTAAAGACAATCCTAACAACTTATAACAAAATGTTGCAGGCCATTGTCTAACACTTGGCTGTGGTATTAAAGACAATCCTAACAACTTAAAACAAAATGTTGCAGGCCATTGACTAACACTTGGCTGTGGTATTAAAGACAATCCTAACAACTTAAAACAAAATGGCTGTTGTATTAAAGACAATCCTAACAACTTATAACAAAATGTTGCAGGCCATTGTCTAACACTTGGCTGTGGTATTAAAGACAATCCTAACAACTTAAAACAAAATGGCTGTTGTATTAAAGACAATCCTAACAACTTATAACAAAATGTTGCAGGCCATTGTCTAACACTTGGCTGTGGTATTAAAGACAATCCTAACGACTTATAACAAAATGTTGCAGGCCATTGTCTAACACTTGGCTGTGGTATTAAAGACAATCCTAACGACTTAAAACAAAATGTTGCAGGCCATTGACTAACACTTGGCTGTGGTATTAAAGACAATCCTAACAACTTATAACAAAATGTTGCAGGCCATTGTCTAACACTTGGCTGTGGTATTAAAGACAATCCTAACGACTTAAAACAAAATGTTGCAGGCCATTGTCTAACACTTGGCTGTGGTATTAAAGACAATCCTAACAACTTACAACAAAATGTTGCAGGCCATTGTCTCCACAGAGCCGCTAGCAACAGGTAGAAAATGTTTTCATGAGGTGATGAGGGAGTTGCTGGACCTGGCCATCAGTCCAGCTCCTGGTGGACACACAGCTGTCAACGGTCAGGTAGGACAACTTTTTTAAACTTTTGTCTTAGGAATTACTTACTCAATTGTTTTAATGATTTTTTCTTATAATCAATCTATCGAGTTTTTCCCTTTTTCTATTATTATCACTTTATCTTTAAAGTAGAAAATTAATTTACAAAAAGCATTTTTTAACTAATTGATTCTTTCAAAAGTATGCTTTTATTTCCAGATGAAAGATACCATTTAGCGTTATTCTTGCCTTTTTAAAATATTTAGCCTAACTTTTCTTTCATGGTTGAAATAGTTCTAAAAATGAAATGATTACACAAATAACAATTTTAAATTTAAACTATGTTATGCATGTTTTTTTAATCTTAAGATATGTTGTATGTTTCTCAACAGATTCATTCTCTGAACATCTTAAGAACGCTGTACAGAGAAACTCGTCTAGGGGAGGATGTCTTGCCATATGTTGCGGATGGTCTAAAAGCCGCCATCCTTGGCTTCAAGTCTGAACTCTGGGCTGTACGTAACATTTGGACATTTGGCTTATAATAAATCAGACAGCTTTTGTATTCCAACAAAATAAATTTAGACAAGTTTTGTTCTTATGAGGATGGCGATATTTTTGTATACAATTTTTTTAATAGCAGAAAATAAAAATGAGAAACTTTGAATTCAAACTTTTCAGGTGAGAAATTGTGCCACCCTGCTGCTGAGTGCACTAATGACCAGAATCTTTGGTGTCAAAAGAAGCAAAGATGAAACAGCCATGTCCAAGAAAAACTGGTAAGTTTTGTTTTCTTGTTTCATTGGTCTTATTTTTTACATTTACAGTGATGTTTAAAAGTATTCATAGCTTTAAATATATTTGAAAAAAATGGCATGGAAGCATTCCACACATCACATTAGATTGTTTTAAATGCTGAACCTATGGTAGAATATTCATAAATAAATGAACTTATTTCAGACAATAAAATTATCCTCACTTGTTTTAAATGCTGAACCTATGGTAAAATATTCATAAATAAATTAACTTATTCCAGACAATAAAATTATCCTCACTTAAAATTTAAATATGTTGCGGAGATAAATTTAAAAATTCCTTCTTTCTGCAGCCAAACCGGTCGTTCCTTTTTTCATCGTTATCCAAGTCTGTACCCGTTTCTTCTGTCTGAGTTAGAAGAGGCCACAGCATCTATTGGGTAAGTTTGAGAGAACATCATTTCATTGATGTATTAATAGACAATATATTGGTTTATTTTAATATAATCTGTTTTTTGAAGCTGATAATTATGATAATTAGATGATCTATATTGATTTTTTTTTAGTAAAATTGGTTGATGATTATAACAGAACAATGCATATTGGTTTTATTTAGTAAAATCATTTGATGATTACACTAAAACAATGTATATTTTATTTAGTAAAATCAGTTGATGATTGTAATAAAACAATGTATATTGTTTTTCTTTAGGTCCAGAGACAGAATTCACCTCCACCCCAGCTTGTATCCTGTGCTGTTGGTGCTGGGCCGACTTTTCCCTTCAACATTAGAAGGTTCTGACACAAACCTCAGCCTCGGCGCTTTCATTCCATTTGTAATCAGGTCATTCATAATTTTATGCTCAAATATTTTTTAACGTAGACTTTAGATTAAAATCAAGTTCAGTATTTTTCTTATCTTTAAAATCTAATTTTCTTAAAAATTACATTTTTAGGAAGTATTTCTTTTTCTTTTCTATTTAGGTGTGCATCCAGTCCTGTATATAAGACAAGAGTTATTGCCTCCAGAGCTCTACAGCCATTGGCTAGAAAGAATCAGGTGACCAGTATAAGCCTTGAACTGCTAGCCAATCTTCCTGAATCACCAAGCCTTTGTGCTGTATCTAACAGTTTGATTCATGGCTCACTGCTGCAGGTTGTGGTCTTAGTCAATTGTTTTAATTAATTTGTTAGTCAAACTAAAGCATTAGTTGTTGAGATTTTAAATCTGTGATGTTTTCAAAAAGTTTTGAGTTAAAATATTTTCTATTTTCTTCTCCCAGCTTCACCAGTTGGTCAAGTTAGTGAAAGGACTTGGCTCAAGTCTGCAAGAAGATTTCCTACACACAGTCACCCCCAAACTTGCTCAGTGCAGCTGGCTCTTGTCAAGGTAATAAAAGATGAGAGAATTTTTTTGACCATTTTATAGTTTGGCTTATTAATTGTGAAACAAAATATTTTAAAATATTAATTAAGCTTATTAGAAAAAATTGCTACAATTATTTATTTTAAAATATGCTCAATGAATGCAAACCCAAAAAAAATGTTATTATTTGACTATTAGATATGCAGTGATGCATGAACCTTTACTTTGGGACTCAGAAGAAGGCTGGTCTTTGTGAACCTGCCAGTAATTAATATTTGGGGGAGAGAGGGGATGTCATGATTTAGTTCTAGACCTGATTTTAGAGGTCTAACTATAATCGAGTTGTGTCAGGAAAATTTTAAATGTCTAGCTGATGTTGGGTCATTAAAACTTGTGTGTATTTTGTCTAGTGGGTATCTAAAAAATATATGAACAAATAAAATGTTTTATATCAACAGTGAGAATGTATGTTTTGCTACTCAACAAGCTGCACTCGTTCTTGTTGATGCTGTACTGGACATTGAGGCCACATACAACAGAAAATCACAAAATCAACTGAGGTTACACTTTCTGTCAGCACTTTTACAAGCCAGAGTTATTTCCCCTGAACACCAGTGGCGTCCCTTGTTTTATGAGGCTGAGAAGACCAGGGCCAGACTGTGCTTGAAATATTTACCCCAGATAGCAGACACACAAGCTGGACATCTAAACAGTGACCAGCAGCCAGTGTCCAGTGCTGGTCAGTCCACAGTCAGGCCTGTTGTTGATGTCTTTCTCCACGGCCTTCAGTCTCCTGTGTATGAGGTCAGGCTGGAGGTGCTCAACTCTCTGATCCAACTACACAACACTGGGGGGAGGGCTGAGGCTCACAACACTGGGGGGAGGGCTGAGGCTTACAACACTGGGGGGAGGGCTGAGGCTCACAACATTGGGGGGAGGGCTGAGCCTCACAACACTGGGGGTTGGGCTGAGGCTCATCTCACAGAGGCTTCTGGTGAGGATGGTGTGTCTACAGGGGATGAGGTAGAGCCCTTGATTGAGGGAGCTACAGGCTGTAGAACTGAGGACATTGTGGCTCAGCTGTTTGATCATCTGCTTGACATGGGGCTGGAGCTTGAGAATCACCATGAGTGCCAAGAGAAGGTAACTCTCATTAATCGTCTACACTTGCTGTGTATTCTTATATAAAGCTGTCATGTGTTACATAGATTATAAAGGTAAAAGTTATCCACCTTTGGGTTTACACTTGACCTTTGGTTTTCCTCCAGGTGTTCTATGTCTTGTCATCCACCCCCAAGTGTGTACAGATTTTATCCCAGAAAGTTCCAGCAGATCTCTACCAGGTAACATTATTTTTGTTGTGGTCAGTAGGTTGACAGATTGTTTTAGTGACATGTAATGTCATTTTTAAATATTTTTAACAGATGCTGCAAAGGTTACTGGACTGTATGTCAAAAGAAAGAAGGTATAATATATCCACTCATTTTTTTTCTTAATGTCATGAATATTTATTTTGTTATCTAATACCATGCCTGTTTATCTAGTTATCTAATGTCTGTCTTAATGCCATGCCTGTTTATCTAGTTATCTAATGTCTTAATACCAGGCCTGTTTATCTAGTTATCTAATGTCTGTCTTAATGCCATGCCTGTTTATCTAGTTGTCTAATGTCTTAATACCATGCCTGTTTATCTAGTTATCTAATGTCTTAATACCATGCCTGTTTATCTAGTTATCTAATGTCTGTCTTAATACCATGCCTGTTTATCTAGCTATCTAATGTCTGTCTTAATGCCATGCCTGTTTATCTAGTTATCTAATGTCTGTCTTAATACCATGCCTGTTTATCTAGTTATCTAATGTCTGTCTTAATGCCATGCCTGTTTATCTAGTTATCTAATGTCTTAATACCAGGCCTGTTTATCTTGTTATCTAATGTCTGTCTTAATGCCATGCCTGTTTATCTAGTTATCTAATGTCTTAATACCATGCCTGTTTATCTAGTTATCTAATGTCTGTCTTAATGTCATGCCTGTTTATCTAGTTATCTAATGTCTGTCTTAATACCATGCCTGTTTATCTAGTTATCTAATGTCTGTCTTAATACCAGGCCTGTTTATCTAGTTATCTAATATCTGTCTTAATGCCATGCCTGTTTATCTAGTTATCTAATGTCTTAATACCATGCCTGTTTATCTAGTTATCTAATGTCTGTCTTAATACCATGCCTGTTTATCTAGTTATCTAATGTCTGTCTTAATGCCATGCCTGTTTATCTAGTTATCTAATGTATGTCTTAATACCATGCCTGTTTATCTAGTTATCTAATGTCTGTCTTAATACCATGCCTGTTTATCTAGTTATCTAATGTCTGTCTTAATACCATGCCTGTTTATCTAGTTGTCTAATGTCTTAATACCATGCCTGTTTATCTAGTTATCTAATATCTGTCTTAATGCCATGCCTGTTTATCTAGTTATCTAATGTCTTAATACCATGCCTGTTTATCTAGTTATCTAATGTCTGTCTTAATACCATGCCTGTTTATCTAGTTGTCTAATGTCTTAATACCATGCCTGTTTATCTAGTTATCTAATGTCTGTCTTAATGCCATGCCTGTTTATCTAGTTATCTAATGTCTGTCTTAATACCATGCCTGTTTATCTAGTTATCTAATGTCTGTCTTAATACCAGGCCTGTTTATCTAGTTATCTAATGTATGTCTTAATGCCATGCCTGTTTATCTAGTTGTCTAATGTCTGTCTTAATACCAGGCCTGTTTATCTAGTTATCTAATGTCTGTCTTAATGCCATGCCTGTTTATCTAGTTATCTAATGTCTGTCTTAATACCAGGCCTGTTTATCTAGTTATCTAATGTCTGTCTTAATGCCATGCCTGTTTATCTAGTTATCTAATGTCTGTCTTAATACCATGCCTGTTTATCTAGTTATCTAATGTCTGTCTTAATGCCATGCCTGTTTATCTAGTTATCTAATGTATGTCTTAATACCATGCCTGTTTATCTAGTTATCTAATGTCTGTCTTAATACCATGCCTGTTTATCTAGTTATCTAATGTCTGTCTTAATACCATGCCTGTTTATCTAGTTGTCTAATGTCTTAATACCATGCCTGTTTATCTAGTTATCTAATATCTGTCTTAATGCCATGCCTGTTTATCTAGTTATCTAATGTCTTAATACCATGCCTGTTTATCTAGTTATCTAATGTCTGTCTTAATACCATGCCTGTTTATCTAGTTGTCTAATGTCTTAATACCATGCCTGTTTATCTAGTTATCTAATGTCTGTCTTAATGCCATGCCTGTTTATCTAGTTATCTAATGTCTGTCTTAATACCATGCCTGTTTATCTAGTTATCTAATGTCTGTCTTAATACCAGGCCTGTTTATCTAGTTATCTAATGTATGTCTTAATGCCATGCCTGTTTATCTAGTTGTCTAATGTCTGTCTTAATACCAGGCCTGTTTATCTAGTTATCTAATGTCTGTCTTAATGCCATGCCTGTTTATCTAGTTATCTAATGTCTGTCTTAATACCAGGCCTGTTTATCTAGTTATCTAATGTCTGTCTTAATGCCATGCCTGTTTATCTAGTTATCTAATGTCTGTCTTAATACCATGCCTGTTTATCTAGTTATATGTATGTCCTATCAGGCCTGTTTATCTAGTTATCTAATGTCTGTCTTAATACCAGGCCTGTTTATCTAGTTATCTAATGTATGTCTTAATGCCATGCCTGTTTATCTAGTTGTCTAATGTCTGTCTTAATACCAGGCCTGTTTATCTAGTTATCTAATGTCTGTCTTAATGCCATGCCTGTTTATCTAGTTATCTAATGTCTGTCCTAATACCATGCCTGTTTATCTAGTTATCTAATGTCTGTCTTAATACCATGCCTGTTTATCTAGTTGTCTAATGTCTTAATACCATGCCTGTTTATCTAGTTATCTAATATCTGTCTTAATGCCATGCCTGTTTATCTAGTTATCTAATGTCTTAATACCATGCCTGTTTATCTAGTTATCTAATGTCTGTCTTAATGCCATGCCTGTTTATCTAGTTATCTAATGTCTGTCTTAATACCATGCCTGTTTATCTAGTTATCTAATGTCTGTCTTAATACCAGGCCTGTTTATCTAGTTATCTAATGTATGTCTTAATGCCATGCCTGTTTATCTAGTTGTCTAATGTCTGTCTTAATACCAGGCCTGTTTATCTAGTTATCTAATGTCTGTCTTAATGCCATGCCTGTTTATCTAGTTATCTAATGTCTGTCTTAATACCAGGCCTGTTTATCTAGTTATCTAATGTCTGTCTTAATACCAGGCCTGTTTATCTAGTTATCTAATGTCTGTCTTAATGCCATGCCTGTTTATCTAGTTGTCTAATGTCTGTCTTAATACCAGGCCTGTTTATCTAGTTATCTAATGTATGTCTTAATACCAGGCCTGTTTATCTAGTTATCTAATGTATGTCTTAATACCATGCCTGTTTATCTAGTTATCTAATGTCTGTCTTAATACCATGCCTGTTTATCTAGTTATCTAATGTCTGTCTTAATGCCATGCCTGTTTATCTAGTTATCTAATGTCTGTCTTAATACCATGCCTGTTTATCTAGTTATCTAATGTCTGTCTTAATACCATGCCTGTTTATCTAGTTATCTAATGTCTGTCTTAATACCATGCCTGTTTATCTAGTTATCTAATGTCTGTCTTAATACCATGCCTGTTTATCTAGTTATCTAATGTCTGTCTTAATGCCATGCCTGTTTATCTAGTTATCTAATGTCTGTCTTAATACCATGCCTGTTTATCTAGTTATCTAATGTCTGTCTTAATACCATGCCTGTTTATCTAGTTATCTAATGTCTGTCTTAATACCATGCCTGTTTATCTAGTTATCTTATGTCTGTCTTAATGCCATGCCTGTTTATCTAGTTATCTAATGTCTGTCTTAATACCATGCCTGTTTATCTAGTTATCTAATGTCTGTCTTAATACCATGCCTGTTTATCTAGTTATCTAATGTCTGTCTTAATACCATGCCTGTTTATCAAGTTATCTAATGTCTGTCTTAATACCATGCCTGTTTATCTAGTTATCTAATGTCTGTCTTAATGCCATGCCTGTTTATCTAGTTATATGTTTGTTCTATCAGGCCTGAAGTCAGAGCCGCCATGTTGAGGTTCACAGGTCAGCTGATATCTGCCGTCTTTCAGAAAATGAGTGCCACAGATGTCAGGTCACATGGGCTGGAACTGGTCAGAGAATGGGCCAGCATGGTCAAGTCTTTCAGTGTGTTGGATGACTACCCTGACCTGCAGATGAGCTGTTGCTATGTGCTGCTGTGGAATACCAACACAATCATGCTGGACCCTAACAACACACTGGGTACTAATTAGTTATTAACTTCATCCAATTAGATTATTATTAATTTGTTGTGAATTCAGGCTTACTTTGAATAACATGAACATTATGAAGATTTAACATATAAACCTGAACTTTTGTCTTAATTAATCTCTTAACCCATACGAGGTCCAAGTAAGGTCTCTAAACAGATTGGTCCAATATAATCTTTTGAATGAATCAGTTTTGTGTATGTGTTTTACCATCTTGTGACAATCTGGCAGGTGACATTTCTCTGACTTGTTGGGACAGCCTGGCCAGTCTTCTACAGGAGGATGACCTTGATGTCAAGGACATGGCAGCTTCAGTGCTCTGTGCTCTACAGGGCTCTGGTAGGTTACATTCATTGCTCTCTAGACTGTAGAGGTAGGTTTTATTCATCCCTCTAGACTAGTGAGGTAGGTTTCATTCATTGCTCTCTAGACTAGTGAGGTAGGTTTCATTCATTGTTCTCTAGATTAGTGAGGTTTGTTTCATTCATTGTTCTCTAGACTAGTGAGGTAGGTTTCATTCATTGTTCTCTACATTAGTGAGGTAGATTTCATTCATTGCTCTCTAGACTAGTGAGGTAGGTTTCATTCATTGTTCTCTACATTAGTGAGGTAGATTTCATTCATTGCTCTCTAGACTAGTGAGGTAGGTTTCATTCATTGCTCTCTAGACTAGTGAGGTAGGTTTCATTCATTGCTCTCTAGACTAGTGAGGTAGGTTTCATTCATTGCTCTCTAGACTAGTGAGGTAGATTTCATTCATTGCTCTCTAGACTAGTGAGGTAGGTTTCATTCATTGTTCTCTAGACTAGTGAGGTAGGTTTCAATCATTGCTCCCTAAAACTAGTGATGTAGATTTCATTCAGTGACATAAGGATTTAATTAAACTACTGACAACTTCAGATACAGGGTAAGTGATATTTTGTTTCTGGATGGATCAATTGGTAGCTTTAAAGCTGGTAGAGCTGAATGACACCAAGGACACAGAGTTATATTTAGACACTATCCTCATCAACCATGTTAATAAAGTTACCATGTGCTTCAATACTCCAGGAAAACCCTTCCACCCCAGCTATGCACTGTGCCAACTGCCTGATGTTCTACTCTCTGTGTATAAGACCAAGAATCTCCCTGCTGCTGTCCAATGTTTGCTCACATGGATTCTAGATGATTCTAGTGTGGATGTAACAGTAAGTGCAACTTTTAATTAACTGTTTCATCTTTATATCCTCTGAATCCATGATAAAATAAACCGGAGTGATCTCCCCTAAACTTTCTAGAATATTCTTATGTAACACTACGGGGGATGGCAACTCGGGATATAGACAATATTTTAAATCTATTTTTAATTACTTAAACTTTTTAAAATAGAATAGAATTTTGTAGAAAAAAGAATTGCACACCAAGTGAACGCCAAATAAAATTTGCATAATAGCGCGAAATATTATTAGTACTTTATAAATTCACATGCTTTTTTTGATAAATCGGAAATAGCCTAAATTACTACTTCTGGTCAACGGAAGTTACTCAAAATATGAGAGAAGGCAGAGAATTAGCTCTTTTACTTATATGTGAAATTTCATTTATCTATTTGAAATAGTACTCAAGTTATAGGCTTTTGAAAAATTCAAAGTAGAAAAAGTTCCACTTCCGGTTATTGGAAATCGCTGAAAAGTTGATACAGATCTACAAATTTGATATAATACTTATATATAAAATGTCATCAACCTAGCTGTAACGGTACTTTAGTTATCATGTTTACACACACACACACACACACACACACACACACACACACACACACACACAGACATACGGACAAGATTGCCAAACTATGTTTTTCCGACTCAGGGAGGTGTAAAACGTCGAGATTTGCAAAAATCTTGATTATTTATTTTTTTTGCACGATTACAATACTTTCTCTATACTCTGTATACGAGAAAGTAAAAACAACTGAAAGTCAGTCAAGGATTGGGACATTACTTCTCATAGCTTGAGTTAGCATGATGTCACTAGCACACATACCCATACATATATGATGTCACTAGCACACATGCATACATGTCACTAGCACACATACCCATATTTATATATGTCACTAGCACACTTACATACATGTCACTAGCACACACACATACATACATGTCACTAGCACACATACATGTCACTAGCACACATACCCATACATATATGATGTCACTAGCACACACACACATACATACATGTCACTAGCACACATACATGTCACTAGCACACATACCCATACATATATGATGTCACTAGCACACATACATGTCACTAGCACACACACATACATACATAAATGATGTCACTAGCACACACATACATATAGATATGTAATAAAAAGTGTCAGGGAATGTAAAATTAATTTCAAGAACCCCACCCCATCCCCCCTAAATAACATCGTGCCTACGCCAGTGTATGCAACCAAGCACATAGCTGACCACATAAGTCACATGTTGCTGTCATACTTTTATTAGAGTATTTTACCACTTCCTTTCTTCTATTATGCCACATTGTTTTGAAATAATGACAGCAGTTGAATACTTCATCTTCTCATGTTTTGTCAATACAGGAATCAAATGAAAGGCTGTTTGATAAAGGGGAAGTAAACACATATCAAGACAAAATTTCCTTCACAAGAATAGTTTGCCAAAGTATAGTCAAGCTGATTGGTGCACACATCAAGGGGAGTCACTACAGACTCCTTCATTTAACAGAGGAGACCAATGAGAATCATTTGACACAAAATGGACCATCACTCACTTTAGCAGACTGTATGAAAGAAGACCAGTTTAGAGAGTATATTAATGAGAGAGTTTTGTCTTTGTCAAACGGACTAGAGAGGCTGTCTGAAGTCTGTGCAGAGAATGATCTGTATGTCAACTGCAGCAGGTATATGTTGCTGTGTCACAGTGTCTTTCAGGCTCACGTTTTACTAGTGGTGTGTAACCTACTAACTGATCCAGGTCATTCAGGCCAGTTGGTCCCGGTGATTGATTGTACTCGCTTAGAAAAAGTTGTTAACGAAGTGATTCTAGCATTCAATTTAAATAATGTCATCTCCAGTTGATGTTCCTTAATTTTTTAAAATTGTTTTTAAGTCTTTCTTTAAAAAGATATTTTATGTAAAACAGTTTTTGTTTTGAATGTTCCGGTGTGAAACAAAGATTGAAAGAACCAATAAAAACTGCTGACATGTTTTAAATGTATAATTGTTTCAATCTCCTAATTTTATTGTATTGGAAATTTTTAAGCTATACAGTTTTAAAATGCAAAAATATCTTGAAATAATTTTAATATTCTGTCTTTTGTTATTTTTTTAAACTGATATGTCGTTCCAAGTAAATGTTCTATGTCAAAGTAAAATTTATTCATTCATGAACAAGAAAACTCAATTGTTATAAAAATATTTTATTTTTCCTAATTTCTTTATGATCCCACAGTTCTACTTTAAATACAAGAAATTTAACTCAAAAAATTTTACACAGAAATTTTCAGAACTGAGGAAAATTTATCATGATCACAGAATGTATCATTAGACAGCTCTATAACTGGAATGTTACAGCTATTTAAAAAAACTAAATTTGTGCTTTTAAAAATATCAGCCTAATAAGAGATTTGTTCTGAACAAAGAATATAAAAACCAGATCTCTGAAGATTATTCTAATTACAAGTGTGATCAGTTTTTAATTGCTAAAACTACTATATTATAAATAAATGCAACTAAACAAATCTCAGGGTGTTAAAATATGAAATATAAAAAATGGAATGTTCTATACAACACAGTGAAATATTGTTAGAGTTGATATCACAACCAGTAGGCCTACTTGATAAATTATGGCAAGCTCATATATACAAGGCATTATGGGAAGCAAAATAAATATGGATGTCCCTTATTTTAATTTGTTTTAAAAAGACAGCAAGTATTAATTCTTCACAGCGCATGAAATGTTTTTAATGGTGAATACTAAAAATAGCAAATTTTGCAATGTGCAATATAATACTGTACAGAAATTAAACCTGTTTATACTGAATTGCAGGCCACAGCACCCTACTATTTAATTTCACAATTTTGTGAACTTTTTTTTTAAAGTATTAATGTTTTGTACTCACTAGATTTTGAGCTAACATAATTCTAGAACTTAAATGACCAGATTTTTGGAGAAAATATCTGTTAGAAAAATTATTAGTTATTTGAACATTCAAGAAGATGAAAATCTGGATGTACCTGTGCAAAATCGCAATGAAAAAAATGACCAAATTTCTCTGGAACAAATTTGGAGGTTTGAATATATACTAGTTATCAATTAGCACTGCAGTATAATAAATGTGGCATCATTTAATGACAGCCTTTTAGCTTAAGTTGATGTAAATAGTGTTCTACATCTAATTTCCTTTTAGTTTTTTAAATTAGTAAATTCATTTATACAGAACTATGCATTTTTTAAACAAAATATTATTTGTATGTTAGTGGAATTAATTTAAGTAATTTAATATTACTTTGTCCAAATATTTTGTCAAATAAATTTAAAATATATTAAATAATTAAAGGCAAAATTCAAGGTATTTCTGTAATTAAACCTTATTTACAAACAAGTAAAATATTTTATTTAAAAATGTTTAAAAAATATATTTAATGATATTTTATATTTAAAATTCTTGTTTTAAATAGATGTATTATTTACAAAAACAAAAAATTGAAAACCTAAATGTCATGTGAAAAAAGTACTTAAGTAGGCCTATAATATTTTTTAGCAAAACAATAATTACTTCTTAAAGTATTATGCTGAAAATACTAATATTGTAATAAAGGTCTACATCTTAGTATTGAGCAGTTCATGCAAATGTAAATCATGCTTTCAATATACAGGCATAACATTGTACTTCTTCGGTTACATAACATGAAAAATATTCCTTTAAATCAAAAAATCTCTCTTGGATTAGATAATAAAATAGGCACATGACAAGCCAGCAGTATTGAAGACTGGGTTCCTTGAAGAAACTTGAGCCAGTACATTTTTACTTGACACTTTTCTCCAGCCACTAAACCAGGACAAAGTTAAAACAATTACATTTTCTAAAATATGTATATACAAATAAAATTGAAAACAAATCAATAAATAAATAACAAGTAAATCTCACCTGATCTAGTGAGAGAGTTACTACCCCATCTTTCTGGAATTCTTGATATGTGTCTGAATTAACAAGAGTATAATGTGTAAAAAAAAAATTAAAATTTTGACAAAAACATCATAAAACTTTATAAACCACAAATTAAAACATTTTTTTAAAAAAAAGCAATAACTCACTGAAAGATTTCATCAACCGACTCATTAGCATAAGGAAATCATCCAGTCTGATCTTCCCACTTTTATCAGCAAAACAAAAGATAAGGGACGCCAATGTTTTGTTTGAAATTTTGTAACCTGTTAAAAATATACACATTTTTACTTGCTCCATTCAATTATAATATTTGTGATAAAATCAATTAAATTTAAACTTAAACAGATTTTAAATAAACACTAACATACAAGTAAACTTCTGACTACATAAGAAAAGTTAGGATAAAAACAAAATGTGACTAACCAAGGGCATTGACACATGGTCTCAAGTCTCTTGAGTCGATCAAACCTGAATTGTTGACATCATTTTCAAGGAAAACTTTCTGTGGAAAAAACAAAACTTTGTGTAAACCACATGTAACACTACCTTCATAAGCTCAGATTAATGAGATTAATAAAACAAGAAAAGAAATTATTTGAAGATAGTTTTTTTTTAAGTTTCAGACCTTCCAGTTTCTGATGTGACTCCATAGCACCTGGAATTCAGGGAATCCAATGCGTCCACTGCCATCCGACTGCGGCTATGTCAAGGTTACAAACATTTACATTTTTTAAACAATATTTTAATAATTTGTTCTTTGTATTAATCTGTTCTTATATTAAAAAATAAAAAGATCAGTTTTTTAACTATAGTTTTAATTGCCAGGCAACAAATTTTCACATTTGAAAAAGGATACATCCATTAAAGCAACAAAGGATTTGCAAGCTTCAAGGCTCACATCATAATGATATGAATCTGTAACAAAAAAGATAATAAAAAAGTTATTGTGACTATATGACAAAACAACAGGCAAACTGAAATTCTATTAAGTAGCTAAATTTTTTTTTTAAAATACCTCTTTTCAAGTTCTCATTGATAGCATCACAGAGATCGAATGAATTCAGCTCCATGTCCTGTGAGTAGAAAAAAGTTTTTGTGAACCCAAAAATGTAAAGATAAAATGAAATAATCTCAGTAGAAATAAGTTCAATTGGGTTCAACAACTGACCTCTCCTGATATCCTGTAGAAAAAACTTCGGAAGTTTTCCTCCACTGCCTTAGGCTCAGGAAGGGGAGATGAAGGGGAAACATCTGTTTTTTCTGGTTTGTCATCACAGTACCTTAAAGAAAGATTTCAACGTTCCAGGCACTCGTAATTAATTTTTTAAGTACATTTTAGGCAAAGTCATGCATCACTTGTAGTAAATAATTTTTTAACTACATAAAGAAAATTACAGATCAGGTTTATAGAAAAGTTATTTTAATACATACTGAGCCATATTTTTTTTCTCAAAGAAGAAACGGATGTAGTAGTCTGATGTTTCATTAGGGTCCCAAGTACAGGGAACAATGACATATTCCCCAGGTGGGAGGCTCACTCTCTTGGTTATCTGGCGAGCGTTGAGGAATGACCCAGAGCTGGCCACTTCTCTATGGTGGTCAAAATATTCTTTATTTAATGGGAGAGAGTAGCCTTTCTCACACTGAAATAAAAATATTTTGCACATAAAGATGATTGTAAATAAATAAAATATTATTATCTGCATTGAACACAAATCTAAATATACCTGACATTTCTTAACTATCAGCAAAAAATAAATAAGTTTTTTAACTGGCAAGTTTAATAACAGGAAAATTATTAACAAAAAGGTGATGTTGCAGAAAATGTTTGAAAACGTACAGGATAAATACAAAAACCAATGTACAAGAACTGCTCTCCTTTCTGTTTAATTTTTCTGCGATCTTTTTGCATCAGCTGAACAATAACAGTGCAGAGGTTTTGTTCATCCTCATCCACCTCATAGAGCTGCAGTAGATATTGTGGGTTGGACCAGTGGGTTCCTGTCACAAAAATCAAAACTTTCTTCACATTTTTTATTAAAAATATTAGAGAGCATAAATCTCAGTCTCAGCTGAAATGTTTCAAATGAAAGTTAGAAGTTGAAAAGTGTTGTACATAATGACAGCATAAACTTATGCTAATAAATCTAGTTGACTTTGCTGAGTTCATCACCTTCTTTGATTGGTCGTCCACCAGCATTGAAACTTTCAATCCACCTCCCATGATGCTCCACTGTATGCCATCTTTTTGGCACGTCAAGTGGAGCATCTGCTGGCAAGTTGCAGATTTCAAGAGTGTCAAAAGTGGCCAGGAAATCTTCCAAATCCATCCTAAATAAGTGCAAACAGAACATACAAAATGAAACTAATATGATGTTTTACATAAAGTAAATAAAATATAAATGTTTTTAGTTTAAATCTTTAAAAAAAAATCAATTTTTTGTTCATATCAGTTCTGAGAGGGAGAAAGAAGGCAACTGAAAAAATCTAACTCTACTACAGCTTGTCTTGAAGCTTCATGATAAATAACATTTCATTTTAAGCTATTTTAGCATAAAAATGAAGTCTTTAATATAATAGCAACTTAAGTGGCTTTTCTTGCATAGATTTAATTAAGCGGAAATAGTAAGTAGTCAGTGAAAAATAAATATGAAAATAAGAAAACAAACCAGAACTCTCCATCATCTCTTATAATGAGGCCAAGTTTTGATTTGTCATCTAGTGAGATCTGTTGCCATTCTTGAGATCTAAACATCAGGATAAAAATGGGTTACATTTGTATATGGATTAAATTATAAGAACAAACATTTCAATAATTTAGTCTTTGAGTGTGTGTCTTTGCAAAACATTTACAATATAGATATAGGCCTACCTGTTCTTTAATTTAATAATAGATATACCTGTCTTTTTTAAAATTCAATAATAGATATAGGGCCTACCCGTTTTTTAATATATAAAAGTAAATTAATTTTTTTTTCACAAATTGAAAACTAATAATGCTATAAAAAACCTTTATTTAATGAAATTTTTAGTCTCTGACAGAAAACAACTGACCTCTCACTCCATCTGCCTCGCCATTCATTGTGACCCAGGGGGTCACGTAACCTGATCAGGTTCACAGGCTGCTGGCCAGTACGGATCTTTAGGGGAAAAATATGGTTTTTACAGAAAAAAGTATTTTTTTTTTTAATTTATCAAGCTGTAAACTATATTAGCTTTTTAAGCCACTTATTCATTTAGGTATTGCTTTTTAGTACACTAAAAGAGGGATCACTTCTTTGTTAAGTTATTGAATCTTACACTTCTAAGGTCTGTTATACTGTAGGTGTGTCTAGTCACCAGGCCATTAGCAAGTGTTGTTGTCTGAAGACTCTAGAAATAGTAAAAAAAAACATCATATTTAGGTAACAAAACCATTATATTTAGGTAAGAAAATCATTAGATTTAGGTAACAAAACCATTATATTTAGGTAACAAAAACCATTATATTTAGGTAACAAAAACAATTATATTTAGGTAACAAAAACAATTATATTTAGGTAACAAAACCATACTATTCAGGTAATAAAACCATTATATTTAGGTAACAAAAACCATAATATTTAGGTAACAAAAACCATTATATTTGAAGATTTAAAAAAATAAAATAGCTATTTTTTAAATTAAAAAATTCTAAATTAACCAAACATTATTATAATACATGCTTTTTAAATTTTATTTTTAAATGTTATTAATTCTACATGTTTATAACAGAGTATGTGTTGATAAATATATTTTTTATCCAGTCATTATATTGGTCTTAATTCAACCAATTAACATCAGTGTAATCAACTCACATCAATGTTACAACTTATCAATGACATGCGATCTAGAGCCTTGTACAAGATGTTCACTATGTTGGCTGGCAGGGTGGGCAGAGCACCTTTAATATCATAATGTTCTGCTACTCCACCTGTCATATCTGCCAAGGCATCTATCAGTTGTCCCCCTTTTAAAGCTTCAAATGACCCATACAGCCTGTAACAGTAAAACAATGTTTAAATAAAGGCGATAAAATTATAGTCTGTAGTTTAAACATCAGGCTTCAATGTTTTCTATAACATAAGTAAAAAGTTAAAAGCAACTGGTCAATGATTTCCTTGCTTCAAGTATCCAGACAGTTGGAAATTATTGAAAGTTAATAGATAATTGAAATAATTTAAAACACATTAATTAAATAGAATAATTTAAAATCAGATAAATATTAAAATTAAACTTTAAAAATTCTAAAATTAAAATTGTTAGGCACTTATGTTCCAAATCAATTAGTTATAAATGTTGTTGAAGGTGTATAAGAGATTATGTCTTATCTTACAAATCAATTATTTATAAATGTTAAAGCTATATAAGAGATTTTTCCCATAATTTATAAATAAAAAAAGTTTGAGCTCACTTGGCATAAGCTTTCTCCATCAAGGCAGACCAGAACTCATTGAGCTGTGTGCTGTGTACAAACACAAGTTTTCCTCGGGAGGTTGGCAGAAGATCATCCACAAGAATCTGCTTCCACTGACCAAAGTGCCAAAAATTGAAGCGGAAGACACCAGAATACCAATTTTCTACAAAACTTTGGCCAGGAGGTACAACTCTTTCAAACAAGGCACGATGGTCTGGGTTGACGAGGCTTGCTAAGGCAGCTACGAACCAGCAGTCCCCTAAAACATGACACGGTACACATGTGATTTCACAACCAATAATTCATCTGTACCAGGGGTCTCCAAACTTTTCAGTCTGAGGGCCGTATTAACTATCAAATTTCAGTTTGGGGGTCAGTTTCTTCCAGGCATGTCGTGATTTTTCTGAGTAAAGTTCCTCAGCCATCTCCAACAAACGTTTATTTCCCTGGACAAAAAGATCTCTGCGGGCCGGATGATAGGACCTCACGGGCCGCAGTTTGGAGACCCCTGATCTATATGATAAACAACATCACACTACTAGGGGGAGGGAGGGGTTCCAACTTTTGGGATTTGTGCCAAGGGGGGAGGGGTTTAGAAAGTGTGACAACCCTTTTGCACTGTAATAAGAAATGTTTAAAACTGAATTTTTGTATTTTTTTTCATATTTTTAACAGATTTCTTTATGTAAATTATTATAGATAAAAAAGTTAATTTATAGACTCAAGAAATAATGGCTTTTAAAAAAGGAAAAATTGTTATTTTCAGGAAGTGGTAGATTGAGGAAGGATGTCATTTTAGGAGGGGAAGTCTTACTTTTTGTGCCAATATGTGAATTTATGATGTTGGGGGACAGGAGAGGAGGGGAAAAATCATTAAACAGTCTGGTGGTGTTTATATCTGAATTTTTACAAGCAATAATTTATCACTAACCTAACTCTCCTTGTACAATGTCAAAGTTATCTATGTTGTTCAAGAAAAATTTGGCTGCTTGTCTGTTGCTACGAGCTATATCCTGTGGAAATTATTTGAATTATAAGTTGAACATGAATAAAGAAAGAAAGAGTAGGATTACATGTTATTTAGACAGGGTTATATTTTAACGCAGGCCTTGCTTCTGGCTAAGAAAAATTGTTTTTAGAATGGATTCATCCAACCCTTAAAACTAACACTTAATATACATTTACTGGTATCAGCAATATAAATATGAATAATATAGTTATAGTTCATCAAATGGAAACTGAAAAAAGGTATTTTTAGGCCTATGTAAAGTAAAAGTAAAAAAGTAAAGAATCCTCTTCAGACCTAGTGATCCTTTGGGCAGATGAAATAGAGTTTATATATTTTTTTACCTCGGCATATGAAAGAAAGGTGTGATCAGCACTTTGCCCAGACACCTTTATTTTCCCTAACTCATGGTAGGTACCCATCAGAGCCAGTTTCTTCCAGGCATCTCTTCAGGGGGGCTCTGCCACTCCAAACGAGGTGGAATTTATATAGTAAACATACACTTTTACTACTGTCCGCCGCCCCCCCCCCCCCCCCGGAGAAAAAAGTCTGGAAGAAACACTGATCAGAGCTGGGTGGTAGGGTCAACTGACTTAGACCAGGATTCAAACTCAAGACTTTCGGGTTAGCAACCTAGCACTCTACCACTTTGGCCACGCTGTCCCAACTATTCATTTAAGTATTTAAGCCAAATTTAATCAATCTCAATTATAAAATGTGTTTTTGGAATTGTGTGTCAACTCTAGGCCTGGATCCTCTTGTTAATAAATCAAAATATTTACCTTGGCCCGGGTCCACTCCAGAGGTATGGGAGGTTCTCTGCTGAAATAAACAGATGTATTGCTGGGTAGAAATACAGTGTCTTCATAAAGCTTGCCTCGCCTCATGTAGTCCACTCGCACTTTCTCAAATTCATGAAATTTGCTGTCCTGCACTAAGGGGGTTGTGGGTGTTGTTGGGATGGAGCGGGGGACAGCACCAGGGTCTCTGGCTGCAGGTTCTCTAGCTGCAAGTTCTCTAGCTGCAGGTTCTCTAGCTGCAGCTTCCCTAGACGACACACTAGAAAAACTGCTGGTGCTGTTGTGAGAGTTCCTGTCTCTGGACACCTGACTGTACGTGTCGTTATCGTTGTAGCTGTTGTTTTTGTACGTTGGCACATTTGTGTAGTTGGGGCTGTTTCCTGGTTGTTGTGGGTAAGGAGCATTGTTCCGACCATCGTCATCAAACGATGGCCTCTGGCCGGGCTTGAGCTGAGCTAAGTTGCTCCTGCTGCCCCCGAGGGTGCTGCTTGAACTGTTGAGTCTGTCTTGAGATTTCGCCGTACGTTTTAAAGTGTTCGGGCTTGACCGCCCATCGAGAAGTGAGCTTTCGGAGTCGAGACGACTCCTAGCCGAAATAAACTGAGCTGGGCGACGCTCTACTTGGGTGCGATTGAGCGTGCCCGTCAGATTTGGCTGCGAGCCACTACTTACTTTCTGAGTTTGTGCCCCAAGTCGGCCGCTGACCTTTTGGGAATAAGCTGCTGCCATTTTAATATTAGAATAAATCACAAATAACACATTATAGTTACTGTTATATTATAACACACGTGAACAGGTGAGTAACGACGAAAGGTGTGGCGATTTGGTTGTTGACCTGATTGCGGAAGTGTCAACGAACAGGTAGACTCGTCCACTAAAGGGAATCTCCTACCTAAATACCTAAATGGGGCAAACATCATTCGTCCATTTTCATTGGTCGACTCTCGGATAGACTGACTTCTTGCGGGGGTGACAGCTCAATTGGGATTTCCCAGAAGGATTTTCCGATGATTCGCATCTGACGACACTCTAGTAATTACTAATTCTCTATTGATTTGTAGGTACACCCGGGGAGAGAATATCCGAGGTGTGTAAGATAAGCCACTAGGCCCTATGTGTATACGGGTTTTAAAAAATAGAGACTTGGGAATGGAAAAAAAATCATTACAAGGAGCCGTCATCAGCGTCATTACTAAATTGAACCGCAAGAAAGAAGCGTAGACTGACATACACATGACGATAATTTAGCTGAGGGGTAGTTGGCTTCATCAGAGGCGTAGCGAAGGGGGTGCAGGGGGTACATATGTCCCCGGGCGCCGACCCTAGGGGGCGCCAAAATTGGTTGAAAAAAAATTAAAAGCTCATTTTAGCTGCAGTTTTGCATTATAAATATAAACAATATATGGGGGGGGGGGGGGCGTCAAATTGAAAGTTTGTCCCCGGGCGCTGGGAAGGGTCGCTACGCCTCTGGGCTTCATATGATGACATGCTAGTTTTGATGACATTAATACATTTAGATCATCTACCACTGTCACTCACAAAAAGCCAGATGCCACGCTTTGAATTCGATGCAATAGTGCACTGATATTGTGTTAATATCCCGAACGTTAAGTATGAAACAAGGCAAAGGGTAAAATAAATCATTTAAACAAATTAATATAATTAGAATCTCCAAGAGTTTTTTTTTACAGTACTGTTTTTCTTTTTAAATCGTTTCCTACTACGTTTAATAGCAACGCTGTAGCGTCCCTTGATTTTATTCTCACGGTTGCCTCCCATTAATCATGCGACTGGTTGACTTTAATTTGTTTTTCAGTGAGAATAATGCAATTAATTTATAGCCTACTTTATAATTTTCTTAAAACTTCTTACATATATGTCTATCTGAAAATGCTTATTCAATACTTTTAGACATTAAAAGATCTTTAATTTTTAAATCAATAAAATGGCCGAGATGGTAATATATCTTAAGCCAGAAAAACGGTTTAAAACCTCTGTACACAAGTTTGATGGGAAATGTAAATATAATAATATTTATATTTGCTAAATAAAATGTGTGTGAATGTGTTCATGGTTATTAATATGTATTTTTCAGAGTTATTAAATGTTGTATCCCATAAACGACGAACCAACCAATTTACCCCCACACTTTAACCCCCCCTCCCACACACACTTTACCCCCCCCCCAGGGGCGTAGCGAGGGGGGGGCGGGGGGTGCGGACCGCACCGGGTGACACCATTTAGGGGGGTGACACCAAGGCAAAAAATAGCAAAACATATAGAGAAAAACTCGAGGGGGGGGTGCAAATCGAAAGTTTGAGGGGGGGGTGCAAATCGAAAACTCGAGGGGGGGGGTGCAAATCGAAAGTTTGAGGGGGGGGGTGCAAATCGAAAACTCGAGGGGGGGGTGCAAATCGAAAGTTTGAGGGGGGGTGCAAATCGAAAACTCGAGGGTTTGTCCCTGGGAAGGGTCTCTATGCCTCTGGGGGGGTGACACCATTAAGTGCCGCACCGGGTGACACCCGACCTCGCTACGCCACTGCCCCCCCCACACACACACACACTTTACCCCCACACTTTATCCCCAACACTTTACTCCTTAATTTACCCCCACACTTTACCCCCACACTTTACCACTCCACCAGCAACATCCCTACCTGTGTGCCAACAACAACAACGGATGGTAAATCAATAAACATGGCCTTGACGAATTCTCTGCTGACTCGGTAGTTCACACTGCTCGCAACCACCCCGACCCCTCACCGAACACATTCTTTTTCTCAAACTAGGCTTCACCTATTTATTTTCCTCTACAATAAATTTTTTTTTGTTACACTCACACTCCTGTTGATGGCTTCCAAATTTGTCGGTACACCTACATGTCGGTGCTACGGGAAATACATTGGTTGAGACATGCTCAGAGATCTTACATTTATATATATATATATATATATATATATATATATATATATATATATATATATATATATATATATATATATATATATATATATATATATATATATATATATATATATATATATATATATATATATATATGTATATAGGGTATAATTTGGCTTGCTTGTGTTGACAACAGTGTACAGAGGGGGGACAGGGACACAATTGATATTTTGCGGGGGGGGGGGAAGAGAGAGACGGGGGGACAACATTTTCTGGGGGAGGGCGGACACTAGTAAAATTATGTTTTCTATATAAATTTTATTTCGTTCGGGTGGGGCGGTAGATTTTCTTCCAAAGAGATGCCTGTAAGAAACTCTGCTGAACATTAAAGAAGAAGAATTAATTCTTTGTCAGTCAATACTTGTGGTTAATTTAAACCTTCAAATGATCTTCACGGCCGCTCTTTCCCTTGTTCTTGGACATTCAAATAATTTTTTTAAAAATGAAAATTATTTTCAAATATTTTTAAGCAAAAACATTTTTTTTTTATGAAGAGCGACTAAAATATGCTGAGTTTATATATTGATAAAACACACTGAGGCGGAATTCAAGAGTTATTTCTCTTAGTGCTGATGATCTCAAGGTTTTTTAGAGTTACCTTTTCTTGAAACGAGTACAGAGCGAGTTGCGGTTCTTGCCACCGTAACGGGTAATATCTCTGTTCGAGCAGGTATTGAGGGGAGCTGTCTTTAGAACACCTGGGAATGTGCGCGAGCTCGTGTGCTATGGATCAGTAAACACGTGCTTGAGAACGCTCTCAAACTGTAGGTGTGCGGGGTCATTGACCTCCATTTGTTTATCGTGATTGCTCTCAAAATCAATCTTCTCCCTTTTAAAATTAATGACCCAGTTACACAGTAAATAAAGGTAAAGTAATGTAAAACCTTTCTGACATGAGGTCCTATAGGCAGATCTGGTAGAATTCTTTAAGTGCTGTTTTTTTTTTTAATTATCTAAAGTCAGCCCAGCCGCTTTACTCTCCCAATAGCAGTCAGGTACCCCTTATAGCTGAGTGTACTCAGAGAATCCAGTCTTATACGGATAAATGTCATGTAGGGTAAGTGAAGTAGAGAATACAAGGATCTTACGGTCCGCTGCACATATGGATGGTGCTGTAGGCCTATATTGTTGTCTAACTGTACATTGATGAGATTATGTTGTGTACTAGTGAATGGTTGACTGGGGGGGGGGGGGGGGATAGAGTGACAATTACGGTTACAAATGGACCTTGGTCGTATAGTGACCAGAGTCTGGTCACAACATATATGTAAACACTGATATGGCGGCTGCCCTCAGCCCCGCATCTCGCCAGTTTTAGAATCCCCCTCCATCACGTGACTTGAAACAAAACTCATCATCTTGACTGGTTATCCGCCAAGTGTGCCGGGAGGAGGGTCATTAAATTTGCGATAGAGAGGTGGCTCCCCCCCCCCCCACCATCAACCCATCATTCGTTTTGCAAGACTTAAAAACGCAAGTCTATCTCTTTTGCTTTTGTCGCGTGCGTTTTATGTTTTTAACAAATCCGCCGAACAGAAAAAAAAAAGATCGCGGAAATTATTGAAAGAAAAAAAAAAGAACTGGGTATATGAGGTTGAGTTTAGGGTCTGCGTGCAATAGTCGTTACCTGTTAGTCGCTACCTGGTGTTGTTGCTACTTGGTGTAGTTGGTACCTGGTGTCGTTGGTACCTCATCCACTCAAGTTCTGGTCGTCTGCGTTAAGGACGTCATAAAGACACTCCAGATATCCCGCGATAACCACACCAGGATATCCCCGCGATAACCACACCAGGATATCCCCGCGATAACCACAGCAGGATATCCCCGCGATAACCACACCAGGATATCCCCGCGATAACCACAGCAGGATATCCCCGCGGCAACCACACACCGCTGCCACACGGGACAGTCGCGTTCTCTGCTAGCACCGCCTGGGTTACACAACCTGTGCTTTGTACGGCCGGTAGAGCAGCAGACAGGACAATGACCAGGGGAGTGGACGCCATCGCTGGGCGGGGCACGAGATCTGAGAAGAAGAACCCATTCGCAGACCTGAAGACCCAGAAAGCCAGTGAGATCGCCGCCCACTGCAAGCAGCATGGGATTCTCTTTGAAGATCCGCAGTTCCTCTGTGAGGATGCCTCCATTTTTTTCTCAAAACGTCTGGACAAACCTTACGAGTGGAAGCGTCCACATGTAAGTAAACAAACTTTTGTAAACAAACTATTTACACATTTTTCATGTAAGTAAACAAACTTTAAAACAAACTATTTACACATTTTTCATGTAAGTAAACAATCTTTTGGTGACAAACTATTTACACATTTTTCATGTAAGTAAACAAACTTTCGTAAACAAACTATTTACACATTTTTCATGTAAGTAAACAAACTTTTAAAACAAATTATTTACACATTTTTCACATAAGTAAACAAGCTTTTGTAAACAATTGACACATTTTTCAAGTAAGTAAACTTTAAAAAAAAAACTATTTATACATTCCTCATGTAAGTAAACAAACTTTTGTAAACAAATTATTTACCCATTTTTCATGTAAGTAAAAATACATTTTATGGCACGGCGTGGTCGAACGGTAGAGCGTACGACGGCTAACCGAAAGTCTCGAGTTCGAATCCGGGTCAGTGAGTGAGTCCACCCAGCTCTTAGGGAAGGTAAAGGCGGCTGGGCATAGCGCTGACTACACTATCCCTTCATATGCCGAGGTCATAGACACGAATTAACTCTAATTCACTTGCCCCTTGGACCGTTGTATTCGAAAAAAAAAAAAAAACATTATTTTAAACAGGTTAATTGAAAGTGGAGAAAAAAAACAAGAGTGTTAGAAGTGTCAACGTCCGCATGAATATTAAAATGGAAAACAACAACAAAAACAACAACAAAAACAACAACAACAAAAACAACATACCCTAGCGAAATAAACACAAACCCCACAAGCTGAGCATTTAATTTACTCAATGTGTGGACGATAGTTCACCTTTGTGTGTTCACAGGTCAATCCTACATGTACACAAGTCAACCTTTATTTGTATTTATGTACACAAGTCTACCTTGATATTTACACAGGGCAACTTGCAATTGTACACAACTTTTGTGCGTACACAAATCTACTTTTGTGCATACCCCAAGTCAGCCTTTATTTATGTACACAATTTAAACTCTGTACAAATTAACGATTGTTTACAATTACATGCAAACATCCCCTAGTTCCTACACAAATAGACTTGAAAATCTGGTTTCAAATGGTTCCAAACTTTTGTTGCCAAAAAGTATATTTTTCAACCAAAATTGAATATTTGATAACATTCGTGAAATAAGTACAAAACTACTTCCGGTTTCATTAAGGCTATAAATAGTCAATGAAATAATTATAAGTAATCTATATATATAATTCTCTTCTTCGAGCCGTTAGAAAACAAGCTGCAACCTCGCCTTACAGTCCCCTCTCTTCCTCTATATCAATATCACAACCACCCCCACCCCGCCCCCACATTGTCTGGTGAGTTGTGTTCACTCTGTTTACATTTTACAATCACAGAGACGGGTTTGGTGACGGCTATTAGGGGCAGATAATTTAGTTTGAAACGATTTTAAACTTAGAGGAGGTAACTAAGAGGAGGCTGCTTTCACGTGGGGGGGGGGGGGGTAGTGTTTTTAAGCAAATATTTTCAATGGCAGCATTGCTACTGTCGAATTCACAAATTATAAATTACTGAAAAGTAGAAAAAAAAAAACAACTAAATAGCGGCGTATGATACGCAGCGGGTCGGCTCGTATAATAGTAATTTGGCAAACGCTTTTATTTTTGATGTGGATTAGTAGAGTCAGGGTGTTGTAGTGATTGATGATGTTATATTATTTAATATAAATACAATACTACGCTATAAACCATAGATCACTATTATGTATTTTATCATGTAAAACAATTGTTCAAACTTTTATTCTGGTTGACTTCAAAGGAGAGGTCGAGGGCAGATACAAAAATATAGAAATGTGTAATCGATAGTTCTCACAAGGCTTTAATTTTTACAAATATAACTATAATTTTATCGCTTGCAATATTTCTAAAAAGATTTTATCAACAATTTATTATGATTACATAGACTTTTCCTCCTCTACTCCGCACGCCCTCATTGTAAGTTATATAACTTTTAGAGAGAAGAGTGAGGGAGAGCAGTGTATTGACACTACGGTCTCCGCCAGTCAGTCTTATGGAGCGTGAATGGTGTTGGAAATGTTGATGTTGTTTAGTAGCGCTGTGTCAGACACAATCAGTTTCTTCCCTTGCATCAGTTTGGAAAAATGTGTTAAAGTTTACTCAATTCTTTAAATTGTATTCAGCTTTAATGAGCAAAACAAAGATGTAAACTTTCTAAACGTAAAATTATGTTCTCATCTTAAAAATTAATCGTCCAACGTATAATAGAGTTTATCTACAAAGTGTTATTTGTATCGCAGAGGCGTCGCTAGGGGAGGGCAGGTGGGGCGACCGCCCAGGGCGCCGCCTCAAAATAGCTTTCAAAATAATAATATAAAATAAAATATAATATATAATTGTATAATAAAAAATGTTATTATATAATATTAATTTTATTATATATATATATATATATATATATTATAGATTAATTATATATTAAAATGTATAATATATTTTAATAATATTGCCTGTAACAAGCGCCCCAACCTTTCCAAATGACAGGAGCGGGGGGGGGGGGGGGGCGCCTTTTTACTAACGCGAATAACTATATAAAGGTTATATACATTATGTGGGGAGGGGGCAGAAAAGTGATAATTCGCTCTGGGCGCTAAAATAGATCACTACGCCATTGGTGTGTCGATGTACACATTTGTTACGTGAGTCTGGAGTTGATAGCTTCCCCTGATGTCTCAATGTTCCAGTCGACAAACTCTGTGACTAAAAAAAACCAATCTTTCTAATGGCAGAGCTAGATTGGCACGGATACATTCGAGGGGTTTTGTTAATTGCCTTCACAATATGTAGATCAGGGGTACAAACAAAAACTGCTTAGTAAACACTTTTATTGTTGCTATATTCTAGAACTTTTGTTCTAATTGTAGGTGCGTTATATTGGAGATCTTTTTCTTTATATGTTGATGCGTTATATTCTAGATTCTAGATCTTTTGTTCTACATGTAGATGCGTTATATATTCTAGATCTTTTGTTCTGCCTGGCTTAATGCCTGCTTGTCGTTAGTAAAACCCGAAGCTACCTTCTCCTTAGTGGTTGCAGGTTCTAAACCAACACTGTAAGATTCAGATCCAGCCTTCACATGGGGTTACTTGTGCAACATCATAGCCACTCTACATATCCTAGGTTTGACTAGCACAACAGCCGTGCAGATAGTAAAACACGCAATCGATTACAGTTGTTACTGTGTTTCACAAAGAGAGCTCTATAATAGAGGTTAGAGTTAGGGGTAAGGGTAGAGTTAGGCTGTATGTTTTTTTAAGGAGCATCCACTGTCAGTGTGGTGATTAGCAAGTTATATCAGTGGCTTTAAACAGGATTTGTTTATAAACTTGCTCTCAATTCTATAGTTCTCTTTACATGCATAATAAATAGAAGTATAGATATGCTATATTAACAAAATAATACATTTACATTATACTTAATCCCATAAAAAATACATATATGGTAAATTTGCTATAATAAAATTTAAGACAGTTGTCACAACGATTTATGAAGAGGTGTTTTTTCAGACTTTTTTTTATCGGGGGAGGGGGCACTTAAAACCTCAGGGGGAGGGGGACACTGGTGAAGATATGTATGTTCAATATAAAGTAATTTCTCCCCATTCCGTTCTGGGGGGGGGGGGGGTGTAAGTGCCTTCAACATCCCTCTGCCTACTCCACTGATTAATTTTTTTACTTTTTTTTTTTACTGCCAAACATATACTTGATTTTACAAATACTCTCATTATTGTGTTATTATTGAACGCTGGTATAAAACTTACACCAGACATGACAGCGGATATATAGTCTTATTTGAGTTCCCACCCCATCCCCTCAGACTTCTTTCGGCGCTAGCAAGAAAATAGCAGAAGCTATCAATTAATGGGTATCTCAAGAGCGTATTGTTCCATTATTTATTTGCCCCATAATTAACCTTGGTGATGTTTTTTCATTTACCTTTGTGAATGTGATGCTACCTGGAGCTGTACCACGTGGTACCCAGGTGAAAAAAGGTTTCTTTTGTTCTTTAATTAAACTTCACATGCACGTGCAACCCGTATATTATTTACAGATAAAAATATGCAGAATTAGCTGGTAATATAACAATGGATACGATATATGTATATGTATATATATATATATATATATATATATATATATATATATATATATATATATATATATATATATATATATATATATATATATATATATATATATATATATATATAAATAAATAAATAAATAAATAAATAAATAAATAAATATATATATATATATATATATATATATATATATATATATATATATATATATATATATATATATATGGTGATGCCCCGTGTCGTATTTAAATGTCTTATTTGAAGTTGCCCATAGCCTAGTCCACATATTTAGCATTATTTATTAAACGAATTCAAAATAAACAATTTTATTAAAACTGTTTAACTTTGGATAAAAAATTTTAATAAAGTTGATCGAACACTTAACTTTTAACGTTTAAGAAGCTTATTATACGGTATGTTTGTATTGGCTGACTATTTTTAGAACGTGTAATGCTAGCAACAAAATCTTCCCAACAGAGACCTCAGCATACGAGCACGTAAACAGGAACTAAATATTTCTTCCGTTTTTAAGCGTAATTAACTGTCGCGTGCTATGGTCTTGAACTGTACACTAGTATTCACTTATCTTGTACTTAAGGGCGGGGCAGGCTTTGGTGTATGTTGCTAGTGTGTCAAGTGCACGAATGCTGACATCCCTACTTTGTGAAATGGGGTTGACCCAGTAGGTCATGAAAGTGAATTTCACCAAAACTCACGCCGAGATCTCCTGTCATGTCGGCACGGCAGAAGCTCTACCAAGGTAAGCAGCAAGTGCCGTAACTCTTCTGGCATTTCCTGGCACGGTCTGTAGGTGTGTACCCCGCCGTTGTTTGTGTGTGTGTGTATGTGTGTTGCCGAGTCACACTTCACCGGGAGTTTCCTACAGACGGATTTCTTTCTGTTTCAAATTATTTTGTTACTTATTGTTTTAGGTAAATAGATATGCCAGATTGCAATTTATATAGAAGTTCTACTTTAGAATAATCGATATGTGATTTGTTTTGTTTTGTTTGATATGTGATTTAGATTATTTAAGTATTTATGATGTTTAAGTATTCATTATGGATTATTTTTAGTTAAATTTAGTATAACGCCGATTTATATTTTTATGCTGTGATTTTAATTAAAATTGTAACGAAAGCACCGAGCTGATTTTAACATTGAGTGCACATAAGTAGATTCTATATATAGGTTCTTGATAACAATACATTGGCTTGGGTCGCTTGATTCCAGATTACAATACCTTTACGGGGCCCTATTCAATCTTAGCGCGTATCAAATATCTTTTATTTTTATTGATGCAGAAACGAAATACTTGAACTTAGGCCTTAACCCAAACCTAATCCTGAGCCTAACCTTAATTTAAACCCCGAACTAACGGCGTTGGCGAGAGAAAACAAACCTCTAAAAGATTATTAAGTTACTTTAGTGTCAGGGTTGTGTTTTTATAAGAAGCATTAGTGCTGGTGTATTGAAGATATAGCTAAACCATTTGTTTATTGCCGTGTGTAGAGTTAGTTCGTGCGGCAGCATCCAGCTGGTGAAACATGTCCAACTACTACAAGACACGGACTGTCCGTACCTACGTGTCTGACGGCACTGGACCGCCCAAAGTCCAGACCAAGACCTACACTGTGGGTGGACCCGGGGGCACCAGCATAGGCTACGCCCCGTCCTCGGACTTTGGAGATTTCGGCAACTTCGGCTCCCGGGGGTTCGGTGATTTCGGCGGACAGTTCAATGTTGACTTTGGGGACAACTTTGGCGGGAAAAGTTTACAGTTTGACGTGGGCGGCAACCGAGGGGGTTCAAGGCCTTCCGGTGGCGGATCTCAGTATTACGTCATCAACGACGGTCGAGCTGACCCGGGTCAGTACTCGAGTACCGGGAGGAGAGCCGGCCCCATCATCGACCCCGACCCACAACCCAAGCTGGCGGGTCGGCCGACCCGAGTTTTGAAGAAGAACCCGTTTGTGGGTCTCAAGTTCCAGAACGCCGATGAGATCAGAGCCCAGTGCCGGCAGCAGGGCATCCTGTTCGAGGACCCCGAGTTCCCGTGTGTCGACTCGTCCATCTTCTTCAGCCGCTCACCCCCCAGGCCGTTTGAGTGGAAGCGTCCTCACGTGAGTAACGAGTTATAAGCTAATTAATACACCTCGACTTATACAAGGGTTGGTCTGTATACATGTGAGTAACGAGTTATAAGCTAATTAAAATATCTCAGTTTATACAAGGGTTGGTTTGTTTACACGTGAGTAACGAGTTATAAGTTTATTAAAACACCTCGACTTATACAAGGGTTGGTCTGTATACAAGGGTTGGCCTGTATACACGTGAGTAACGAGTTATAAGCTAATTAAAATATCTCAGTTTATACAAGGGTTGGTTTGTTTACACGTGAGTAACGAGTTATAAGTTTATTAAAACACCTCGACTTATACAAGGGTTGGTCTGTATACAAGGGTTGGTCTGTATACACGGTGTGGGTAGTTTAGTAACGCAAGACTGGTTTACTAATGACTGGCCAACCTGTTCGTGTTGCATGAGGCAGCTAACATCTGCCTCAACACAGATTGGCTGGGGTAAGGGGTGGGGTAAGGGGTGGGAGGGGTGTTGTTTGATTAAAGAACTAACTGGCACACTTTGTTCTCAAGTATTTCCTTATCTGTCACAGAATGAAAATGAAAACAAACGTTATCAGTCATAACTGCCCTTCCAAGGCCCTACATAAATATACACACATATATTGTATATATATATATATATATATATATATATATATATATATATATATATATATATATATATATATATATATATATATGTGTTTTTGATCGAGGCTGGAATTGAATATATTGTTTACTTGTGTTTGCAAACCATTTTTTAAAAAAACCGTAAGAATGAAGTGAGCCTAACAGTAATGTCAGATTTGATGCGATCAAATTATACAGAGCAGTGTACAGCAATACTAGCATAGATAAGCAGGTGAATAGGGGGGTGGAAGGGGGCGGTAATGTGTTTGTGCGTGGAGGTGGTAGTGCGTGTGTGTGTGGGGGGGGGGTAGATGGTGGAAGTGTGTGGGGAAGTGTGTTCGTTTGGTGGTGACGGGTAAACATTAACAATATGTGTTGATTAGGGCAAATGTTGAAAGTGAAAATGTCGATTAAGACAAATGTTGAACAGTGCAAATGTTAATCAGCCTCTAGTGTGGCCTACATAGCACCTAGCGCACGTGAACCCAGGCTAGACTTCACGTTTACCTCTTGTTGCGTCACTCGCGTGAGCCACACCTGCCTTCTATCACTGGTCTGATCAACATTTGTTCAGCCAGCAGTTTTTAAGTTCTCACCACCAAATGCACGCCCATCATTTGACATGTACACATCTCAATGTAAGAAACATGGTCTAATGTGTACCATCATCTAGTGCAGGGGTCTCCAAACTTTTCAGTCCGAGGGCCGCATTAACTATCAAATTTCAGTTCGGGGGCCAGTTTCTTCCAAGCATGTCTTTGATTTTTCTGGGCAAAGTTCCTCAGCCATCACCAACAAACGATTTTTCCTTGGACAAAAAGATCTCCGCGGGCCGGATGAGAGGACTTCGCGGGACGCATCCGGCCCGCGGGCCGTAGTTTGGATACCCTTGATCTAGTGTAACACCCGTCTCCCCTCCCATGAAGTAACACCCGTCTATCCTCCCATGAAATAGCACCAGTCTCTCCTCCCATGAAATAGCACCAGTCTCCCCTCCCCTCCCATGAAGTAACACCCGTCTATCCTCCCATGAAATAGCACCAGTCTCTCCTCCCATGAAATAGCACCAGTCTCCCCTCCCCTCCCATGAAGTAGCACCCGTCTATCCTCCCATGAAATAGCACCAGTCTCCCCTCCCCTCCCATGAAGTAACACCCGTCTCCCCCATCCCTATATGTAAATGTGTTGTCATTTCACGTGACATAGCTGTAAACTCTCTAAATGTTTGCCAAGCTCCACCCACTTTATGATAATTTCTTCAAGCTCCACCTAACTCCTTACAATGGCAATCTGTAAGATTGAGTCTAGATCACTAGACCCTCGAGTTTACTATAGGGGGGGGGGGGGGGGGTAAATGGCGTAATTTTAACCTATTATTAACCTGCAATATATCTTAGCATTTGAACTTTGACCTTTAAGTCTTGACGCTAGTATGTAAACAACCAACACACGAATGGTTGACAGATTTATAAGGCTCCGCCCACACGGGGACAAGCATTCCCATCTGTCAGTTATAAGGGCTCATCCATCATGCAACAACGGTTTCACAGAAAACTACAGCAGCAACAAGTGTTGTGTATCCCATCTTGCAGCAACTATCATCCACCTTATAGCACGTATATGCAGCACGTATATCCCAACAACATGCAACAAGTATATCCCAACAACATGCAACAAGTATATCCCAGCAACATGCAACAAGTATATCCCAACATGCAACAAATATATCCCAAACATACAAATAAATATATCCCAAAATACAACAAGTATATCCCAACATACAACAAATTTGACCTAACATGCAACAAGTATACCCCAACATACAACAAGTCCCAACGTACAACAAGTATATCCCAACATGCAACAAAGATTCACCAACATACAACCCTACGATCTACAACCCCGTATTGTAAACCTTTACATAGCTACAATAAAAACTTAATTTGAAGAGTATGTTGTCAATTATCAGCTTTACATAGCTACAAAAAAAACTTAATACGACGAGCATGTTGTCATTTGTAAGCTTTTCTTATATCCGCATGATCACAATATTTACACGTGCGGTTGTTAAACTTTCTAAAAAAAAAGAGAGTAAACCACGTGAATGGATATAATTAAATCTGATTTTTATAGTCTTTCATGTTGTGAACTGTCTTGTTTTATGCGCGGATTGTGTCTCTTTAAATACACCAGCTAGCAGTGAGTTGTGTCCCTTTGAATACACCAGCTAGCAGTGAGTTGTGTCCCTTTGAATACACCAGCTAGCAGTGAGTTGTGTCCCTTTGAATACACCAGCTAGCAGTGAGTTGTGTCCCTTTAAATACACCAGCTAGCAGTGAGCTGTGTCCCTTTAAATACACCAGCTAGCAGTGAGTTGTGTCCCTTTAAATACACCAGCTAGCAGTGAGTTGTCCCTCACAAACCAACACCAGAAATCCTGTATGTCGATGATGTATGGACACATGTTTATTACACAACTTAGTTAACACATTGATTATTCACATAAAAATATGTCCACCTATATATAACACAAGCCGTATCCACAGAAAATTAGCTTGATTAGTTCTCATTAGCTAAGCAGTTGTCATAGCAACTTCTGTATAATGTGCTGTCTGACGATCCATTATTTAGTGTACAAAGCTTGCCAGTAATTATTGCTGATCTCCCCTTAGGTTATCTCACATAGCCGGGACTAGAGCGAGTGTATTGGAATATAAGCTGAAGGACTTGAATGGTGAATGTAAACAAGGGACAAGTGGTAGCAGGGTAGCAGTGTAGCTAGCTACCTGTGACAGGCTCCATATTTTTTATCAAGAGGAAAGATGGTAGTTCAAGTTGTAAAAACCCAAAGCCAGAGACCAACATTTTTTACTGCTACGATTGATGAGTCCACAACATTTTTTACTGCTACGATTGATAAGTCCACACAACATTTTTTTACCGCTACGATTGATGAGTCCACATGACTAGAGTTGACTGCAAAAAATATATTTAACACCCCCCCCCCTCAAATTTATTTAACGTTTTAACGCCCCCCCCCCCCCCAATCTACCAGTAGTTTCGCGTGTACCCGACAGACACGGCCCCTTGTATGTGATGACGTTATTCGAAGACAGAAATCATTGTGTGATTCAATGTTACATACGTTGGGGCATCCTAGGGCACCACAAATAGAAGAAAAGCCATGATGACTCACACCAGCTCAAGGCTGAGCTTACATTCTGTGTTCGCGATATTATTGACAGGCGCCTGCAGGGGAGGAGGGGGGGGGGGGGAGGGGTGTGTGGTCCCTGTCAGTCATGGCCGTACAGCTGACTTGGCCAAAACATTAAGGATCGTGCACATATTAAATAACAACAAGGGGCTGGGGATAAGCGTTTTATTACGCTGTTCCTCTCTAGGTTGCGCTATGCTAAAGTATTGTTCACACAACTTTCCCATATAGCCTACTGCGTAATCTTAGACACAGCGGGTAACTGAAGCAAGGGATCAGACATTTCAGAATTACGTCAATACATTAACTCTTTAGCCATACATAACTTTCAAACCGATTTTTTTGCATTGCTTTATTTGAATAGTTATCCGTGAACAATGAATGGTACAGTTACCTTTGCACGATTGTTTTTTTTACATTAAGATGTTTATATGATGAGAACCATGATAAAGTGTACAACCTGACTATATAAAACCTTTGCACAATAATTGGTATAGTTGCCTTTGCACAATGATTGGTATAGCTATATTTACAAATAAAAATAAACACGTTTGTTATTTACAGTTTACTTAATTTAAAACAATTCCCAACCTTATTCACCAGTTCAACTGTTCTAGTTAAGGTAAAAATAATGGCATCTGTTTCCTATTTTAAAAGGATGTGTAAATTGTTATTACATAATCCGCATATATTTTACAAGGCCGATAAACATACGCCTTTGACAGCGATTCAAAACGACAGGTTTCTCTCCCCTTGTCAACTCACACAAGACAACCTCCCCTTACCACGGCATAAATTAGAGTGTGGGAATGTTTGTGTGGGGAGGACGGGGTCATGGGCGGAAGCTACATTTTGGGGGTATTTTTTTCACAATAAAGTTTCAACGAGCCTATATTCATTTCAATCTACTACAAAATACGATCATACGAACAGCCACTACATTATACAGCACATTAATGTGACTCTAATGTGAAAGAAGACTAGATGTTTTTTTTTCTACCAAAGCTTTCATTTAAACTTTTCAAAAATAAACTCTGAAGTGTTTATGTATGTTTTAAGTGTATGCATTATTATGTTTTTATGTAATTTGAACCAATGTTAAGGCCTACACATGTATTTAAAGGCTGTGGTTTGGGAGACATAATAGGGATCCGTT